AATCAGATCGACTTGATTTCTTCCAGATGGCGTTTTCTAACTGCTATTGAATTTCGGATTACATTTTCTCAAAATCGGATTAAAAAATTATAACATTGTTGATTTTAATCCCACGAGCATTATTTTTAAAACATCAAGTTTTTTAAATAGCTTTGAATCGAAAAAATTTTTTATAAAAATCTAACTACTATATCATAAAGCTGCCATAGGAAAAATCGATCAACTATATAGAAATAACGAAAATAAAATGATAACATCGTTTTTTTATCAGACAATCATGATTTTTTGAATATAGAGTTTTCTAATGACTCTTGACGTTCAAATTAAATTTTATCAAAATAGGACGACTGTATCATATAGTTGACATATAAATAATAATCGAAAATATGCAAGGGTATATAAGTTTCGGCTTGCCGAAGCTAGCTTCCTTTCTTGTTACATTTGTTTTTATTTTAAACACTTTCAACCGAAGGATGCAACATTTATTAAGGTGTCATCGAAATAAATTAGTTGCACGTGACATCTTAAATATACGCAACATTTTCTATGATTTTCCCAATTAAAATACAGCAACGGAAAATGACAAATACGTTGGTTGATTCGTTTGGGTTTACGAGCTTTTGGCTCCGGAATTGCATGCCCCAAATGTGCGCACATAAATCAAACATGAGAAGAAAACCACCGAATAGCCAAAATTAAAACATAATCAGTAAATTTACCCTAATCTTTTTTTGAAGTATTTTTTGCTTTTCTGTATACATTAATCATAAACACCTTAAATTTAATGTTGACTTATATTTTAAACACCTAACTTTTAGAGTTTTCTACGCTCCAGCAAAGCGAATATTTTTAATGAATTCGCAACTTGTCACTTTTTACATTAATTTGCACATGCACATTTCACTCCACAAACTCATCACCTTTCAGTATCAAAAGCTTTCTCTAGCGGCTGCTTAGGGGATGTGAGATAACTAACAGTGAGTGAAAAAATATTTTATTTGGTTTTGCTTTTAAATATTAAATTAATGTTTAATTACAAAAATATTTCTTTTAATGTGATATACATTTTATTGGCAGGTATGGCAGATTCCAAAATATAATCGTTATGGGGTCGTCAGTGTCTCCTTTACGTCATTTAAAGCTTTTGATTTAAATTACAATTCCTTCCACAACTCAACATTTTCAAAAAGGTCCACTGTGCTTTATCCTTTTGCTGCATGTACTAGTACTAATTAGTCTAGAATTTTCCATAAGCGAAACAAATTCTCGACTCTCGAGCCAAGAAGGCAGAGTACGTGACAGGTTTTATAATTTTAAAAGTGTAACCCTTAATAGTACTTACACAACAAAAAAAGCATGGGGTCTAAAATTGTGTTTGTAGGAAGCACAAATAATAATAAGCTAACAAGAACAGATATGATAAGTTTATATTGTTTTATTAAAAGTTACGTTTCGTATATTCAATCCTTACTGAATTAAATGTGCGCCATTAAACCAACCCAAAACGTATATACAAAATTCTAATATTAAAAATGATATTCCTTCCTTGAAAATAGAATAATAGCTATTAAATTTTTTTTTTCTCGATTCAAGGGGTTTTTAAAAACTCGGCATTATTAAAATCATGCTCGTGGGTTAAAAACAACGATGTTATCTTTTTTTGCCACTGTTTCTATATACATATGCATGTTTTTCGATTTTTGCAAAAGCAGCTATGTAGATGATATAGTAGTCTGATTTTTATAAAATTTAATTCGAAATTCGATAGTTGTTAAAAAACACACTCTGAAAGAAATCAAGTCATAACAACGGAGTGATAATTTTTTTTTTTGTATGGGAGCTATGCGATATAGTCGCCGGATCCAGCCCTGTTCCGACTTTTAGCTTTAAAACTAAGAGACTAGTTTACATAGAAACAGACAGTAAAACAAAAGGACAGACGGACAGACGTACAGACGTATTTCAATTCAGATCATGATGCTGATCAAGAATATAGATATATACTTTATGTGGTCTGAGGTGTCTCCTTCACTGCGTTGCTAACTTCTGACTAAAATTATAATACCCTCTGCTCTGCAAGGGTATAAAAATAATTTGCCGAATAACCAAAACAATAGTCTGAAACCAACACACACTTATATGCAAATAAACAGAAAGACAAGAGAAAATTTTTTAATTGTTCATTTGACTTTGGAGAATATTGTTTTTCACGAAAAACAAAATTAACATGAAGTTATTAAACATCATTTTCATTGGAAAACTGTTCGCTTAAAAAAAAAATACAAAACATTTAAGTTTATTCCAAAATAACACCATTGTTATTTTTAAAGTTAGGTCTATAACTTTCAATCGGATTGTCGACCACTTTGATCGGACCATCATAACAGAACTAATACTTTGTTGCCGCAGTAAGTCCGTTGTAGTTAAGGGGACGTTCTCTTTGTTTTGGTCGAAATGAAGGCAAAGTTCGTCAATTTTTTGTGGGATAATGAAAAGGCGTACGAACTTCGGGTTTTGCTTTTTGAATTCGTTTATTATTCAAGATTTTTTTAAAATTTATTTGATGGTGAAATTCAAAATGGCGGCTGCAAAATGGCGGCTTTCGTCTGCCTCCGCGCGGCAAACATCGTCCCAAAATTACGAGCCTGCAGCCTCTTGTAGTCAACAGAAATAGAAAATTGTTACCATTATGTAAAGTTAATTAACTTGTGCGAGGCACTAACCTAGTGGCATCAAATTGCGGCCATAAATTGACCGCGTAATGAACGTTCGAAGTTCAAAGTTCGATTTTCGTACATTTTTTTCAGTTAAACCACGTTGAAAAATTATAAATAAATTATTGTTTTTTTCCGGAGTAGGTTAGTGCCCTAAAGAAAAGAATATACTTTCATAAAAATTTTACATGAAGGAAATCGGTTCACAGGATGAAGCTGTGGACGCGTAATTTTGTTGAAAAACATGGTTTCGAGAAAAACGCGTTTAAAGTTTTTAGAGCATACCACAGCGCGCGTGACGCAGGTGTATTCGAGACGCTCTCATTCACAAACTATTCATCGTATCGAAAAATCCTTTCACACACATATTCTACGGATATGTAGCTTTCAATTTTTGCAAAAAAAAGAAAATCGATTTTTTGATCCGAAACAAAGAGAACGTCCCCTTAAATATGCAAGATTGGCCTCGCTTCACGCCAAATCAGATTAAATTACACTGGAGGCCAGCTTCACAAAATCAAACCATATTCAAATTGCATTATTCAATCAACGCTTGATCCCTCGGCGATGACATTATAGAAACATTTGGTGTAGTCGTTGTGCAAAAATTAAGACAATTAGCATCGCAATTAGGGCAAGTTGGTAATAATTTTAATGAAGGATTTATGTTTTGAAATACATATAAAAACCCTTCCGCTTAGAAGAGCGGTTGTGTAATTATCACCATAATCATTCACAAAGAAATATTCCGCCATACACTGACTATGCTTAAAACAATTAAAACTAAGTCTTCAATTAATTAGCATCTATTTGCCAAGCAGGGGACCTAGGCAGCAAACGTGCCTCGAAAACATCCGCTTTCAGCATGCAGCCAGGCCATTAAATAAACGCTGCCTGCACCCATAGGATACAATGGGGATTGTGGGAGTGGTGGTCCTGGATGCAGTTGTGGTTAGCAGTTTTTGTTTTCGGACCATTTGACGAGTACCTCCACACACATACATACACACAAATGGGAAGATGGAGCAGAACACATAGCGAAAAACAAAATCGGACGAATGTTAAATTACGTGCAGAGTTTACAAAAACATTTTGGATTCGCCCGAACTAATGCCGCACTCTACTTCATCTCTTCCCTTCTACTAATGTTGCTTAATTATTTGGCGTTTGCCGTTATAGACGCACATACATGTGATGTCAGTGTGTAATGTATATATAATTCGTGGAAAATACCTTTGAATGCGAGTTCTTTTCAAGCCTAGCGGTTATTAAGAACAAATATTTGGATAAAAGTATTAAATAAAAGCGGTAACGCAAGCATTTTAAAGATACCACAAGAAAGGAAGCTAGCTTCGGGAAGGCGAACCAAATACATAAAGACTAAACAACATCTAAGCTATGTCGATTTTTCTTTGAATTTTTATATTTTCGACAATTGTCCATATGACAGCTACATATATAAATAGTCGTCTGATTTTGATGAAACTTAATTTGAAATTAAAAAGTCATGTAAAAACACTATATTCCAAAAATAAGGTTTGTCTGATGAAAATCAACGATGTTATCATTTTCTTTCCGTTAATTCTATATATATTTTTCGACCTTTATGATAGAGTTTTCCGATTTTGATTTTTCGATTCGATTCAGATCGTGATGCAGATAAAGAATATACATATATACTTTATGGGGTCTGAGGTGTCTCCTTCACTGCGTTGCAGTGAGCAAGTTGTCCACGCAACTGGTCGGCTCGTGAGGAATTACCTCACCTGCTGCTTTCAGGAAGGCACCCGTGGTTTCCCTAAAAGTTGTCCCTCTCTAGGCATACCGGAACAGAACATCCGCCGCCAGTGCCTGGCAAGCCACCTTGCTAGTTTCTGCAGGACGCTCAAGGTTGCGTAGCCTTTGCCGTAAAACCACCTTGCAGCCTCCTCATTGGCCCTCTTATTGATGGCCACCACTCAAACAATGAACTTGGCCAGCGTAGGGTGCGTCATGAGATGCATTACAAAACGTTTAACGGCCTCACTTATGACGGACGGAACGTTTGGCGCGTGTTGCTGCCCAAAGTCCATAATGAGTGTTATAGATGGCGTGTTAGTAAACATCGACATTTTACAAAGCGGAGTTTTCCACCACCACCCGACCGTAGTTGAAAAATCATCATTGTAGAATACATCGTTTTGCTTACTGAAATGTTAGGTCTCCTGACGATAAAAAAGATCGAAAACTTCGAAAATATTTTGCTAAGGCTTTAAAACATCGATGTGGCGATCAAAACATCGATACATCAAACCATTTCAAAACATTGATACTATCGTTTGTGAGACAGATTTTGTTCCAGCTCTATATTTGTTTGGTTAGTTTACGCTAAAAAAAAAACCAAATATTGAAATGGTTGAACTAGAGGGCTATGTCGGTGAGCGATGAAACAAACACTGATAACGCTGTTACTAATTGAGTATTCCATCTAGTGATTCCGCTTCGCACCTCTCCACGGGCCAAATGTAGCCACAGTGTCTACATGCGGGAGCACTTTATCCGGCTGATGGATCCCAACAAACCCAAGGGTCGCACGCTCTTCCTGCTCAACGTTCCGCCCTACGTCACGGAGGAAAGCTTACGAACGGTTTTCGGCCGCGCAGGCAGTATAGAGGCGGTGGAGTTCGCCGCCAAGCCGGGGAAGGATGAGACCATCAAGTGGTACGAGGGCACCGCCGAACCGTTCTCGAGCGCACGGCCGCCCTTCGCCTTTAAAGTGGCCTACATAGTGTTTCAGAACAGCAGCAGCATCGGAAAGGCCCTAGCCTTGAAAAGCATCGACCTCTTCAGCAGCAGCGGCGAGTGCATCATCAAAACCGGCATGGAGCTCTGGCACGAGGAGTATGAGGGCAACTACCTCGTGGAGGCCAAGACGGCAAAGGTGCAGGTCAGCAAATTCATGGCCGGGTACGACAAGAGGGAAAGGGCTGCCGCGGAGGAAGCTAGAACCGGAGAAGCCGATGCCGACGGATGGGTCACCGTGGGCAAGGAAGGCCGCAACGCTGGATTTGAGCAGAAGGCTTCGGTGATTGGACGCTTGGAGCAGAAAGTGGCAAAGCAAACAAGCCAGTCTAAAGAACTGAAGAACTTCTACACCTTCCAGATAAGGGAGAGCAAGATGCAGAACATAGTCGAGATGCGTAAGAAGTTCGAGGAAGACAAACGAAAAATCGAGCTTCTCAAGCAGTCACGTCGTTTTAAGCCATTTTAGTCAGTACTTGTAGGTTAAGCATCGAATAAACTTCTTTTCAAAACGACAACAACCCCAATCTGCAAGGGCCAGCGGGCCTGACCGCAGGCAAATCCTCATAAATTCGCAGTTACCATTGACACCTTGCCGCGACTAAATCCTGGTCACGACAGAATAACGCAGCAATGCCATAACTTATAACCGACGCAGAGAGGGGCGGCCATAAAAGCTTATAAAAAGCGAATAACAAGAAAGCCAGCGTGGGGAATGGAGCACGGCACAACAACAACCGCTGAGCTTATTGTGTGATAATCACATATGGTTTATGTTAATTTGAGAAATGATAAAAATATTTCGCTTATCAATTTTAATCGTAATCGTCGCTGTGCCGTCGTCGCGCCTAAAACGCACTTTGAAACTCACTCCCAGTTCGAACAGCACGCGATCTCTTTGCCCCGATCGAAAGAAGGCTTTTTCGACTCGGTTCAGGGCCGGAGTGAGGTCTCATTGTATCGATTTCAACACAATTAGACGATAATTTTTACTTTATTTTATATTTTTCGTTTACATTGTTCTCTTGTTTAACTGAATTTCAGAAAACTTCGTTATGATATAAGTGACATGACTATGTAACATGTTTTGTTCATGATGAATATGTACTTTAAAAAAAGAAAGAACGATATAGGTATTATTAAATTTTTTGTAGTTCTCAAAATTTAACCTTAAGTTAAAGAATACGCTTAAAGAATAGTATTTGCATTTTTAATGTCTTCAAATATTATTATAAATAGTTTAATTATTGGCAGCTTCTGCTGAATTGATTTCCGTTCATAGGTTACACCGGATCAATCTGAAAAATAAAAGTTCACAATAATAAAATAGCCGTAATAACTTTTTTTGTAATAATAAATGCTTAAAACTCTAAAAAAAAATTTCTCACTACCTCCGAATTCAAATGTTTTTGCATACGGACGATTATATAAAAAAGAAGACAGTTATACCCAACCTTGAAAATATCGGAACAACCAGAGAAAAAGCTTGCATTGTTAAAACATCAATATAGTCAATTTAAAGATATGTTTTTATGTAAAAAAAAGCCTGCTTATGTATGATTTTGTGAACAATTTAAAAGTTTTCTTTTACTATCCGCTCCAGTTTTGTTAATGCCGTAATCTGTAACTGTTCATGAACACACAATCCGGCACCAATCTCATCGCTTGCTTTGTTAAATATATTCCGATTCCGTGTTTTAAAAAATATTGCACAATTAATTGATGATTTTTGAAATCAATTTCATAACGACAGTCATTTTTGTTCGACCTAACGCTTTTTGCACATAATCCGCTCCTGCACTGTGGCTTATGTGGAGCGCATAAGTCTTGGCAGCGTTCCAGGCCCTAGGTAACAAGATACTTGGAGAAGCCTTAGGGAGTGAAATACAAACGAGGTACGCGTCGGTACGCATGCTGACGATGATCTCCGGGTTCTCGGATCGAGTCGTCGTCGGGTTGCAGTGTTCGTGGCTTTTTCTGTTGTTATTGGTGGCCTACTGTGGAGCCTGGAGACAGCAACACATTCATAATTTCTTCCGATTCGTATCGTTTAAACATTTTAAATTGATTAAAATGCGATAAATCATAATCGCCAACGTCGGCCTGGCCCCAGACACCCTGGAACTTGGGAACTCGGGACCATGTCCGGGTGATGGAACGATTTATGTGCCTCGAACATAATAAAGTGTTAACGGAACGAGTTATTAAGGTAGTCTAAATGGGCTTAAGTTAATAAAGGCCGAAAGCAATTTGCATGGACAGTCTTGCAGCGTCTAAGGTTGCATCAAGGCCTGGCTATGGTCCCAGTCTCACTCTCGACTCGACTCGACCATGCATCCCACCGATCGTCGGACACACAAGATGTCGAAAAATATAACATAAAGCGACCACACGTACGTCTCCCATGCCGCACAGCTGGACACCGGGCTGGACGAGGAAAAAGCTGAAACGCCGTGTCTTGTAAGCAGAACAATCAATAAATTTGAACACGTGAGCGGACGCGAATGTGGACGGCACTGTTCAGGACTGGATCGATCGAGCAGCCAAAAACCCAACGAGCACAGCCACGACAATTCAGAGCTATAGGTGATCAATACTCCGTGTCGACTGATTGGGGAACTGAAGTGTGCTGCATTTCAGTTTGAGATTAAAGAGTATGCCTATCAGTAATAAGGCAAATATAGTGAATTTGAGTGATGTTGATACTTGATTCTCAAGATATAAAGCATACAATCACAATTTACGATGTTTTTTGACGAATCTTAAATTCCTTATAAATTTACATATAAATCTAAGACTTGCTCATAAATATTATTGAAATCAAATGATAACACAGCTTTATTAAAAAAATTGTATTGCTTTTTTTTGTTTACGAATAGTTTATTAATATTTAATATATATTTTTTTATTTTATTTGCAGGATCAAAATTGATGCTGAGATCAAAGAGAGGAATCCCAGAAGATTTTCATGTTCATGTTGATACGGTATTGCAACTGGTTTTGGATAAATAATCAAATGACTGTAGGTAACATCTCGGTTTGATCCGAGTTAAGGATATCTATTTTCTAAATCTGTTTTCTAAATTTCATGCAGCTGATCTACACATCATTTTATAGAATAATGTTTTCAAATACACGCCATTACAACTTAATAGATTTTATTTTTCGTATGAAAACAGTTTAAGTTCTTTTTACAACGGTGTTTAATTGTATCTCACGATTAGACTAGACTAGTCCTTTTTCCAAGACTGGATTCATATCTAAATTTTGCAAAGTTGTCAAGTTACTAGGATATATGGTTACTAATTAGTTTTTGTTAACTATTGTCAAAAATGTCAATTTTTAATATTTATTATTAAGTCTCATCCTTTAAAATTGTTTTCTTATATAATACTTAACAAATGCAAATCAATGCTAAAAGAAATTTAAAGAATGTTTTAACAAATAAAGTATAAGGGAAAGAATGCGGTAAACATATTTTAATTGAAAGATATTATATGATATTTGATAACGTTTAATCGTATTTAACCCATAAGTTTTTAATTTTTTGTTTTAAAAGTGTTACATTTTAAATCAACAATGTCTTGAACATTTTGTGTAATTATGAATCACGAGCTCTTACGAGAAGCGGCATCAGGCCGTACTTCTAGCAGACATGAAACTCTCACATTACCATCTACAAGACGTCGCCAAAGCTGAACCACGGAGTGGTGTCGACATCATCCGTAATTATGGGCTCTCTGCGCGCTGTCGCCGGCCCATAAAGGTTGTAGCGCCTGGACCCGGCGATCACCTCACGGTACCGCCTTACCGGGGTCCTGGACATGTGCAACTCCATCAGGTCCCAGTCGTTGACGTCGCGGAAGACTGAGCGAATCATGTGCATTCGGCCCAGCAGCTCGGTCTCTCGCAGTCCCTCGTATCTGCGCCCGGTGCGGGCTCTAAATGTCTTGTAGACCTCGCTCTGCTGTTTGGTCTCCGTTGCCGTCTGAAGCTCCTTGCGGTAGAGAGCCCTGATTCCGCGGCCAAGATGGCGAATGTGCTCAAAGTTCCGGACGTTCAGTGCCACCAGAGACACGGCGTCCAAATTAAGGAGTTTGTGCCCATCAATGTAGTTCTCTCGAAAGGTTTGCTGCAAAGTAAATTTCTTTAAAAACATGGCTACATTCCTCTCTTCGCAACATTAAACGAAAACAATTTTGCTGTTTTAAGCTTTTGTATAAGAGCATTCAAAACTTATTTTCATCATTTACACATTTATAATCGCTCCTGAGAATCCTGCTTGAAAACACCGGTAACAACCCCAATCGTCAGAACGGAAAGTAAATCACAACCACTAAACCCATGCAAAGATTACAATTTTGACTTCACTCAGAAGTTTGCAAAACCAGTAACCACATTACAGCAACAGTCGACATGTCAATCTGTCCTTCTGTCTGTTTCTCCGCCTTTTAGTCTCTCTCTGAATCATTGTCTTATAACTGGCTGCTGTTGAAGGTAATTATTTCATATTAATATTAATAAAATTTCATTTTTAAGTAATTAAAGCCTATATTTATTAACCGCTATTGAACAGAAAAGTTAAACAAAATTTATTAAGAACCCGTCTTAACATGTTATTGTTTGTTATTTTTAGATTCGATTTTTGGTTTCCAAGGTTTTTCTTTCAAGTAGCTCAGCTCCCAGCAACACTGAGATCTTTTTGATTCGATAGAAAAGGTTTGTGGAAATCATATTCTCGAGGTTTGAGTATATTAATCGGAGACTTACAATTTTGTTCAGGCTGTGTAAAGATTCCGTGTAATTTGGAATTTCATATCGGTTTTCAAAATGTTTTAAATACCGATGACAAAATACGACGCCATTACCTACATAAAAATTATTATAAGTTCTATCAACTTTTTAGATAGATATTCAACATTCAGTACCTTATGGATGAAAAATCTGATAAACTGTTTGGGCTTGGAGAAGGAAATGCATTTTGTTTTTCATCAGTAACGTTAACAAGAGTTGTTCAAGAGTCGTGCTGGAGTTGCAATTCAGTTTCGCAACAACAACACAAACTATTTTTTATGCAAGCAAAATAAACCTTCAATAGCCTTATATTAGATTGACTTATAAAGTGAAATACCACGGGAACCGCAGGGAACTTCTCGAGAAATTGTAATTGTAATTCAAAAAGAATTAAATTGTAAACCTAACTACCCCAAAAAACTAAAGACTATATTTAAAGAAGGGTATAGATAACTACATTCAGTACTAAGAACATGCTCTAAATTTTGTGGTTAGGTTATTTAGCTGAGCTCAAATTCCGTAAGCTCTTAAACTGCGGGCATAATGTCAGATTTTCTATAAAAATACTATTAAAAAAGCTTTGTCGGGTTTGCTATTATAGTAATTATTTAGTCGTCCGACTGTGTATATGTTTTCTTAACGCCAAGGCAGTTATCGCCCTCATAACAGTTGATAATATTTCACTAAGCAAAAAACTATAGATCAAAAACTTACAGTACACTTTCCTACTAACACCGGTTACTATTAAGATGGCTTCTCTTGGAACTTTTCAAAAGTCACCTCATATTCCGGATAACCGAAATTGCGCAGCCAGTCGGTCACATCGTTAATGCTCCACTTGAAGACCTCAGTCCGGGCCTGGGAATCTACGACGGCGGCGCAGAGATTGAAGAGGGAGTCGGGTGAAGCTTTGAAAAGGAGCGGCACGTCCTCTTTGTCGTACTCCACGTCCGGAAACATGTAGCTCGGATAGCGGAAACAAAACTCTTCTTCGTCCTGCGGCGGCTTGCAGATGTCCAAACTATCCATTCCACTATTGCTGCGCAGCAGTGGAGACGCCATGGACGAAGGCGAGGGACTTGAGAACGGCTCCATTCGAGTGGAAGTAGCGTACTGTTTCGTGGCAAAATAAATTGAGTTGCCCCACAACGTTTTGGTTGCGGTTTCTCCTCAAGAACAAGTGGCATTCGTGCCTGTTTACATCGTCTGATTGCGTTCCTCTTCTTTCGAGTTCTATTCACTTTTTTATACTCTATGAAATTCAAGAAAAATGTCTCGAAATGTGTAACAATGTAACAGCAAATATTGGCTCCAAATATGTTAATACGGTCCGTGTTCCCTCCAAAATATCAAAAATGGCTTCAAAGCTTACAAAATTGTTAACAATTAACCATATCATGTAATGATTTGTTTAAAAATCTACATTATGCATTATAATTATACTTGCACCTTCAAGGATCGTAATTTTTGCAGAGAATATAAAATGTCACCCTCTCCAACACAATTTTCCGGCTTCACTTCTTGTAGCTGCATTTGCATATCCGTTGTTTTTTGGGTCAATTCACAGGCAGGTGGTGCTAGGGGGTTCCGGCACCAAGTTCACCCGGTGGGGTGGAGCGCCGAAAAGTATGCTATTTAAAGGCAGTCACGACAAGATTCCTATTAATAACACGATTTTCGCTTCGCAGTTTTCATTTTGGTTTTCCTTACTGGGAGGAGCATGCGATAATTTAAGGGCGCACAATGGATTTTCGAGCGTGCACATCGATGATCTGTTCGTGAGCAGTTTTGCGTTTTTTACTTGGGGAAAGCGGTTGGGTTCTTGGCCACCAGCTCTGTTACCCGCATTATGGAAAGGCGGCAGGCCGCAGACAGCGCCAAGCAGGTGGAGTTCGCGGAGATCGCTCAATTCCACACCGATTAGCCGCGGAAAAGAGATGCCGCATCAGCGTGGCCAGTATTTCTCCTCTGGCTCCGCCCACTGGCGCGAATCGCTCGCATTGGCCACGAGTCGCTCGCCATGGCCTCTGCGCGTCGAAACCGGAATCGCTGAGCCGTCTGTGCCTGCGCCTGAGTGGGAGTACGGGAACACATGGAGAAATCGGTAAACAAATCTCGCGGTCGAGGAACAGTCCCCGACTGCGCTAATGACACAGCGGCGTGCCTGTGTGTAAACAACCGAGCTGTGTAGCCAGTTTCCCATCCGTGTAAGGTACAGTGGGTCGAGGTCTGACAGTATTCGTGACGATGAGACTGAGCCTGGATTCACAAGAATAAGTCCTAATCATGAGCCTTTACTCGAATTTTACGTGGGCTCTGCCACAGGCACCATATGGTTAGTTTTGGTTGAGATACAGGTTAAATAAACTCTTTGTGAGCTGTAAGGATCTCATCATTTGAACTTCAAGAGTTTCGAACCACCACAACATCATATAAATAAAGCCACTTTTGCCCCACTGCTCACATCAGGAGCACACAATCTCAGCGAGATCAACCTAACCGCAATCGATCGCTGGCCGAGCGTGCTCCCTAGCGGGTTCCGATCAGTTCTGACTGGGATGCCTTGCAAAGCGGTTTGACCGGAGGCGCGCAGCCCTGAAAGTATTCGCGATCGCCGTATCGAACCCGTATTCCGACGAACTGAAATTCCCGAGCAATGTTACTACACGAGAGTGCCGCCACCATGGAACAGAGTATGCCCGAGAACCTCAGCACTCACGCGTGCGGCGAGTGTGAAGTGAATGCTCCTCTGACGGACTGCCGCGGTTTGGGGGAAAGTGATCCTGAGGTGCCGTCCAAAGGGTCCACAGTCAGCACGTCGCCGCCCAAAGGGTCCGCAATCAGCTCGGCGCCGCCAGCCACAAGCAACACCAAAGTGAAGCTCAGTTTTAGTGTCGACCGGCTACTGAGCTGTGAGCCCGGCGAGCCGCACAGGAACACCTCCTCGTCGCCCTCGGCCAAGTCCTGCTGCGAAGGGGGGCGTCTTCTCCTGCTGCTCGTTTCCGCACTGCTTCAGCCAAGCTGGGGGCGAAACCCGTAAGTTCGGCCATGCTCCCAACCCTGTACCTGCGGCACCCACGTCCACGGCCCCGTACCCTTTCGTGGGACTCGACAAGCTGTATCCCAGCCTGTATATGGATTACAAATCAGTGCTGAGACCCACGCCGATTCGGGCAGCAGACCACGGTAAGAAAATATGAAAGCAAATGCGACTACACCGTGTTCATCGGAAATTAATATCAATACGAACAATCTAACTGAAAGGATTACTTAGAGTTGATTAGAGAATTCCTTATTTGGGTCAAACACGCTTCCTGATATTGGCATAGGTGATATGCAGATTACCACTCAATGGTAATATTATTGTGCTGAATTTATTCCCTATATGCTTTTGTCATAATATACGGATCGTTGATGCTTTCGGGCAACGATTCTACTGTTGGTGAATGCTCTACTTGCTCATAGTCTAGCATGCTAGTAATATAGTTCATCTTTCATTAGGTATCTTTAAAAACAGAAGATATTTCAATTTTTCACCATTACCATTTTCTTACTATATTTATAATTTTTTCCCGATCTTATCAAACATAAATCAAAAAAACTTTGGAAAATGATTCTACATTTGAACGCTGAAAAACAAGCACTTTGTGCTTAGGTACTTATACAATATAGACGCCCGATCCCGTTTGGTTCGACATTTGTACTAAACTGCAATAGGAACCAGTCTTTTAATAACACGCACTTTATACAACTTTCTTTCAAAAACAAAATGGGCAAAGACATTGGCCTATCAATCAATAACTTTTAATAAAACATTTAGGGCTTTGGCAAAGCAGTTAAAAAATAAGGTTAACTAAAGGTAAATTGGTTCAGCTCATTAAACGCTAAGTAACGCGTATAATTAAAAGGAATACTGTATTTGTTTAAGAGAATTTAACAGGTGAAAGGAACCAATTTCGACCCCATAATTATATATTCTCTTGACCAAGATCGTCAGACGAGTTAATCTGTATCTGTCCGTCCGTACGGAGATCTGTCTACAAAACCAGAATATTGCATTTTAAGATGTATAGTCTAATTATCCGTATGCAGAGCAAGATAACATAAGTTTGTCACGCCTAGGATCGAGAGGCAGTCGACTATAGCCTTCTCCCTTTTCTAAACATTATAAACTAGAGAAACAAAAATAAAGTTGAGGAAAGTTAACGTTCCCGGAAAGCAAATAAAGAATACGTATGCCCCAATAAACACATTATTTTTGTTTGAATTATTAGTTGATCTGCATCCATATTGTGCAATATTCCTGTGGCCAACTGTTCCCTTCCTCACGATATTGATGAAAACAATTTGTTTGTTGAAATCGACAAAACAGAGTCAGAAACGATTCGGGTATTTACGTTACTTCCTGCTGCTTTCGTATATCTGGGGACGACGACTTCTCCTGGATTGCTGGCTGGCTGAGCACTTTGATCATGTTTATATGGAAACAGAAGCATAATCTGAAATGTTTCGGTTTTCGAATAGAAATTTTTCATTGTTTAACAAGTTGCTTGGGTTTTATACATGTCGCTTGCCCCACTCCTCATGCATTCAGTTTCATACACATTTCTCATCAAGTGGGTGCTAACGAACTGAGGACTTTAAATGAATGCAAAGGAGAGAATGAAACACAAATTTCTTGCGCTAAATGCGTTTTATTTTTATGACTAGCAACGATTACCTGAAAACAATAGCGGACTAAAATCGGAATTATATTAGATTTTGAAGATTTTCTTTAAAACCAGTAACAATGTTACCAAAAAATGTAAATCTGTTTAAATTTGTTAGCGTTAGGCAATGTGTTTCACAATTATTTTTTCTTATGTGAAAAAGAATGGTTCTTATAAATTGCTATCCAAAAGTAATCCTTTTTAGACTTAAAATTAAATATATTCAAAAAATTTAAACGATTACTGTTAAACCTTGACTGAAAATTTTGTTTTCCTGAAATACCCTCATTCTATATTACGCCGAATTTTCAACCCTTGCCAAAATGAAACTAAATTAGCGCTGTACTGAAATAAATTGTACTTTCCATATCAATGAAACATTAACGAAAATTATCATCAATATTAAACGTTTTTCAAACACATTTGCGGAGGAAAAAATGGGGTAGGCAATTAGTAAGAAGAACAAATTCGACAATAGCTCAATCAACAACAGATCGGTAAAAGAGAACAGACTGGCCTGAAAGGTTTCATCAATCCTTTGGCCACCTTCAACCATTGAAACTTAAAAGACCAAAGTCGAAAATGAACAACAATTTATGAACGAATTAAGAATCACTCTTTAAAAATAAACTTGAGGCTTGCCGGATCGTGGAAATCGTTTGTGGAGAAACGTTTGTTTATTTGCTTGAGCAATTGGCCCGTCATTCATGGGCAGATACAGATAGCTATCCATCTAATTGCCCTCTATAATGAATTGTTCCGCTGGTGAAGCGATTAGGAAAGGGAAGAAGGCAGCAGCGGGGGGAGAGATAACAAGGGGGTATCGACAGGCATAGGTGGAGAAAACTTTGGCCTGTTAAATGCCGCAAATCTGTGATAGATTGGGCGCCACGGGTCCAACCTGCGCGACTCGCCATTCGAGGCTGGGCTGCCGTTGAGGCTAATGACTGGGAATATCTGGCCGATGGATTGATCGAACGAATACCTGAGTCAATGATTGGGAGAAGCTATGCGGTGCTTTTTGGGGGCCAGGCCAAAGGCCAAGTATTTACACAACCACCCACTGCGGTGGCCTTTCCAGGAGGAGGCTACTCCGCGGCTGCCTGCCGCGTCCAACCTGCCGAGCGCAAAAGAATTTCGTGATGGATTGATTGCATCGGATCGCACATCATAAAATCATGGGCCAAGCGAGATCTCTTGGGTTCTTGCACCGACTATTTGTTGCTGTTTGCCTGTCTCGCCTGGTGATGAGTAGCTTGTGGTTTGTTGTTGTTCTCTGGTTCCGGATCGATCGACCAATCGGTCGATTGACGGAGCAGGCCATTGTCTGATATGGAAATTCTGTCTGAACCATAATCCGGCGCCGTGCGTCTAATTAATTAACAATTTATATGTTAATCCAACTGTTAGATGCACTTTGAAAGCGCTCAAAGATCCCTGATAAATGATCGTCTTTGTAAGATCGTTTCCGAACTTTGAAGATTTCACCAAAGTTCCCAGCAGCAGGGGAGGGCTTCCAGTGGCAATGGGGTTTACTATGCACCGAGTTCGCATTAATGTTGCTTTGTATTTGATAACGTATGTGAAGTTAACTTAAAAACTATCAGACTATCAAAAAACAATTAAATATCAGGACGGAGATAATGATTTATATTAACCTTGTAATTTCGAACTAAAAAGGAAATGAGTAAAGTGCAAATAATTTTGTCGTTTTGATCAACAACATGAGATAACTTACAGCGGTCTTACCAGATAGTTTAAAAATCAATTCTTTAGTTAATGGGGTGCTTTTTATTTCCCTTGTGCTGCTTTAAATGTGCTTTCATTTGATTTTAGAGTAGGGGAGGGTGGTCCCATACCGACCGGTCGTACCATACCGACCCCCCCATGTTTCTCAGAGATGGCGATGCTAGCCGAATTGTCGGTAACTTCAGTGAAAAGCTGTTATAACACAGACATTTTGGAGATAGATAGCCACTTTGACTTATTTTGTTTCACTGCAATTTTTCCGTTTGTTTTGTTTCAACGCCTGTGACATTTATTTTTGAGCTTTACTGAACTTGAGCTTAAATTTTTTTTCTCCGCATAAAAATCGGAGAGTAAATTTTTCTGATCGTTGATAGTCCTAGCTTTCACTCACATAATTAGAATTACATCGCTCTTTGCGTCTTTAGTTAATGCCGAGCAGTTAATCAGAAAAGGTCGTGGTGGTCCGAAACCGACCGCTAGGTGATGGTCCGAAACCGACCCCCATTTATTGGCAGCTTAATATGTCATAGCGTATTTTTGAGGGAAAATATGAAAAAGTAAACAAGATTCAGTAAAGAAAAGTAACAGAAACAGCAAAAAGATCAGAAGAAAGCGAAGAGACAGTCATCAACGAGCGGCTTTCGAAAAACAACGCGAAAACAACGCGAAAACTTACTATGAGAAAGAGGACAACTCAGACTTCATCAATTGACTACAGTGCCCTTTATTTCATACATTAATTTTTATTTTCTGGAAAGAACCTTCAATATATTTCTTAATAAACGTCAAAATCATTAAATTCTATTTTATGTTATTAAATTTTTCTGTTAAGAAATAGGGGGTCGGTTTCGGACCACTACTTTTGAGTACGACCAAAAAGTAGAGTTTTATATTTGCCTGAATATCTAACGCTTCAAAGCACCTACGCACTAACTAATCATTTAGATGTATAGTAAACTGATCCCTCTACATAGTAAATTTTTGAACTGAACTGAAAAATTGATTTTTCTCACCTTTATCGCTTTTGCCTTTTAGGGGGTCGGTATGGGACCACCCTCCCCTACACTTTTCTCCGGGCGCAAATTAAGAATTTTGTTTTGTGGTAGCGCTAAATCAGATAATGAATTTTTATTGGCCTTTTTTAAAACATCGCGCTGGGTGAAATTCTTTTGTTTGTGTGCTCTCGGCATGCGCCTAATTGTTTCTGTGGAGAGCGTTTTATTTACTCAAGAAAAACACTATGCATTCGTGTCTATTTACGTTGCAACGGAAATGCGCTCCTACACTTGTAGATACAATTGTATCTCTATGTACATATATCAACATTGCCAACGCCATCTGTGCATCTGCATAGGCTAATAACGCCTTAATTGGCCTTTTTGGCATTTGGTTTGTGTCAACCATCAGGGGTTTGTTATAATGAGTTTTCACCAATTTTCAACACCTCAATGTTGAGCACTGTGCTTCCCTCACAGCGCGAGCTCATTAATTGCCGGTTTTCAGATTCATTTATAAATATCAGTTGCCCCAATCCCGTGGCCCCGTAAATACCTTAGTGAAATGTGTTAACTTCGAGGTGCTATCCTAAATCACTCGGAAGCCTTCACAAGGCACGCTGCATTTATGCAGATGCATCTCGGCAAGGATGTGTTTGTGGGTCGTAAATTTGTGTTGCTGTGTTTAAGTTTCATTCGATTTATTTGCGCGGCTTGCCAGGATACTCCATATTTACGACTTGGTGAATATTTGTTGGTATTTTCGCATTTTGGGGTAAACTGCGAAAATTTGTTTGGATAATTAACAATAAATTCGTCATATAAGTCTTGGAATTTTAGCTCTTGCAGAGGAATTTTAGCTCTCTCAGAAGTTTACAAAGCAGCGAAGGAAACACCGTAAAGAATATATATTCTTGATCAGCATCACTACCCGAATCGATTTATGTATGTCATCATGACAGTTTATTTGTAAGCTAGTGTGATTATTGTTGTTTTCATCACACTAGCTTGATTTGTTAGGTAAAGAATTTTCTAATGAAGAATCACTATAGCTTCAATGCAGTAAGTTATTTACGCATTTTGATCAGAGTTTAGAAATTCGTTGCATACATGGTTATTAAAAAGTAATTTCTACTACTACTATTTCTATAACTACTAAGTCATAAGGCTACCATCGAAATGGGAAAAATAATGGAAAATAGTTCTTCTCGAGTGAGTACGGCCACTTTATCTCTAACGTTGTAAGGATTGAACTAACAATAGATAACGAGAAGAAAAAATCTTTGTACTATAGATTTGTGATGCGTCTAGTCGTTTTATATATTTAAGTTCTAACTGAATGCTATATACGTTCCGGCGCGCCTTTCTAGTTTTTAATATTGTTGTTATAAACCCTAAGGGGTGTAATCGTAATCCATCAAGGAATTTGCGTTAAAAAGTTCGCAATTCGCTGGTAAGTCGACTACTGAGCTAAAGCGTCTAGCTTCATCTAATTAACTGCCAACTGTGCGATAAAAAGGTTCCCCTCTTAAGTGCGAGACATGTGACAAAGAGTGTTCAGTTTTCCAAAGAGCAACTGATTTAGCTGACAGTAAATGGAGAAACATTCTGTAGTCCGACGGTAGCTAAATCATGTTATTTGGAGGAAAATATTCAGGATCTTATGCAAGAAGAACCCCTAGTTTTGCCTGCAAGACTATAAATCGCAGTAAAACCAGTACGAAAGGCATCATGTATCAACATACATGCATATCCACTGTACAATTTTACAAACAGTTTTTTTTTAATTACCTACATTGTTTTATTTATCGAATCTTGTCTCTTCGATACTGACAACAAGTATTCAAATCTTAGCCTAATACATACATTTAATTAGTTAAAAATAAGTTTTTAGAAGAACAGCTCTTGCTATTGTTGCTGGTCCCTTTGCTGGGCAGGTCCCTTTGCCGGAGTCGTGTATGGCTAGTGTTCCAGGTTGAGGAACGCGCAAGCCTATTTGGATGAGCCTGTAGCTTGAATTTATTTCGTCTTTAACAGATCCCACACTTATTTCTCAGTGAATTTTTTCATTCCGTATGTACCAGGGTGCCCCAGCTATAGTTCTCAGTATCTTTGATTAAGCTCTCTCAAACAGTGATCCTATCATTGTTATCCCTCTTCCAACAAGAGACCGACTCCAATTCATTTTTATACCCTTGCAGAGGGTATTATAATTTCAGTCAGAAGGTTGCCACGCAGTAAAGGAGACAGCTTAGACGCCATTTTTCCCCCCGGATATATATTCTTGATCAGCATCACGATCTGAATCGAAATACGTCCTTACGTCTATCTGTTTCTATGTAAACGAGTGTCTCAGTTTTAAAGCTATCTTGCTTAAACTTTACCAAAAAAAAATGATAACGTAGTTGTTTTTTATTCCACGAGCATGATTTTTAAAACATCGACTTTTTAACTACCCTTGACCGAGAAAACTATATCATATAACTGCCATATGAAAGATCGAAAATCTATACAGAATTGACTGAAATTAACGGAACAAATTGGCAACGTTGTCATCATCAGAGAAGCATACTTTTTGGAATATAGAGTTTTCTAATAACTCTCAATATCATATAGCTGCATATGACAGCAACAATCTTCGAAAATATAGAAACTTAACAGTAAAATTAACATAGCTTCGATGTTGTTTAGCTTTTATGTATTTCGGCTCGCCAAGGCTATTTTCCTTTCTTGTTCAATCTTTCCTTTAGCAGCTATCCGGTATATTAGGCCAATTTATGTTCGTTTTGTTCGTATTTCAAAGTTTATAAAAATCATGCGTGTGTGACATTATAACTTTTGTTTGTAATTCAGAGGTCGGTAAAAACAACAAAAAATCACGTTGTATAATGAAAAAGAACGGCATATAATGTTTTATTTTGTTTTTCGACCATTCCTTTCGGAGCGATATAATATCGTCGTCCAATCCGGGCCGTTCCGTCATAAGTTCTAATACAATACCTAACCAGCTTTTAAAAAAGTTTCAGCGAGATAGCTTTAAAGTTAAGAGACTAGTTTACTAAGAAACATACAAACGGACACCAGAATTCGTCTAGATGGATTCAGAATGGCAATGCAGACCAATTAAACTTCTTGGTGTCTGACTTCTTCTCTGCATTGCAAACTCCTGCAAAATCTTTTTTCTAGAATATTTTATTAAAGATGAAGTAGTTCTATTAATCTAGTGCACTTAATAGTTATTACTGCAAGTATCGTATGTTCTCAAAAAATGAGTATTGATAAAGATGTGACTTCGGGTGGCCCTAGCCACTCTCTTACTTTAGATTAAAAACAAGAAAGGAAACAAGAAATTTAATCCGAAATTCAATAGTAATTAGAACACGCCATCTGGAAGAAATCAAGTCGATCTGATCAAAAACAATGGCGTGAGAACTTTTTATTTCGTTCTCTTGTACGGGAGCTATCCGATATAGTCGGCCGATCCGACCCGTTCCGACTTACATATACATATACTGCGAGCAATAACTACACCACTTTTGGGAAAGTTTCAGCAAGATATGTACCTTTAAAACTGAGAGACTAGATTGCGTAGAAACTGACAGGAGGACAGTCGGAAAGAGGGAAAGACGGAAAGACGGACAGACGGACAGACGTATTTCGATTTAGATCGTGACGCCGATCTAGAATCCACTGCGTTGCAAACTTCTGACTGCAATTATAATACCCTTTGCTCTGCAGGGGTATAATGAAGTCGCAATGGAGTTGCAAATAAGCGGTCAATCGAAGTCAGTGTCAAGTATAAATTTAAACCTAAAATATGCCTTAACCTTCCTTAAAACATTCAGAGATGGAAAACTACTTAAATCCCAACCTCGTGTGCCCCATGTCGTGTTCGATCACCTCAAATAAATTTCGGTTTCTTGAGATAATTGTTGTTGTTTAGATTCCCACTAGTGGTAAACAAAATACTTTGCCTGAGCCACAAAATGCTTCAATGATAATTTCCAATTAAGTGAAAATTTTATTATAAACAAACCCATTTAAATATTTTCTCCGTTCACCTTATTGATCAAAATATTTTACTCAAACAATGCAAGGTTTCATAATTGGGCTGCTTAGATTTTTTCTTTGGGGCTGCGATAAATATATTATTTCCTCCGGATGCGGTCTAAATCGAGCGGGTGAGGATGTGGATCATAGGTAATAGTGGACTTCCTATAAAAATAAATTATTTTAGCGCTTTACAATGGGAGGAATAAACATATATGCTCAAACAAAACAAGAGCAATTGAAAAAAGTATGCAACGAGTAGTAGGCAATTGACTTTAGTCTTAATTTCTCCAAATTCTACCGTTCAACAGCCGCGCCCACGTACCCCACTCTGGCCACAAACGCGCTACTCCGCTTCCATCACCACCAGAAACAGCAGCATCAACAACACCATGCAAAACAGCTCCATCAGCAGCATAAGCCCCCGCAGCACAACTCGACGACAGCTTCGGGGCTGCTGGCGCCCCTTCACAGCCTTTCCACGCTGCATCTGAATCAGCAGCAGCGGTTTCTGGGCAAGACGCCGCAGCAGCTACTGGACATCGCTCCCACGACTCCGGCGGCAGCCACATTACAAAATGGTGGCCACCCACAGAAGGCCAGCGGCGGTGCTCCAAGCAACGCCGCAGGAAACAACAACGGGAAGCGCAAACGCTCCTGGTCTCGGGCCGTCTTCACGAATCTACAGCGCAAGGGCCTGGAGATCCAGTTCCAGCAGCAGAAGTACATCACAAAGCCAGACCGCCGAAAGCTGGCGGCACGGCTGAACCTCACCGACGCTCAGGTAAGTGGCTTACCTGCAAACATGGCTGGTCCTTAAGACATCCGCTCCTCAAAGAAATGATTCGCACGCAGTATTACTAATTAGAACGGTCGCAATAACGAATAATGAATAAACATCTTTATCGTCTTCATGAAATCGTCAGTCATTTGACCTCCTGTATGTTTTTTTTTTGGTACAAGCGTAAATTTTTAGATTTAGCAACTCTAAAACTGCTCGTTGAATGACAAAGCTTCATTTATTACATCGGACATCTTTATTATTCAGCTTTCTTAGGAACCTTTGTAAAATTGATACACCATTAAAATACAAGAAATATAGCTTCCGTTTTTTGAGACATACAAAATGTTAAAATGTTAGAAAATAATATTTTTAAAATTTCAGAATTCATAATGTGGCTGCCTTAAGAACGAAAGAAATAAATCAAAATAATTGAAAGTAAATATATTGTAAATAATATGTCATGTAAAAAAGGACATAACATTGTTGTTTAACATACATATTTACTTCAAAAACTGTACACTGCACAATTTACTTCAAAAACTATACAGGGCACCTTATTACAGTTGACCTTATCGGGACATCAACAAGACAAAATCTATAAGTAAATTTAATCTTTAGATGCAAGAGTGTTAAAGTTTCGGTTTGCCGGTATCTCTACCTCTTTCTCTCTTTTCATTAATTTCAGGACAATAGCTTAATAACATAAATAAAACCAATTTGTTTAAGTTTTATTTAAGCTACTTACCTAAATTTCCGTTGATACACTTGCTTGCAACTTCGTCACAGAACAATGGCAAGCACCTTAAGTAGGTAGATATCGTTTGTTTTAGTTTAAAAATAACCAAAAAAAATTGTTTGGTCCTCTTGGTATAGTGTGTCTTTCCGGGTATAACAACGTAAGATCGTAGGTCCCTTGAAAGTCGCTATAACCGGATTCTACTGTACAGTAGAATCCTGTTATAACGACTCCGCTTATAGTGTCCGTCCGGGTATTGCGACGAAAACTCGATGGCTTGATTGGTCCCCAGACAGACTTATACACTTACATCCTTTTGCTTAGTGCGTCTTCCGGGTATAACGACGAAAACTCGTCGGTCCCTTGAAAGTCGCTATAAGCGGATTCTACTGTATTTATTTGAAACGGTTAAAATGGGGCCCGATATGTATTACGTTATTCAAGCCATCATAAAAAAAATATATTTATTTCGTTTATTACCATTGCATCAACTAGGTGAAGGTGTGGTTCCAAAACCGACGCATGAAATGGAGACACACAAGGGAGAATCTAAAGAGCGGTCAGGAGAAGCAGCCCAGTGCGGTCCAGGGAGGCGGAGGTGGCTTTAAGACTTCCACGGTATCAGAAGACAGCACAGCCCACGAGACGCTCGACTACAGTTCCGACAGCTGTTCCAGCGCGGACTTAAGTGAGCAGGCCGACGACGACGATAACATTGAAATTAATGTGGTCGAGTAGACCAAAGTTCTGTAAAAATGTGCTATGTATCGATACGCATGTCAAATGTACATTTAGATGTATTTATTTCAATAGTTACTAACAGTTATGTACACAAATACCGGAAAATGAATTTAAATTATTATAAGACTAGATAAGGCTATATTTTTATAGTATTTATTATATATATTATATTTTATTTACAAAAAAAATACTTAAAAATACATTTTGAAGTAAACTGCAAGTTTGTATGATACCCCTGCGTTATCTTAATTGAAAAAGTTCAGGTGTAACCATCTGCGATATTGTTTTGGATACTGCTGCAGAACCCTCTCTTGGTTTTACAAAAAAATATCAATATCAATACACAATGCTACTGTCAAGCGCATGCGGCAGAAACAAAAATTTAATTAAGGGAATACCGCTGCGGTCAGCAGAATATAAAACTTGGCGACAGCAGGGAGACCTTCTCTAATCTAGACAACGATATAAAACGATACGACAAGTTGGCCAAGCGCAGGGGAGAGGCTATCCAATAGGAAAGATCAGGGAATTGATATTAATGGAGAGAAGCACAGTCGATAGGGTGAGGCAATTAGAAAAACACTGAGAGTAAACTGTTGGTGCACGACATTGAAATATAAGCTACACTGCGTTTATTGTTATTGCCGGTCTCTTCATAGGAGTTAGTAAATTCTTTCACGTAGCTTGAAATAAAAAATAAATAATAAAAACATTCAATTTTAGTTTACACCACAAATAATTAATAATTGTAGATTATATTTTATTTCTTTCTTTATTTATTTATTATTTTTTCTTTCCCCAACTAAAAATGGGCTCCAAATATTTGTTGCTGAATCTGTGAACAATTAAAGAATGCAAATTAAGATTGCACTCGTAAAAATCATATTTAACCCGATGTTCGTTTCTAGGATAGGGTTTTTCGGCAAGTAATAACTCGGCAAGAGCATTCAGTCTTTGTTAAACCTCATAAAGTCACTGCTCAGTTGATGTCTGTCTGGGCTAAATTCGCTCACGTTCAGTTGTTTTCCCCAAAGCCCAGAGCTCAGTTCTGTTTGAGTTTAAGCGTTAATCGTTTGTGTGTGGTGTTGGAGCAGAATTAATCTTTCTAAAGAGGCTTGCTGGCATTATGGGTAATATGCATGCCCGATCTTTTGAGAAGAGCAATGTGCCGAATCGGAGGAGCAGTGAGTAGCAAATCACTGTCTTGTCATCGTTATTTCGTAACCGATTCGAAGGCATCCTGTGGAACTTTCGTTATTCGAGCACAGTGCGTCGTCGCGAAGACTTGGCAGTGATGGTTCACAACTCTAGGATGAGCATAGCCGACTGGTTGGATCTTTTAGAACTGCAACAGTACGAAGGTTTGGCTGATAATCACGCCCCCGCCCAAACTAAAGGATTTGTTTACCAGGAAACCTTCAGGAGTTCAGCATCGTGGATGACGTGGTGGATATTACTGAACTGGAATTGAAGAAATGTGGTGTCCGCGGCGCCCATCGCCAGAGGATGGTGAATAGTCTGCTGGGAGTCCGTGCCAAGCGACGCCAATCCATGAATTTGGAAGGTAACTCACAGACATGCCCCGCAATTTAATCTCCTTAAAGAAAATCTCATTTTCAGCACTCAGCAGCGCTCCACGCGAAGCTCCACGGCGGAAGAACTCTTGTCCGTTGGTTTATCTGGGTGATATGGCGGGAAATGGCGATAGCGGGCCCAAAATGATTACCACCAAAAGCGGAAAGGTTCTTAAGCAGCTCACCTTCGACGAAACTTCCACAATGTAAGTGCCACCCTTAATTTATTTATAACTAGAATTCGCACAATTATTTCCAATATACAAATAAAAATTTGGTCGGCTTATGAGGGTTTAAGTGGGCGTGGCAATATTTTAAAATAAATTAGCGTCTTGTGGGCCTAACCAGAACGTATATGTTCAATCGTAAATAAGATAAAGAACGCATACGTGAATATATCACAGGTGCTTCTGAACTTGTTTTTGAAGTTCAAAGCATAACTATAAAATTTAGAAGTTTTGGTGATTTTTCAGTTTTTTTTTCCAGCCCAACCCTTTGCTTTCAAAATGCGAATAAATATTTTTCATAAAAAAAAATTCAAAAAAATATTTAAAGACAAACAAATCATAACAGTTTGTGAATAGATTTGTTGAGGAAAAAATGGTAGACTTTTGTATTATAATTGTTTTGATAAAACCAAAACTGACCTTACAGCAAATGTACAATGATGCGGACAGCACCCAGCGACGCTTTTTTTTATAAAAGCTTGCTGTAAACAAATTTCAAAATTTTAAGAACCTTAAAAGTTGTGCTTCGAAGTTTGAAAAGCTGCGAGCGCTGTATTTTCTATATCTTTTGTTTTGTTGATCGATAGACTTACCAAATGTGCATGGACATAACCACAGCCGTGCACCTCCGCTTCCTCTGGCAAAAGTCCCGAAAGGCTACTCCGTAGTCGGAAAAAACTGATTTGGTCCCTTGCCCATCTGCCCATTCGTTGGCTAGTGGATTTGTCCGGTCGAAGTCTTGCTCCGCAAACAGGCAATACATTCCGGATGCGAAAACCCGGTACCGCCAGAAACAGAAACAACTTGCCATGATTGCTGTGCCGGCAACCGACATTAAAGCTCTGGTTTCAATTTCAATTAAAAAACGGCCTTCCCCTCATATTTAATGGCATTGGATACCATTTTGGCAGAACAATTTACCATATCTAAGATTTATTTATAGGTTTTTCCCTGCTTTCTAAGCTGAACTATCAAATTCCTCTCTTCCTCCGCAAAATTTTTAATGTTTTCGTCACTTTTTCATTTTGATTAAAATGAAAAACTGCTATTATTATGAACAGCCAAAAACTTGTGATTTTGCACAAAAATGCCCAGAAAACGCAAATAAGAAGCAAATCTAACGGATTTTTTTTTATTTTTCCCATCTCTATATTCTATTTTAAAAAAAACAATGATCAAGCGATCAAATAACGAAAAGGAACATGCAAAAATTACCGTTGTTTTAGTTCGTTGCTATTGCACTGCTATTTTTATGAACACAGCTGTATGTAAAAAATATTTCCAGTAAAAGTTTTGATTTGTGAACAAAGACAAAACTACATATTCCAATACTCGGCACTCATCAAATAATCGGACAACACAAAAAAAAATGGGAAAAAATATATACGAAAATTTAACGTTTAATGGTTGGTTGCGACTCCTTTGATTTTTTATAACATCCTTTTTATAGGAGCTTGGGGATGTGTTTAACCAAACATGGGACTCGGAGAAGTTCCATTCTTATAATATACCTGCTTCAACCTCACTAAACTTGTTTTATTTCTTCTGGAATTCAAAAATGTGTCATGCTTAGTGTGATAAACCCGTGGTCACCACTGTATATATAAGGCATTTTAACAATCCCAAAAATTATTTTATTTCGTTAGTTTTTTATAAATACGGCGTAAATCAAGAAATATTGTACATTTCGGAATTACAGGAAACCGAACGACTGCATTAAATTAGATCTGATAACAAATGGAAGAATAGACATTACATTATTGTTTTTAAGATTGTCACTTATTATGTTTTCCACATAAATATAGTATTACGGAAGTTAACCATTAGTGTCCTCTTAGTTTGGTGTGATGCATTTCGTGTAATGAGTAGAAATATTATCCTAGCGTTTACCTTCCATATTGGGAAGGGAACAATTTCCAACATCGTCCACAACATCCACAAGAGTACTTTTTCCACTTCGAAGGCAACATATGTTTAAATCACACAAATACCGCGCATGCTCAGAGAATTTCCCCAAAAAAGTACCGAAGCATGGTAGAAGTTTTAAAACAAAACCCAAAACAAACTGCGCGGAGTAACGTAAAGTACAGAGGACAGTGAACCACCCTTAAAAGGACACCGCACTCGAGTCCTTGCCGAGGACTTTTCAGATTGGATTTGAGCGGCAAAGAGTGAAGACTGTAAAAACTGAATTGAAAAACCAATTTAACTCCTTTTCTAAGATTAGGTCCGTGCTAAAGTTTCGGTGCGTTCCTAAATGGGGACGCTTTTATATACATTTGTTTATTGGAGAAAATAGCACCACAGCATAGCACCAAAAATTAAATCAGATTAGGGTGTGTCCTGTCCCGAATTGGTTGTCTATAAAATGGGCGTAGCAGGTGAGTAACAGCAAAGAGCTAGTATACTTCCAAATAAGCTTATTTTATTCTGTGTTTTTATTCGTTGCAACGCTCGAGTGGTCGAAATGCCTTATCTCCAAAACACATTTGCTACAACTTGATTTTCAGTTTTTGCACTTGAACTTCACACATATAGTTGTTCATATACCAAGGACCAATTGCTGTAGGAGCGAATTTCCCAAAAGCTGCTTGTCGGTCCACTGGTCCTTGTTTTCCCCAATTTACCCAAAATAAGAGAAATTCACTCCGCCTCTCTGTATTCCTCGGCAGCTACGAGGAACTGAGGCCGCGCTCCAAGTGCAGCAGTCCCCGTTGGGCCACCGAAGACGCCACCATGGAGAGCTACGGGGGCAGCAACGCCTCCACCCCGCTCGCCGCCGCCCAGCCCAATCCCAGCGAGCATCAGGAGGCCATCGCCCTGAAGAAGGCGCTCGAGTGGGAGCTGAGCCTGGACGCCCGCGAGCTGCGCTCCCACGCCTGGTACCATGGAGCCCTGCCCCGCCAGCGGGCCGAGGACATCGTGCAGCGCGAGGGCGACTTCCTGGTCCGCGACTGCGCCTCCCAGCCGGACAACTACGTCCTCAGCTGCCGGAGCAAGGCAGCAGTCCTGCACTTTGTGCTCAATAAGGTGGGTTCGAGGCAGATGGCTTTCGGCATTGCCAGCTGGAATCGACCAGGCTCCCACATAATGCACGCTTCCTTGTTTTGAGCCTCATTGAGTTTCTATCCCCGATTGCAGTTGGTGCTTCAGCCGGAAACAGTTTACGAACGCGTCCAGTTCCAGTTCGAGGAGGACGCCTTCGACACCGTGCCCGACCTGATAACCTTTTACGTCGGCTCCGGCAAGCCAATCTCCTCGGCGTCGGGAGCGCTCATCCAGTATCCCTGCAACCGCACGTATCCGCTCTCCTTCTACGGCCACAAGATCGTGGGCAACCAGCTCCACACTCAGATGCTGGCCGGTCTGCGGGGCCTGAGTCCCCTCAGCTCGCCGATGGGCACGAACGGGGGCGTGGCGGCCGGCGGGGGGCGGGGGCGTGGCCTTCCGATTCGATGCCCAGCAGCAGGAGCTGTCCCCACTGGCGAGCTCTCCGGCCAGTCCCCACTGCTCGCCTCCGCGGGCCCGCAGGGAGGTGCCTCCGCCGCCTCGGCTGCCCTGCAAGAAGCAGCAGCGCTCCCAGAGCCTCACGCCGGCGCAGGCGGTGTTGGTGAGCAACATGAACAAGCTGCAGGAGCTGCAGATGCAGGAGCCGGAGGCAGGGATGGTCCGCTTCCAGACGATTGCCCGGTGCAACCCCACCAGCGAGCACCACCTGGAGAGCAAGTTCACTTCCCACTCGCTGCCCAGACCCAACACCTCCGCGGCCCAGGCGCTGCGCCAGCAGGCGGTGGCTCGGATCTCGAGCCTGGCGAGGAACTGCAGCTTGGACTCGCCGGCGGACTCGCGTCCTCCCAGTCCTCCGCCCAAGCCGCGCAAGGAACCCATGGCGGCGGTGCTGGCTTACCAGGCCAGTGGGTCCGACTCGGGCAACGGCTCCGGGGACTCGGCCCTCGGGGATGTCTGCGACGTCAGCGTCCAGCGGGGTGTGATAATCAAAAACCCACGCTTCATGACCACTTCGGTGTCAAACGGAACGCTGAAGAGTTTCACCGAGTTCGACGCTCTGGCCGCCGAGGAAGAGCTCTTCACCATGGCCATCGAGGAAGTTAGGACGGTGAGTAGTTGGTCATTGGTGCTGTCCCTTTGGAGTAAGTAAGTTAAAACGAGAAGGTTACTTAGAACGAGTTCTCCATCTATCAGATGCATGGGAACAACTTTTGATCAAGCCATATCGGCTTTCCGACTCGTTCTTTGTAGCTAAATAACAGACGTTTTCGAGGTTTATAAATTTTCGAGAATCGTAAAATGCCTTAAATAAACCGTTCTATTTTAGGCCAGCAAGTTCGACTTTGAGAACTTTAGTACCCTGCTGCTGCCAACTGTGGAGAACAAGCCACTGGACGGCGATGCACTCAACACCTTCAAGATGATGCTGCTGGAAACGGGACCGAAGCTGCTGGCGGAGCACATTACTCGCATCGACATTGCCCTGTTTCTGGACGAGCCGGCAAACGAGGAGGACTACTACCTAAGCTGCTCAGGCCTTGAGCTGCTGACCCTGCCCCACGGCAAACTCTTCCGCGAGGACATCATCGAGCGAACGCAGTGCATCAAGCTCATGGTGGCCGTAACCATACTCACCTGTCAGACGGATCTCGACCGGGCCCAGCTGCTCAGCAAATGGATCCAGATCGCCGTGGAGACCAAGACTGCCCTGGGAAACCTGTTTGGGTTCTGTGCCATCATGTTGGGCCTGTGCATGCAACAGGTGAATATCCTCGGGGTGCAGAGCTCGCGATAATAAGACTGAATGAAGACATTTAAAAGAAATAACTCTCAATATGGAATGTTTTATCTATCGTTCAAGTTGAATTTTCTGACCATTTCTGGCGACATTTTTCAGGCAGGTATTTAGTTCATCTACTTTCCTTTCACTTCCAGATTCAGAAGCTTGACCAGGCCTGGCACATCCTGAGGCAGCAGTACACGGACAGCGCCTTCACATTCGAAGCCAAGCTGCGTCCCACGTTGAGCATCATGAACGAGGCCTCCAATCCGCAGGCCCCGAACACAACCGTACCCCACGTCCTTCTGTATGCCCTATTGATCGATCGGCCCGTCATGGACATCCTAAACCACTCAAACATAGACGATCGCCCGGCCCTGTACCACACCTGCATTGCTCCTTGGGAGTCCAAGGCGGACGACTTTGGCATGACCATTAATTTCCTGCACCTGGACGCCTCCCGCGGCTTCCTGAAAAACTTGGACTTGTACCGAAAGAACGCCAAGATCATTCTTGAGGACGCCAAGCCCCGACTAGATGAGCTGTTGGCGGATGCTTTTCGGTAATGCTGCAAAAGACACCTCTTGAGAAGCCATCTAATCCCCATTCCCTTGCAGAACCGAGTTCCATGTGAAGTTCCTATGGGGCAGTTCCGGAGCCTCTGCGAAAGCCGAGGACCGTCACGGCAAGCTGGAAAAGGTGCTAACCCTGATGGCTGACAAGTTCTGCATGATGGCCGAACAGTAGTCTGAGAAGTTATTTAGCCTGTAGTTTCTGGCTCATCAGAAAACCGTACTGTAATTAAATCACAACATTGGTGGTGATTTAGTTAATGATCATCACTCAAAGTCTCGAACGCTAAATTCCACAACACTATGTTTTTAGTTTTTATACAATTATTTAACGAGATGCTAAATATACATTGCTTTATAGGAAGTTTTACTTGTATGGTATTTGGTTGAAAAGGTGTTTCGGCCCTGATGTAAACAGCGAGCAAAAACCAATAAAAATAGTATATTAAGTACGCAGCACACCAGAACTTTCCCAAATGTCTCCGATTAATAAACCCTCCGTAAACTTGAATTTCATACTGTCTCTACCTCAGCCTGAGTATATACATATAATTTCAGCAGAAACTAAAAAGCTCTTTATGTTACAGTTCAAATATCTATTAAACCTTAGTTAAGTGATCTTGGGAAGCGTATGCATATACAAAATGATTTAGAAGTAAGTCTTAAGTGGGCCCTTTGTTTATTATATATTTATGGATTTCTCTTAAAGAGTAATTCCGCCCAGACATACTACCAAAGTTTTGTACTCTCTACCTATTCCACAAAATATTGTACTAAATAAACATTCACTATAGATCAGACAATATACATTAATCAAAACATCATACATAAATATAACACGTAGCATAACAAAAAGAATGCATAATTTTTGCAATTTTATAACTGTAAGGATTAAGCAAATAAAGAAAATACTAAAATATTAGCAAAAATTTTGCTTTTTCTTTATTTTTGATGTGAAAACGATTTTATTTGTTAAACTTTCATTTAAAATTGTCTGTTATGAGTTAGTGTTCATTTTTATTGAATTGTGTCAGATTGTAACAACGCGCTTACTCAAATAATAAAAATAAAATGTTTAGTTGGAATTTTAAAATTAAAGGTACATATAATCTTTCAGAGTTCAGATTTTGAGTGCGGATACCCCAACGCCATCTATGTGTAGAATTGAGAAACATGGGGCACCACCTATGTCACACTCGCAAAGATCGGTGGTTGTATGGTCCCACTAACCGGTAAAAATCATACGTAGACGGAACTCTACATTATTTTTGGAGACAAGGCCTTTATTGATGACTTGCAAATTTTTGTATCCTCCAGATAACATTCCATTTTTTTTTAACTTCCAACTGTTCCTTTGGTATATGTACTTTTCTTATTCCTTAAAATAACATTACATTTCAATTTAAAAAACAAGTTCTTGTCACTCTTCCAAGACCATCAATAAACATTGTGAAAGCAATGTAAGGCAATCTTAACCCAATTAATACAATCAGAAAACACTTCGATTAGCTATAAGGTACTCTAAAGTACTTATGAACTACGATGCCACTTGTGCGGATGACAGATATCAGAGCGAAGAATTCAAATTGAATTACGATTAGCCGGCGAAATGTGGGCTTTATCGGACACTCAAGCAGCAAATAACAGGCTTTATCAGGCCTCCAGGAAAGGCGTGTTCAAAGTTCTCGCCTCAAAATCATTGCCCGTTTCCCATAACACTGACATTGTGCTCCGGTCAGCACTGGCGAGCAGTTGAGAGTTTTATTCAGGGGCCTCACCCTGACCTCGCGAGCTTAAAGCTTCTCCAGTCGATACGTTTTAGACGGTTTCTTCGCGCTTTTAAGCCAGGCCAAAATGGGCAGTGGTTGTGTCTGTAATCGAAAGCTGACGATGGCCGTGAGTGGGTTTCTGATAATCGCGGTGATGGCCCTCACCGTCGGCCTTTGTGTGGGACTGGGCGGAGACTCCGATGCCCTCGAGGTGAGTCGGTGTCGGCCAAGTGGATAGCTTAACCAGTTTCTGGCTAACACCTCTACCTCCAACAGGACCAGCCAAGATTTACGATCGACCATGAGGCCAACTCCTTCATGCTGGACGGCAAGCCCTTTCGCTACGTCTCCGGCTCGTTCCACTATTTCCGGGCAGTCCCCGATTCCTGGCGTAGTCGGCTGCGCACTATGCGGGCATCCGGCCTCAATGCCCTGGATACGTAAGCTTGTTTGGGGTCATTTAAAAAACATCTCCGTGAACGTGCCTAAAGGATAAATGTGAAATCCATTGGTGGTTGTTAAAAGTCCATATTCGTGGCCATCATTGGAAACTTATATCTCGAGATATTAGATCAAGTCACTGTCTCAGATGTATACAAAGTCTTAACCAACTTATTTGTTTCCACTTCAGCTACGTAGAATGGTCGCTACATAATCCCCATGATGGAACATACAACTGGGAGGGCATTGCCGATGTGGTAAACTTCCTGGAGATTGCCCAGGAAGAAGACTTCTACATCATTCTCCGTCCAGGTCCTTACATTTGTGCTGAGCGCGATAATGTAAGTGTTGAATCAAAAAAATTTAGTCAAATGCAATCGTCAAAACCTCTTTTATGCGATCAGAAAGAATATAATGTATGGGAAAACGAAATTTCAAGCGCAAGCACAAACAATTTGTGTTATTACTATAATGGAATTTATTTATTATTTATTATTGTAGGCTTTCTCACAAATGTGAATGTGAATGTAAATGTAAATACCTAAGTAGGTTATAAAGCTTTGTCCTATGTGCACGCCCCCCTGTTAATTTACGATGTTCTACTTTATTCGCTGCCTATAGTTTTTGAACATGTCATTCTTACTGTTATATATTTTTGAATCGAATTTCAGTCGAAGAATTATGGGAAGTTCATCATATAAATAAATAAATAATTTATTCCTTATTTGGATAATTTTTTTAAAGGCAAGTATGTAATAAGAAGCAAGTTTCTTATAGGTGTCCAATTTAATATATTGTGAAATTTTAGTATTGTTCTTTATTTACATCTTTCCTTTTGCGAAAGTCAAAAAATTTGGTGTGAACCCACACAATCAAAGTACAAGATAGAGATAACTTGGACGTACCTTTTCAGGGCGGCCTTCCCCACTGGCTCTTTGCCAAATACCCGACGATCAAGATGCGGACCAACGACCCTAACTACATCGCCGAAGTGGGGAAATGGTACGCGGAGCTGATGCCACGCCTCCAGCACCTGTTCGTGGGCAACGGCGGCAAGATCATCATGGTGCAGGTGGAGAACGAGTACGGGGACTACGCCTGTGATCACGACTACCTCAACTGGCTGAGGGACGAGACGGAGAAGTATGTGGCCGGCAAGGCCCTGCTCTTCACCGTGGACATCCCCAACGAAAAGATGAGCTGCGGAAAAATTGAAAACGTGTTCGCCACAACTGACTTTGGCATCGATCGCAGTGAGTGCCCGGCCAGCTTGTCACGGAACGCAGTTTTCAAGTCGTCTACATTGCAGTCCATGAGATTGAGAAGATCTGGGAAATGTTGCGTGTCCTGCAGCCAACTGGACCCCTGGTAAACTCTGAGTTCTATCCTGGCTGGCTGACCCACTGGCAGGAGCAAAACCAGAGGCGCGATGGCCAAGAGGTGGCCAATGCGTTAAGGTAAGTTAAAACTTCGGGGTCCGTAATCAACAATAAACAATCACCACTGCCAAATGGTGCAAATTCATTTTTTAAGTCTAGTATTATATTATATTTCCCTACTGATTTTTTTTTTTTTTTGGTTATGTGTTCATAAGAGCGAAATGAAAGACAATTAAGTTAATAAAGCTGGCATTGCACTGTGAATTTAATAAGCGTATTTTTTCACTCACAGGACGATCCTTACATACAACGCGAGTGTCAACCTGTACATGTTCTTCGGCGGCACTAACTTTGGATTTACAGCCGGAGCGAATTACAACCTCGACGGAAGCAATGGATATACGGCGGACATTACCAGCTACGACTACGATGCAGTGATGGACGAGGCAGGCGGGGTTACAACTAAGTACGACCTCGTCAAGGCTGTGATCGGCGAGTTCCTTCCATTGCCCGAGATCGCTCTGAGTCCCGCCAAGCGACTGGCGTACGGAAAGGTGGAGGTGACCCCTAGGTTGGCTCTGCTCTCGGCGGAAGGGCGTGCGGCGCTTTCCAAGGGTGGTGCCGTAGAGTCGACCAAGCCCAAAAGCTTTGAGGAGCTCGACTTGTACTCTGGCCTAGTCCTCTACGAGACAGAGCTCCCGGGCATGGACCTGGACCCGGCTCTGTTGAAAGTAGAACAGGTGAACGACCGCGCCCACGTCTTTGTGGACCAGGAACTGGTGGGCACGCTCTCCCGGGAGGCTGAGATCTACTCGCTGCCCCTCAGCAAGGGATGGGGCAGCACTCTCCAGCTGCTCGTGGAGAACCAAGGTCGCGTCAACTTCTACATCTTGAACGATACAAAGGGAATCTTTGGGGAGGTGAGTCTGCAGCTGCATAACGGGGGCTACCTGCCCTTGGAGAACTGGCGCAGTACCGCCTTCCCGCTGGAGCAATCCTCCGTTGAACTCTGGCGACGCGGGCTCAGCGAGCAGAAAGTCCTCGACTCATTTGTGGCCAGGCAGCGAATTCTTCGCAACGGGCCGGTCCTTTATACTGGCAGCCTCGCGGTAACTGAGGTCGGGGACACTTATCTGAACATGGCAGGTTGGGGCAAGGGCGTCGCCTATGTGAACGGATTCAATCTGGGGCGCTACTGGCCAGTGGCCGGCCCACAGATCACTCTGTATGTGCCAAACGAAATCCTTAGGGAGGGCGAAAACTCGCTTGTTATTCTCGAGTTCCAGCGAGTCAATAAGACTTCCACAGGAGAAGACCTGCCCGCAGTCCAGTTTGACGCAGTGGCTCAGTTGGATGGGGAGTCAGGAGATGTTCCACTTAAATGACGAACGATCAATTAAACTTTACCCGATATTTCGTTATTTGAAGCAATTTTTATTTTTTTTAACAACCCTTGTTAAGCTTTGTAATACATTTTCTAAATCTTATCATATATTACCTAAGTAAGTCTATGCTTAAATAATCTGTTGTTTATGTTTGGTTGACTGACTCGTTTTTACTTTCAGCTTGTCAATAATTGACTTTTCCGATCCCAAATTAATGTAATGTTTGTTAATATAATCATAATTGTTCACATCGTTATTTTTTATTAGCTTATATTCTCTTATGTATTTGTATCCACAATGTTGTTGGCAAATGGAGATTCTCTTAATATGTTTTATGTTTTTTTTTCAAATAAAGGTAAGTATATCAGCATTGTTGTAATTTCGATTTGGGATATAATTTAAAGTCTCTTTAAATGTTGAACGGAGTTTTCGTTACAGAACATGTTTACAAATCAATAACCTTTTTTGGGGCGATTAATCGGTGCATTTTGAAAATCGTATTAGTTAGTGTTTAGGCAATACTTGCCATTACAGTAACAGTAGTTAACTTTTCAGCTCATTCAATAACTAAAACATAAATTAAATTTTTGTAGGGCAGTGATTTACATACATATTTTTGTATTGACAACGTCTTCGTTAATTTATTTTAAGACTTCTCCGGACACGCAGGAGTAGTGTTTGCAAAATTTGTTAAAAATATTGACAGTCTTCAATCACTACATATGCTTGCAATAAAGATTTAAAAAGGTACAAGAGCGAATTCAAGTTTGCTTTATTTTAGCATATTATAAGTGCGCTTTTTAAAACATCAATCAGAATTGCGAGTTGCAAAAATATATTACTATTTTATGCTTTACTTTAGGTTAAGCTCGTTAATATTAAAAAGCATGTTTTCTCTTTTTTTGTGATATTCCTACCCCCACACAAAAGGAGGCTCTTCGCTTACAAAAATAAGTATTAACATATTATTTTTATGACAAACATCTGTTGTGCTAGGCAGTATTTTTTCAGATTAGGAATGAGTTGCGTGTAATGTTCGTTTGCTTTGTTGAAAATTGTTGAATATCTTTCTCTGTACATTTCTTTAAAAATATATCACAGCTGCATTTCAAGATACATTTTTCGCTTTTCCTATGTTTTCTTTTACTTTCATTGTAAAAAGTTCAGAAAATCTAATTAAAGTGTTTCGCTTTCGTTTTCTTTTTGTTTTTAGGCAGTGGAAAGCCAACGAGAAATTAGCAACAAATTTGGCAACCTAGTTAATATTAGTCAATGTCCACAAAGACGGAATGTGTTTGCTTTAGTAAAGAGGGTAAAGGTTATGGGTCAGGAATGCATAGTATAGTTAACTAACCGGAGAGTAGATGAGTATCCAAGTTTTTTTGTTCGAAGTAGTGCTTGTAGTTCGTAATAGGATACCTTTTGTTCTCCAAGTCCTTAGCTGCCTTTTATTCTTTTCTAAAGAGCTGTGGGGGCAGCAAGACCCATTTGTCAGTGCCATTTTGACTTCTGCGTATAAATATCGGCGCGAAGGTTTTGAGCGAAGCAAATTCCCAGAATCTGCAAATAGGATTCCAGATTATTAAGATTCTTCAATATATAGAAAAAAAAAACAAAACGAAACAACAAACTAAATTAAACAGACACCTGGAAAAACATCACAACAATAACAGCAGTGGAAATAATAATCAAATTGTGCTCCATCCATTCTTCGCCAGCTTGAACGCAGCCCTTTTCATAGATTATTTTGGACAATTCCATGCCCTGGCAAAGAATTTAAAAGAGCAAGAAAAATAAAGTATAAGTCAGTAATCAACATATTAAACGCAGAAAAACAATTTTAAAACGACTATAAAGAATACTTTACCATAAATAATATACAAAAATTCGACCCAGACTTACGAAACCGCATATTTTATCTTTATTATTATAGCCTATCAGGTTTGTATAGCCCTGCAACTGATATTGCATTTCAAGAAAACTCAAACCTTGGGTGTACAAAAATGAAATAAAATAAACCTTCTAAATATTCCCTAGGTTCGTATATTTAGCAGGATTGTTTATCTTGGTGATTCATCTTGATAATATTAACATCGCGCAAATAGATTGCATTAAGTTTGGAAAGTTTTAGAGTAATTTCTTACAAATGAAAATCAATAATAGGGGCAGGCAGTAGACGTATTGTCGGAAACAACCAAAAATATGACAGTCTCTGGAAGACGAAACCTAAAACCTTTTGCTTAAAAAGTTTTTAAAACACCATAGGGCATATGGCTAAGCTCATATAAAATATGTCGTATATCTATCACAAAATAAAAAAACTACGATGACCGATTTAAAGTGTAAGATAGAATGTACGCGTCGTTTTACTAACACAGATAACATTAGGTGTGCAAGATAAATTTATTAAAATAGTCAAAAGAAAGCGATATTTCTTTTGCACCTGCAGAACAAAGACGGCCACGCAGCAGATCGCCACACTAATAAGGTGTGCTTCCAGCCAATCCTCGCCAGCGCGCAAACAACCACGCTCATGTATGTTTCTATCCACCGGCTGCTTGCGTACAATTAGTAAGTAAACCACAAAATGCATTTTGGGGAGATTTAATAACGAAACCAAAAGACTTACATGACCTTCCTTGCGCACGTCGTAGCCGCATTGTTTGTTCTTGATAAGCTCCTGCGGACGCCGACGACAGCAGGAAAAGGGCACTCCGCACGCCTCCCTGCTGCCGATAGCGATGGAGGAGCAATTAAAGTAATTGTTGCTATCCCAATCCTTCGGCCCGTCAATGCCGCAACACTGCAGCCAATCCTCCTGGATCCAGTCGATAAGGTTTTGCTGGTCTGCATCCTCACGATAGTGCCGTATAAAAGCCTTCAGTCCCTCGGTGGCCTGGTCCTTGATCTGGAAAAGGCAAGTTTTAATAGACTAGGTTGTTCCGAATGTTAATAGTACTCACCCAGCCCTTGTCCTTGAGCACGAAGGCCACAGCACAAAAGCCGATCTCAGCAATGAGCAAAACACTCAAAAAGATGGCGTACTTTAAAGAGGCAGCATTATTGTTCGCAATCCGAGGGATGCAACATGTAGAATACTTACTGCCGCAAGTAGGCAAGTGTTCTCCCGCAAGGCACCAACGCTACCCATAAAACCGAGCAGAGAGGTGATCCCGCCAAGGATGATCAGCACAAACGCCGGGTCAAGCGCGATAAAGTGCAACCTAGTGATGTTGCGGAACATATCCTTCTCACTCCAAGCCCAGATGCCAATAGAAAGGGCTACCAAGGCCGAGAGCCACAGGATCACGTTACTAGCGAACAGAAGGTATTTAAGACAGCAGCTGATTTCGCTGGTCTCGCGACGAAATTTGCGCACAGCAGCTGGCATGGCTCCAATTTTAACAATAATAAATAAGGCTAAAAACATAAACGTATGAGATTCTTTTTACTAGTGTGACCGCGTCTGGACTACTAAGCCATTGCCACTTTAAATATACTGAGACTGGGATATAAAGTTTTGCTGAAAATAGTTTTCACGATGATTTCCTAAGTTTACCATCGGTTATAATAGGTCTTTGGCGTTTCGAAAATTCATTGGAAATAGTTTTATTCGGTTGCAAAATTTGAATTTAAGTAAATCAAGTGTAATTTGCCTGTTTATTTAATATTTATTTGCTATTTAATTAATTTATACCAAATATGTTCAGAGCTGGCGATTTAATTGAAAGTAAGGTATTGACATGGATAGAAAATGCATAAAAATTAAATACCACATAAAGGGTATTGCCGATTAGGATAGCTTTGTAGATTTCCGATAGTAACTTTTTGTTTGAATTCAAGGCCAGTGTGCGCAACGTCGCTGAAATCTGGTATTCTCCAAACTTTTCTTTCTGGCAGCGCGGCATTTACAGCACTTCGACAACGGGTCACACTGGACACATGTAGCAGGAAAAAACGCAGACATCGGAGAAATAAATCAGAAAATTTGATTCGCTCTGAAGCAGTTCGCAAGTGCCGTGGTCGGTGGTTTTATGGAACACTTCGATCATTCAGCGACCGTGCGCGACAACTTCATCCTATGACGACAGTGAGTTTTTCCCCAGTGCTCGAGCAAGTGCGATTGTGTGCGTGCAAGTGTGTGAGTTAGGGGCCCTTCTGATGGCTGAAAATGTTTAATTAGCAGAGAAAAAGTGGTCAACAGCAGACGCCCACCTCGGCAAGGGCTTTAGTTACGGAAAGAACTCAGAAAAAGCGCAGATTGCAGCCTCTACAATGGCCAACGGGGAAAACAACCCCCCGCACTAGTCGAGGAAAATGTTTGTATGTGTGCTCGCTGCTGGCAGCGCCATCGTCGTCCGAAAATCCGTAATAAAAGTGAAAATCCGTCTAAAAACAAACAATTACCCCCGATAGGTTTGGAACCGCCGTGAATAAGTGGAGTTCGGTTAAAAACAGGAACAAAATTCAGTGGCCAAAATCTGGCGCACGAATTGCATACGCCAGCAGACTAGTGGCAGCGCTGCAAAGTGCGTTGCGTCGCTGCCCGGTCGCCATCATAGCAAAAATATTGTGATCCCACGCCTGGAAAATATATATAATGTCGTGGAGCAATTTATAGAACCCGCCGCGATGTTCGGGGAGTTACTTTTCGAAAAGTACAGTGCTGCACTTGCCTTCCAAACAGTTGTCCCCCATTCCGTTCCCAACTCCCCCGCTTGTAATGTGCAATATGGCAGGGCAAATGCGTAAAAGTTACAACGTCAACGTCTACTGTAGCAGGTGCTCTCAGTGGGCAGATTGCACGGCTCCTGATTGAGAAGTAGCTAATATTTGGCTAATTGCGACAAAACCATATATTTATGTACATGCTCGTTTCGGCTGTGTGCTTGTATTCGCATTCGCGTACCTGTGTTTGGCTGTGGCTGTGTAAGCTGCGTGCGAGTGAATGTGTGTGTGCGGCTGAAAATGGAAATTATATAAAAGAAGCTTTCGGCTTAGGCTCTGTTTTCCCGAATGATCGGCACATCCAGACCGGAAAAACAGTTTGCCAACAATAATTTCACCGATTCCAAAACCTACAGTTGGCACGCGTTCACATCAAACTATTATCGCAAACCCCCAGATTAATAAGGAATCGAGGGGAAACAATAATCCGTGCAGCGCAGCATGCCTCTGCCTGCTTCGCTGCCGCCGTTGATGTACTTTGCTCACTTGATACACAAAAACGGTACTCTTCGCTCATCTCTCCCAAAGAGAGGGCTCTTCCTGATCAAGCACACGGAAAACTATACACACACACTTCCCACCCACTTTTACTCCCTTTCCGTCATCGCATTCGGTGGTGGCAGTGGCATGGCGACTCCGAGCGCCCCACTTTTTTGCAGAGTGTGTGTTACAACAACCACCAAAGCAAAGCTCTGTGCCGGCGGCTCCCTTTTGACTAGCTGACACACGTTAAAAATCAGTTTAAAACTTCAAGCGGAACTAAATGTGCAGGCGATTTTCAACATGGCCTCGCTTCCGTTTCTAAATATCATTAGTCGAAATTACATTCTTTTTTTTGGGAAGATTGCTACTTTTATCTCTTTTTTGAAATGTGTATTTGTAAATATGTCCTGTTGGCTCAATGTTTTGAATTCAATAAGTGTAATCATTATGTACACACAGAATGTGACATATGCACATACATGTTCTTATTGAATTTGTAAGTTTATTGGTCGCTATGTTATACATACACACGCCAAGGCAATATGCCGTGTCCATGTCCGGGGTTGTGCTTGTATTGCCGTGCTCCACTTTTGTATGCAACAAATTCAGTACTGCTAATCACAGCTGCAATCTCTCTCGTTCTCTCTCTCTTCGGGAGAATTCATACCCCCTCGAAAGCAATAATACGGTGGTGCATTACTTGTGCTAGGTCCAGTCCAGGTACTTCGATCTCGCCAGAAGAATTAAATAGTAAATATATCAACAAAAACAGGCTGAATTCAGTGACCGCACTTGTCCCGAAGCCAAGTTGTATACTGTTTGTTTACCTGCGAGGGTTGGGTTCATCAGCACAATATATACATACACACAGGTGTGCGGTGTTTTGGTAGATATGCAGTGGGTCAAGCAATTTCCCACATCGATCAATAGAAGTGTTTTTAAAAATTGGAATTTGAATATGGTATTAGGGTATCAATATTTATTTATTTATTAATGACTAAAAATTAAATCGAAAAAGAGCCTTGTAAAACATCAAAAAGTTAAGCCAAGAGGCAAAACAAAAGATGATCTACAAAAATCTTTCATTGGCTTAAAAGTCAAACTCTAACCACTTTTTGCCGTTGAAATATTTTTGCCAATATGTCAACGGCTGCTTAAAGCTGAAAATGTCGAAAAAATCGACTACAGAAGCTAACCGACTAAATATAATATAAATAAATTTCTGTATTTACAACTTTCTTTCAGAGTCGAGGGCAATAAATCTAATCTGAATTCATATTAAAGCTATGTCCGCCAAGACTGAGGCGGACAATACGACGACCGCCAATTCCGGCGGCGGCAGCGGAGGAATCGGCAGCGGCACATCCTTTGCCGGAGGGGCATCCGCCAACGGAACAACCACTCCTGCACGTAGACTGCGCACCCGCAACTCGACTGGAAACGGTACAGCCAGCGGAGGCGAGTCCGTAAAGAAGTCAAACGCCAGCGATGAGCCCACGACACCAGTCAACCCAGCAGGGGCAGCAGGATCTCATGGCCTTGCTCCACCAGCTGCGTCACCGTCAGTGGTAGAACGGCCAATGCCCAGTGTCCCAATGAACCACGCCAGCAGCAGCGTGTCGGCCAGCAAGAAGTACCACAACAGCTGCCCTCATCCCACGCCAACTCCTGCGCCGACAGGGCATAAGAAGACGGTGCACACACAGCCGCACAGTAGCAACAAGTTTGACCAGGGAAAGAACGAAGAGTTCCATTTCGACACTCCACCGGAGTGCCCTGTATTCCGGCCCACGATTGAAGAGTTTAAAAACCCCTTAGCTTACATCAGTAAGATCCGCTCCATAGCGGAGAAATGCGGAATCGCTAAGATTTTGCCGCCGGCCACCTGGTCGCCGCCATTTGCTGTGGATGTGGACAAGCTGCGCTTCGTGCCACGCGTGCAGCGGCTCAACGAGTTGGAGGCCAAGACTCGCGTCAAATTAAACTTCCTTGACCAGATTGCTAAGTTTTGGGAGTTACAGGGCTCCTCCCTCAAGATCCCAATGGTGGAGCGCAAGGCCCTTGATTTGTACACGCTGCATCGCATTGTGCAGGAAGAGGGGGGTATGGAACAAACCACCAAGGACCGTAAATGGGCCAAAGTAGCCAATCGAATGCAGTACCCCTCCAGCAAAAGCGTTGGCGCCACCCTGAAGGCGCACTACGAACGGATCCTGCACCCCTTTGAGGTGTACACCTCGGGCAAAGTTTTGGGTCCCACCCCAGCATCTGCTGCAGCTGGTGGCACGCCCGTAAAGCTGGAGGATGGAGGCGGCACCGACTACAAGGCACACGAAATTCCCACTCGGCAGCAAATTGCGCCGCCGAACGAGACAAGCACTCGCCGCTCCAAGCGTTTCGGAAACTCCAGTGCCAGTTGTGGTCTGAGCGGCGTTGCCCCCAAGCCGTCCGCTGGCGTGTTCGTCAAGACGGAGACCAAGGAGGAGTTTAAGAGAGATCTGCTTAGCAGCTTTAACGCCGTGAATACTGGCGGACCGGCATTAGCCACTGGCGCGCCTGCCAATACTCGTGGCGCCAGCCAGAAAAAAGGCGAGCCACCGGCTCTTATTGTTGACCCGCTGATGAAGTACATTTGCCACATCTGCAACCGCGGCGATGTCGAGGAGTCGATGTTGCTCTGCGACGGCTGCGACGATAGCTATCACACCTTTTGTCTGCTGCCGCCTCTAACTAGCATCCCCAAAGGTAAGTAATTCATAGAGCGTAAAGTGTTTTAGTTTTAAAAGGGATTTAAGTTCTAAAATATATTTGTTAAGCTTACATATACACATAGTACCAAAACGCACCCAGAGTGCGCGATAGGCTGCACTTATTGCCGAAAACTTGGTGATTGAATATTGGGTACCTCTTTAAGCGTTAACTAGTTAACATGTTGATGTTTTTGTATTGGGGTTCACGGGACCTAAGTAGCGCGCTTTAATAGCACTGTTGCCATCTTTTACCAATTACACCAATTATCTGAGTAAGTAAGAAGGTAAAATATTGGGTTGCATCAAACCATTTCTGTCTGAAAAAATAAAAAACAAGCATATATCCATCATATCAATAATTTGCACGCTTAGTACGAAAACATTACAATCATTTTTCACATCGCGGATTGCAGCGTTAGAGTAGATGTCTAACCATTTTATATTTAATAACATAAATAAAATCCGCTCATCAATCCCAATAATCTAGCTCCTATAAGGCTGGTCGCGAATGAAGTCTAAAAAGAGCGTTGCACTTTATCGTAAAATTATTATATATATATTTTATATTATTTTTTACTTATTATTAATAAAATTGAAATTTGTTTTTTTTTTTTCGATTTAAGGAGAATGGCTCTGCCCGCGCTGTGTGGTCGAGGAGGTAAGCAAACCTCAGGAGGCATTTGGCTTTGAGCAGGCTGAGAGGGAGTATACTCTGCAGCAGTTTGGACAGATGGCGGATCAGTTTAAGCAGGAGTACTTTCGCAAGCCGGTGCACTTGGTGCCCACCGAGATGGTGGAGCGCGAGTTTTGGCGCATCGTATCTTCCATTGATGAAGACGTAACGGTCGAGTACGGGGCTGATTTGCATACAATGGATCACGGCTCCGGGTTCCCCACTAAGAGCTCGTTGTACTTGCTGCCTGGCGATCAGGAGTATGCAGAGTCAAGCTGGAACCTTAACAACCTACCGTTGCTGGAGGATTCAATTCTGGGTCACATCAATGCCGACATTAGCGGCATGAACGCGCCGTGGATGTATGTGGGCATGTGCTTTGCCGCATTCTGTTGGCACAACGAGGACCACTGGAGCTACTCGATCAACTATCTTCACTGGGGAGAACCAAAAACCTGGTACGGTGTTCCGGGGTCTTGTGCTGAGCAATTTGAAGAAACCATGAAGCAGGCAGCTCCCGAACTTTTCTCCTCGCAGCCCGATCTGCTTCACCAGCTAGTGACAATTATGAACCCCAACATCCTGATGAACAACCGCGTGCCTGTGTTTCGTACTGATCAGCACGCCGGTGAATTTGTGATCACCTTTCCCCGGGCCTATCACGCAGGCTTCAACCAGGGTTATAACTTTGCAGAGGCCGTCAACTTTGCGCCCGCCGACTGGCTAAAGATGGGACGCGAGTGCGTGAACCACTATTCAATGCTTCGTCGCTTCTGCGTATTTTCGCACGACGAGCTCGTTTGCAAGATGGCCCTGGAACCGGCGAAGCTTACATTCGGCATCGCTACCGCGTGCTACATCGACATGGCCGAAATGGTAGACACGGAGAAGAAGCTGCGCAAATCACTTCTAGAGTGGGGCGTCACCCGAGCAGAGCGTCGCGCTTTCGAGCTAGTAAACGACGACGAGCGCCATTGTCAGGAATGCAACACCACATGCTTCCTTTCGGCAGTGGCCTGTGAGTGCAACGACAAGCTGATTGTCTGCCTTCGGCATTACACTGTGCTCTGTGGCTGTGCTCCCGAGAAACACACCTTGATCTACCGCTACACCCTGGACGAAATGCCGCTGATGCTGCAGAAGCTAAAGGTGAAAGCGCACAGCTTCGAGCGCTGGCTTTCTCGTTGCCGCGACATCGTCGATGCACACACGCCGACTTCGGTGACCCTACAGGAGTTGCAAGAATTGTGTAAGGAAGCAGAGACCAAGAAATTCCCCTCCTCGCTGCTGATCGATCGCCTCAATGCAGCAGCCATAGAAGCGGAGAAATGTGTTACAGTCATTCAGCAGCTGGGTATCAACAAGGTAAGTCAACATTTTCGATTTGCAGTTCTAAAACTAAAACTAACTATTACGATTCTCGATCAGTTGGTAGATAGAGTATATTTTTTTGTGGTGGATTGAATTTAAAAAATTAAAATAAACCAACTTTAGTTTATACGCAATTGTATCCGCCTAATGCGATTCTTCTATAATAGGTACGCACCCGCTCGGATCACAACCAGGAGGCGGCTCAGTACAAGCTAACGATGGAGGAGCTAGAGTTGTTTGTTCAAGAAATCGATAATCTATGTTGCATTATTGACGAGGGCGCATCGGTGCGGGAACTCCTCGTTTTGGGAAAACAATTTGTGGAGCGGTCCGAGAGCCAGCTGCAGCTGACGCTCGAAGCACTGGAGGAGAGTGAGCTAGAAACGTTGATAAACGAAGGCAGCTCTCTGCGCATAGAACTGCAGCAGCTCGACCTACTGCAAAAGCGACTGAAGCAGTGCAAGTGGTACAAGCGTTCGCAGGGCCTAAGGGAGACGAGCTCGAAGCTGACCTACCAGGACGTGAAGAACCTGCTGCACATGGCGGCGGCTGACCTGGACCCCACGGACCCCTACGTTGACAAAGAAATGCGAAAACTGCAGCAGATTGGGGCAGACATTGAAGCCTGGGAGTCGCAGGCGGCAAAATACTTCCGGCGCCTCACGCAACAGCACGAGCTGGGAGAAATCGAACAGTTCTTGAAGTCGGCGGCAGAGATAAATGGTCAGGTGCCCTCGCATGGGCTTTTGAAGGATGCGCTTAGAAAGGCTCGTGAGTGGCTGCGGGCCGTTGAGCAGCTGCAGCAAAATAACCACGTTACATATTGTCACACACTCGAGGCCATGATTGAACGCGGTCTTAACATACCCATCCAGCTGGAGGAACTGAGTCGAATGCAAGGCCACCTTAACAGCGCCCACCAGTGGAAGGACAACACAGCATGTGCCTTCCTGAAAAAGGGCACCTTCTATACCCTTTTAGAAGTTCTCATGCCCCGATCAGATGCCATTAATATTGACTCGGATCTCAAGCCGCGCTTCCAGGTAAGCACGGCAATGCAAAACTTTTCTTTGTTTTCCACTTATTATTATTTTGTTATGCAGGATGACTTTTTGAAGGAGAAAAATCCAGCGGAAATCGTCGCCAGCTTCAAGCACGCCGAGGAGCAGGAGCTGCTTGACATGCGTGAACTTCGGCGGCAAAACATGACCAAGAATCCGTTGCGCGATGTGTTCTGCTTGTGCAAGTCCGAGTTCCGGAACCTAATGTTCAACTGTCAGTTGTGTCGGGACTGGTTCCACGAGGACTGCGTCCCACCGCCCTCGACTACGAATGGAACTATAAGCGGAGGGGCAGGAGCAGGGACTAATCGCCCCAAGTGGCTCTGCCCCAGCTGTGTACGCTCGAAGAGACCTCGCCTAGAGACCATCCTCCCGCTGCTCGTCCAGCTTCAGCAACTGCCAATCCGTCTGCCCGAGGACGAGGCGTTGCGCTGCCTGGCGGAACGAGCGATGAACTGGCAGGACCGGGCTAGAAAGGCGCTGAGTAGTCCAGACGTCAGTGCGGCCCAAGAAGCAATCATGGCTCAACAGCAGCAAAAGCGGCGCTCTGAGGGCGGAGGAGCAGGGGTGGGCAACATCAATAGTCCACGGAAGCCACGTCGCCGTGGTAGCCTTGCAAAGGAGGCGAGCGGGTCCACAGAATCTGATGCCGACGACGATGACGACGAGGACGAATGCCGGCTTCGTATCGTGGAGGATAACTTTAGCAACGACGAGGACGAGCACCGTACAGCCCCCGCGACCAGCACCACCAATACTGATCTCCACAAACTGTTGTCCGACAGCGAAATTGAAAACCTTCTTGACCTGATGATGGAGGGCGACCTGCTCGAGGTCTCACTAGACGAGACGCTTGAGTTGTGGCGCATCTTGGAAACAATGCCGCCTACGTTGCTGCAGGCGGAAGCCATAGAGCGAGTAGCCCAGTATTTGCAGCGTCAGCGACAGCAACATACTAATCCTTTACCCACATCCGGCGCCGAAGACTCCAATGATAGTTTGCTGATGCAAAATACCAATAGCAACAGCAATAGTGGTGGAACGACGGCATCTGCGAGTAACAGCGGACGCAACAAAAAGAGGCGCTCCAATGATACCAGCGGCAACTCAGCTGTGCCACGGAAGAAGCAGAACACGCCGAAGCAGACTCCGGCGAAGAAGGGATCGACGGCAGCGGGACGCAAGAGCGATGCCAAAGCTTCCCCGGTAGCATCAGCAACTCCAGGCGCAGATGCCGACGCTGAGAACAAACAGGCCAATGGAGGAAACACTAACTCTAGTACAGGGGCAGGGGGTGGCAATTCGGTGACTACCACGCCCACTCCCGGTTCCACGCACAAGAAGCGAAAGCGAACCTCCACAACCGCAACCAACAACAACAATAACAACACAAACAATAGCAACAGTAGCAGCAACATCAACAGTAATAATGCCAGCGCCCAGGGAACAGCAAGCGGAGGCAACTCAACCGGCGTGCAGAAGAAGCATGCGCAGCGATCCCAGCAGGCCGCGCAAGAGGACGACGAGGAGGAGTGCCGGGCGGAGAACTGCCATAAGCCCACCGGACGGGAGGTGGACTGGGTGCAGTGCGACGGCGGCTGCAACGAATGGTTCCACATGTACTGTGTGGGTCTTAACCGCAGCCAGATTAAGGCGGACGACGACTACATCTGCATCCGATGCACCAAGACCGTTGCTATCGGCACATCGGGATCTGGTCACAATATGAGTGCGGCGTCCACGACGACGCCGGGCAAACAGCGGGCGGTGCAATCGGCGCGGTAAAGTAGAATGAAATGGAATCCAGGGGTTGCCGGGTCGATACGTTTAAGATTTTGCAGTAACAGCCGATTTGTGTTTTACGCATGATGTACTACTACACACGATGAAGGCCGAATAACGGTTATTACTAAGTTTAGAAGTCACTTGAAAGTTTTTGTAGTACATATTTACCAATTATCGCTATATTTACGCATCCGCAACGTAAAACACAACTGAAAACAAAAAAAAAAAAAAGGAAATACAAAGCAAAGGAAATCAGAAACAAGCATAGGGATTATCGATTAAGTGAAACAAAAAAACGCAAACAAACCCACACACTATTTGTTTTTGTACAATTCAGCCCATTTTTTACGTTCGTTAAACGTTCTTTTATTATTATAATATATTTTACCATTACCATTACCTGCTATTATTAGTTTTTGTTAATTTAATTCTTTTTTGTGTTCGCCCTTTGAGTTTCGTACAATGCGCACGCAAAGTTTTCTTTATTTTATCTTAGTTTTTCCCTTGACCGAAGGCAACTCTCGTTTTACTTTTGTACATTTTTGTTTACTTAAGGTTGCGAGCAAATATCCTCAAACATTAAGAATCTTCCAATTTCACGCGTGGCGCCTTCAAACACACCTTTTCTTTGTATGTTCTTGTTTATTACCCCAAGTTAAACAAAAAACTTAAAAAAATGTTAATAAAACGATCATACAAAACAAAAATTCAGTATAAATCTAAGTTTACATTTAAAATACAATGAAAAATGTATAATTTTTAATTTATAATAAGTAAGTTGACTAGAAATCCAGCAACTTGGCAGTAACAAAAAATTAAAAATGTCAAAATATCTTGATAATATCAACGTAAAACAATAAACAAGCTTAGAACTATGCAATTAAAAGCCAGATAAAAACAGAAAACACTTTGTAAAATCATTTTTTAAATGTGTATAGAAACTCAAAGCTTACAAACGTGCAGGTTCTAAAGAAAAAAAAACAAGATAAAATATTAAGCGATAACGGAAACAAAACAGAGCCCTAAACATATTAAGAAACTTTTATTTTAAGCAGTAATGTACGGTTTATTTCAATGAAGGATCCAAAAAATCATAAAATTTATTATCCTCACGACACCTTCCCCCCAACAAAATATATAATTCTATAATTTAAATAAATTATATACATAGTATTTAAAAGAAACATTACCTTGCTGTTTATTTAAACAATGTTTATTTAGCAGTCTGGCATAGTCTGAGGAGTTTCGCTGTCCACTTTTAAGCTACCTTTAGCAATGCCGGGCGGCCTTGCACGATTCGCCGAATTGCAAACCCGTTCGTCCTGACTATTGGGTCTGGAAATAGGTCGCTATTAAATACATTAATAGCCGCTTTTTCTGGAGCCGTTCGCAATAATAGAACTAAAACTTTTTGAGTAAAATTTTACTTTCTTTTAGATTTAATTTTTCTTTTGGTTTTTTCAAGAGACGGACCTTGTTTTTCTTGATTAAGGGGGGGGTAAGGTTTTAAAGGCCAAAAAAAGGGCCATGTTTGATTTTTTTGCGGCGAAATGAGTAAGTTTATTTTATTGAGCTTAATTACATGTTATTGTTTAACTATTGAAGAGTATTAGAAAAAAAAAATTATTAAAAAATATTAAGAAATAAGCCTGTGGCGGTTAATCTTCCGAAGCGCCTAAAGAAAAAGTTGTTTTGCGGTGAACATCATAGGGCGTTAACGGATCATCTTAAAAATAAAATGTGATATGCGTTGTAAAGATAATGAATTTCCCGAGGTAATCAGAAAGAGTTTTTTTTAAATTTATTTTTTGTCTATTTTTGGGAGCACTTGAAAGTGAAAAGTGCGATTTTAGCTTAAAAAATCGCTGTTAATTTATTTTTTAAAAATAGAAAAAAATTAAAAAAAAAAAACTCTTCCTGATTACTTGCGTATTTATGTTGAGAATTTGTCTTAAAAATTTGAAAAGGATCGGTTCAGTAGATTTTGTGTTCTGATGTTCACCGACTTTCAAAATAACGTCTTCGGCAAAATCGATTCAAAGTATTTTTGTACGTGAAAATACATACGTCCAAATACGGTTGTTTAAAACGCTGTAACTCCGTTAGTTTGACTTTATTTGACTCAAAATTTTTACACAATGTTCACGACATATTGGTCATTCAAAAAAAAAAAAAAAAAAAAAATGTAAAAAAAAATTTTTTAAAACCTTACCCCCCCCTTAAGGCTTCTACAAAACGTTTCATAGAAAATATTTACTGAACTAAAAATTAAATTAATACTCCTCGCATTTATTTCTGAATCAAAGCTTAACAACCACACGCAGATGCAAAGTACAGCTCGCCATACAATTTATTTTAAACGGCTAAGTACCATACACAAGGCTATTTTTATAGATATGCATACTCGTATATTCTTGATCACCATCTGAATCGATCTAGACATGCAAGACTGTCCGTCTGTCTTTTCCTCTTTAAAGTAGTCTCTCAGTTTTAAAGCTATCTCGATGTAACTACCAAAAGTGTCGAGTTTGCGAATCGGATTCCGATTTAAAGGAGAATTTTCCATTGTCCAGCAGTTACCTTTTAATACCATTTTATAACCACATTTCTGTCGTTTCAAAGGTGCTTATCGAAATTGTTATCAATCGATGTGCCCACATGACGTGAGACATGCAATCAATGCGTTCCAAAAAAAAGTAATTTGTCAAATTTATTACAATAGGATATTACCATTAATTTATTATTTTGCTCACAAGTTTCAAATGTAGTCTGTATATGATGCAGCCACCCCTGGCCAATCACTTGTCATTGACAATATTCTTAGGTAACAGTTTTAGAGGCTATCAAAAATATTAGTTGCTTGGTTGTTGATTAGAGGTTTACTGCCGTTCGGGGTGGCTAAATGGGACAAAATACACGGGTTAGTGGCTTTACATTTATGATTTGATAGCAATATAAATATTTATCGAAAATACTAAGACAGTAGTATAATAGGACAAGTATTACACACTAGATTTAACAGGCTTTCCAACTTATGAGGTAACAATTAAATAAAGCGCTCGAAAGTGTTCCTTAGTACGGCCAACGAATCAAACAAAGCCCACAGTCTAGCATTAATACCAAAAGTATATACACGTAATTGTTCAATTCAGCCGCTGCGAGTGTTTAAGTGCCTTTTATCTAATCATTAAAGATTAGAAGGTTCTGTGTATTTGGTTGCTCCCTTCGGTTCTTCTCTATCCGCTGTAAATGTCTCTACGATGTATAAAAAAAAGCCGCTTTAGGTCTAACGCTGAGATTACATTCATAACAGGAAACCTTGAATTGCATCGATTACTTAGGACGCCAGGCCGCGCTGGCGACGTTTCACGCGGGCATACGGTCCCACCGCTGGGTCCATGATGAAGTCGTAGAGAACCCGGGTCCAGCTAGTGTGTTGGGGCATCGTGTCGTAGAATTCCTTGGCGATGCGCTTCACCTCGGGCAAACGGGAGCCGGGCACAGCCGGGAAGTCGTGATGCTCGTTGTGGTAACCCACGTTGAAGGTGATCCAGTTGAGCGGGCCATAGTAAGAGTAGGTCTCAAAGCCTTTGGCAAACATGTAGTGCTCCGAGATAAAGTGTCCGGCAACCGGGTGCAAGCCCATGGCTAGAATGCTACCGATCAGCAAATAGGCAAGGGGCTTCCAGCCCAAGAAGTATACGATCAGCGCATTGAAAGTCAGTTGCACCACAGTGTTAATAATCTCCAAGCGCGTGGGTGGCTTCGGGTTAATCACCAATGGACGGAAAATGTAGAAAAACGGTTGCAGGCACACCCACAAAAACTTTCCGAATGTGGTATCAAAAAGGCGCGCCTCCAGTAGGGTGGGTATGTCAGTGTCAATTGCCTCATCCCCTTGGTAACTGAAAAAACCAAACGAGTCATTTTTTTTGTCAATTTAAAAGATGAATGCAAACATAAAAATTAAATTTGTTTAGTAGCAACGGAAAACTTTTTTTAAGAGTAGGATTAGCGCCAATTGAAACTTGTTATTGGGAAAGCGATGGCGTTGAACGACAATCAACGATTCTCGCACCTGAGAGATAAGATAACACGCGACTAATGTTTTAGTGAATGTGGTGACTGTAAACATAAATACACAATTATGTGTATGTTAAAAAAAATATTTATTTTACCTTCGGCACTTTAATTCGATTGGGAACTTTTCGCAAAAACAAGGCGATAATAGAGTGACTCAAGTTAACTCGACTTGCGGAATCTGGAGTGGCAAATCGCAGAGCTACGTGACCAATTCAGAGCCTTATTTGGATACGCATATTGCTATAGCTTTATCTTATCGGGGCAATTTAGTCGATGCCAAGGAAAGGGTAGAAAATGGGAATTGACTCATGGACGAGTGGGGAAAAGTTCTTGTCAAACAGAATGAGAATGTATCAGTGTTGGGCAACAAATTCCAGCCACTTAATAGGCAAATTAAACGAGGGGTTGGACAAATGACGTTTTCACAATTTACTTTGCGATGACGCCCTAGTAATAAGATACGCGCTATGTGTAGGTGAAAGCGCTATTCACCGGCATACGTGATGTATCTACTGGAACTGCACGTACCGGTGGTGCTCCAGGTGGTATTTTTTGAACGAAATACTCATTGGTAGGCCGATGGGCAGGTTGCAGATGAAGCCCAGGATCCGGTTGTGCAGGGGCCTGCTGTGCCCGAAGGCCAGGTTGTGCGAGATCTCGTGCACGGCCAGCATCAGCGAGTGGTTGATAATGCCCCCGAAGCAGTAGGCAGCCACGAGGAGCCACGACCACGACAAGTCCTTCACAACGAACAGCGCCAGGATCTGGGTGAGGACCATCGCTCCGGCCACCCACTTGAAGTTGGGGTCGTGACCGAAGAGCTTCTTAATCTGCGGGTACTTCTCCAAAATAAGTTTACGCCGCGAGGCGTGCGGCTCCTCCGTGTAAACCCACTCGAAGTCGCTGCGCGAAACTTTTTGGCCCATTTCGGATCTTTGGTTTGTTACGGATGACGAGCTACAGGTCGGCGTCAGTGGGCTGACACTATCGACCGGCGCGAGAAAGAAAACTATGACAATGTCCAACTGGGCGGATTGAAAAATATAATATGACCTGACCAGTGTTGCCAGGTTTTGAAATTTTAATCGACTAACCATGAGTTTCCCCTAAAAAATCCAGCTTACACCTATCACCGCATCACTGGCCAAATAACGTTAGCGAGTGCACCTACCAGTTTAAATGGTAAAATTGACGTGTTACCCATCTCCCTATTCAAGCTTTTGTTTTCGCATTCTTGCCTTTGGTTTTCCATTAGCTCTTCATTTTCTTCCAGGAAAATGCTTATTCGTTTTGACCTGGTTTACCCTTGCGTTGAACTTTGGCCGTTAGAGGCTTCTCAACTTTATAAGACCTCATTCCTAGTATTTTTAGTATTAAAATTTGAATCCTAATCGATTTTGGGTCAAATATTTAAGCGTCATTTTTTAATTATTATCAGGGCTTTTAAAAATCTTTGAAGCTCGTAATCAGGGACGATTCACGGAAATGTTGACGCATTGTTAAGAAAAAAACGTACAAACGATACAAAAACAAACAAAATTTTTAAATTTTTTTTAAGGCCTTAAGAGCTAGAGTTAGTTGATGCTATAGAAAACAGTCTTTATAGTCAGATCAAAATATTCCGAAAAGCTTATGCAAATTATAAATTGATCTATAATGATTTAAAACTAAAGGAACCTAATTTCTAGTTAAACTACATACAAGGCTTCGATAAATTTAGGTTAGCCAACAATTAAGGACTGCCGATTTCACCACGTATAAGGTTAAAAATAAATACAGTTGGTACTGTAGGATTCAGGAGTTCCGAAAGTTTGCTGGCCATGATGTTTATACTCGTGCTACATTTTTTATCGACATCTACAGCTTTCAGTTATTGCGAGCTGATAATTAATCACAATAAAATCCTCCGATCGTACGAGCTATGGCATATACATATCCATGCTTAAGTGGAAAACGGCTAAACATAAAGAAAAGCAGAGAAATTACATAAATTATTACAAACTATAAGCCGTGGAGTACATCATAGGTAAAGCGCACTAGCAACCCAACCCAGAAATCTCAATGTGGGGCTTTGTGTAAATTTGCTTCGTTTGTCAGCTGTTTCTTAGGAGTGGTATATTTAAACATAATGTGTACATATGTAATTTGTTTTGTTTTTACTATATTTTTTATCAATATTTCTAGAAAAAGCTAAAACAAAGTGCGGCAAAAAGATGTTCTGATATTGTGGCTTTTGCGTAAAGTTGCTTGCTCTTTTTAGCAAGTGACTTGAAATATTTTCTTTAGATAGATGCAAGGGTTTTTGTTTATATATTTGTATATATTTGTTGTTGCTGGTTGACGACGCAGTTTTAAAATTGATGATACACAGAGAAGAACTAAATGGATACAGAGGATGCCCGGCTTTTTGGCGAGATTTTTTTAGCTCCTGCGGCTGCCAGATGTTGTTGCTGCCGTGCTCGCTGCTGATGGTAGTGTAACTGCTGCGCCGCTGCTGCTGATGGTGTTGGTGCTCCGTCCGTCTCTAGTCCTTGTAGTTTAATGGTCGGCTGCCTTTTTGAATTAATAGTTGAATAAATATATAATTTTACTTTAATTTTTGCTGGTCTTTGAATAATTTATTTTTGCGCTCGGTTGTCGACTTCGCTGTTCTTTGTTGCTGTTTTGCTCACTCACTTTTTGTTTAGAATTCTTTCTTAGTTGTTTTGCGGCTCAGCAGAAAATATTTAAATCAAATCGGCAATATTAGCAGGCATTTCCTCAATTGTTGTATGGTAGAACTGTTCAATATCCTTCAGGATTCGTCGATCATCATCTGTAATGAAGTTGATCGCAACACCCTTGCGACCGAAACGACCACCGCGGCCGATTCTACAAAAGAGTAAGAGAGGAAAACATGTTTTAAGCGTGCTTAGCATTAAGCTTTTCTGAAGAGGTGCCCCTACCTATGAATGTAGTTCTCGCGGTTCGAGGGTAAATCATAGTTGATGACCAACGAGACTTGCTGCACATCAATACCACGCGCCAGTAAATCAGTGGTAATCAGGACACGCGAAGAGCCCGAACGGAATTGTTTCATAATGACCTCGCGGTCACGCTGCTCCATGTCGCCGTGCATAGCCGAAACGGTGAAATTGTGGGTCGACATCTCTTGGGTGAGCTGATCCACCTGAAGAAACCAAAAGTAATAAACAGTTGATGAGTTTATTGCATTACTACATTAGCTTTTTCAGGCAAATGTTGACATCGATGATTGTAACCATTGAAAACCGAATGCAAAGAGCGGCAAACAATTAGTGAAAATACTAACCTTGCGTCGGGTGTTGCAGAAGATAACCGACTGGGTAATGGACAGCGTATCGTACAGATCGCATAGGGTGCCCAGTTTCCAGTTCTCCTGCTTCACGTTCACGTAGAACTGCTTGATACCCTCAAGAGTCAACTCTTCTTTCTTAACCAGGATGCTGACGGGCTCACGCATGAAGCAACGGCTCACTTCAAGAACATCCGGGGGCATGGTAGCAGACAGCAGGATAACCTGTACGTCAGGGGGGAGCATCTTGAACACGTCCTGGATCTGGTCCTTGAAGCCACGCGACAACATCTCGTCGGCCTCATCCAGCACGAAAAGCTTAATGTACTGGGTGCGCAACACCTTGCGGTTGATCATGTCGTAAACGCGACCAGGGGTTCCCACCACCACATGGCAGCCGGATTCCAGGATGCGGGCGTCCTCGCGCACGTTGGTGCCGCCGATGCAGGCGTGCGAATGCACCTTCATATACTCGCCCAGCGCCATCACCACACGCTGGATCTGCGTGGCCAGCTCGCGGGTGGGAGCCAGAATCAGGGCCTGGCACTCACGAATGGACGTGTCGATTTGCTGAAGGATGGCAATCGAGAAGGTGGCAGTTTTGCCAGTTCCTGTGGTAAGGATTCAGGTGAGCGTTTGTTGGGAAATTGTTAAAATGGAATCAAGTAAGGGGAAAAATTTAAAGCGTTCTGGGCTTGCTGTCTTTGGTTTCTTCCCAAATTCATTTTTGTTTAACCAAAGAAGGTCCAATTTTTTTAACAATATTTTTTTTATTTACTACCAACATTTTTGTGAGCTCAAAGGTATGCGGTTAAAATCACTACCTAAGCTGACAAATTTTCGAGGGTTGGCCTGTACATTACTCCCCGCATGGATTACGAAATGCAGGTGCAAGAGGAATACAGAATAAGGGTGTGAATAGACTAAGTTTCATGGAGCCTTCTGAAAGGATTTCTTCTGTAGGTTGCCTTTCCCACAGATCAATTTAAAAACGGCTAAGCTGAAATTTGGCAAGAAACAGACAAAAATAGGAAAGAAAGTCCAACAAGCGACCTTCTTTCTGGGAACTTTCTTCTGCCTGGTGCCGTTGTGAAAACAAAGTGCAGCTGGCCAGCAAAAAGTGGCGCGCAAGCGCAGAGACGCCGCGAAACGGACGGAGCAGCGAAAGAGAGATAGAGAGCGAGAAAGAGAGCGGTTTTTACAAAGCATACAGGCGCAGCAGCTGAGTCATACGACTTTTCGCTGATTTTGCACATTCGTTTACGAATTTCTTTGTCACTGATCGAGAGAAAAAAAAAGGGGGAAAACATGGGGGACGGGTCGAGGTACTCACCCGATTGTGCCTGGGCGATGACATCGCGTCCCTTGACACAGGGAATGATGGCGCGCTGCTGGATGGCAGACGGCTTCTCGAAACCGTAGCCGTAGATTCCGCGCAGCAGCTCCTCACGCAAGTTCATGTCATCGAAGTTGTCGTACACCTCGTGCCAAGTGGACTCGATGACTCCCTCGGGGTCCATGCCGGCGGGACCATCCTGAGCTATTTCACTTCGGTCATCCCTGCGAACGAGCGAGAAAATTCATTAGTGGGCGCGGAACAACGGCCCCGACTTGGAGGGTAAAAATTTTCCAACAGCATTTGTTGGTTATGGCGAATCGCGCTTGGCAACTGTCGCAGCGGCACTCACATTATCAACAATAAAGAATTGACTACGTAAACTTATATCCTGAATTTCGACGGTTTGAGCCTGGTTCACTCAATCAACTTATGCCGTCTATGTCTAGAACGAATGAATAACACAGGGAATTTGAGTGCCGCCTGTGTTGTGTTTCTCCCGTCGAAAGCCGAACGTGTTTTCAGAGCGTTACGTTTGCGGTGCGAAGCGTTCACGTATTAAACAAAAACGAGACCATCAGTTGTGACGACGGCTAGGCGGCCTTTTGAGCGATGAGCGGCCGCCCCTGAGAGGGTGCGAAAGGGACGACCCTGTTGTCGCCCGTGTCAATGTCAACGGGAGAGAGCAGTCTCGCAATAATGTGCACGTAACTGTGAGCCAGTGTTGTCTAACGTCGCTCGCAAATAGTAGTAGCCGGTTAACAACGGCATTAGGGAAAATCTGGTCGACAAGCGAATTTTTTGAGGCGTGTGTTGAGTTGACCAAAAATCGAGACGGAGCAATGCCAAATCAGCACACGATTGCGGCATTACTCCAAAGATAGAATAAGCGGTCTGCGTCATGGTCCAGTCATGAGTCAAATAGATGTGTGTGTGTGTGTGCGATTGAGTTAAGTGGCGACAGACGTCACCGGATTTCAGCAAACTCGGATGTTCTAAAAGGCTGGAAAACCACCAACAACTCTCTTGGAGCAACCACTGGGCTCTCTCTCGCTGTCGCTCTCTGCGTCTCGCTCCCACTCCCTGCACCATCATTCGGGCGTGTAATTTTTTTCTTTTGCGTTCCACTCATTTTGACCGTCAGAAATTTTCAAATCCCTTTTCTACATTGTTTCACATTCGGATAGTCCCAAACCGTTTTCAAATCGATGGGGCGCGGTTTCCCCTGACCACTTTTCACTTTTTAAACGCTTAATCTACGAAATATACTAACATTTTCTGAAAATTATTTGGCACTTTTTATACACGTGCTGCTACTGATTTGTTAAAACCAAGCAAAAGAGGCTCCATCTTGCAAAAGTTTTAGTGATGTAAGATAACTTCGCCGACTATCGATAGCTCGATCTCGAAATATCGGCAATAGCAGGGAGAAATCCGGTGCTTTGCACCAGATTTCGATGGCAGCAGTCTCATACGAGAGGGGAATAAAATCGTACATAATTTTATGCGGATTATACAATTTTTGGAATGTATTTTTATGAATAAGTAAGTGCCTATTGATTTTGGCGCTGTCACTTAAATCCAGGGCTTCATTTTCCATCAGCGTTGCCGGACTGGTCTGACAGATTTCTTTTCAATCCCTTGGCGAATATTTCCCAATACTTATAATATGATTGAACTAAATCTTAATGTATTTAGAATTTTTAGACAGATTAGGCAAATAATAAGTTTATGTTAACCGACATTCGATTGAAAAGAAATTCTAGAATAGTCCTCCTTTATGGTTTGAGTCTGCGCTATCAAGTTCTCGTAAGTTGTTTTGAGAGTGAGGGATGTATTGAAACCAATGGTTAGTCGAAACTCTTCCGCCACGGTCACTCTGAATTTTTACCGCAGCGTGAACAGTGTGAGTGTCGCGGGATTCCTGGATTATGTTTAAGTAGAGACAAATTGCGAATTTTCTGTACGTGTTGGTCAGAAAATCGATCGACGCACAAACTGGGTAAACGGTGTTAAAAACTACTTTCGTTCTGAGAGCAGTCCTTAAATGGCAAAACGCTACACATGTACGCGCAACTTGGCCAACCGCGTTGGCTGTGCGTCGTCGTAAGCGTGTGTGTATAAGTGTGCAAAAAGTGAAGTGGTATTCGGGACGTATTAGCTTTGTCAACTAGCCAATGCTAAAACACATATTGCGGGTGCAGCACATCGTGATACGTGAGATTCGAGCACATATAGGCGTTGAAATTAAAGGCTATTTTTAATTTATGACAGTTACTCAGTGCCGGCCAAGAAAGAGTCGATTCATAATACTCGGGTGTTGAGTCATCGTCGCTCTCACTCGCTCATTTGCATTGTCCGCAGCCGGCTGATTAATAACGGCCCGCCTAGTACGGCCGTCTCCCTCTCGCACACGCTCCAGCCGCGCCGTTGCACTCTCTCGCTCCGGGTGTCGAGAGAGTGGTGAGTGAGCGGGTGACTCACGGCAGCCCCCTGCAGCGCCCTCCCGCTGAGTGAGTTTATCTCAAACTCAAAATTCTCTGTTTCTTGCTTTTCCGCCGGTAGAGGCGCTATATTTTTGTGGGCAATCGACAATCGAATTGATAAAAGAGTATTTAAAGATTTTAGGGTATCGCTGTTTAACATTTGCAGCACAGCGGCAGAGTTTGTCTGTGCGACGGGGGAGATTTGCCGCTGCTTTGCAAACCTTTATCAACGTTTTCTCTGGTATGTTAACTCTTCTGTTAGGCAGATCTGTTAGCCAACAGCTTGTCGAAAGCGCCTCCAGCGGACGAAACTCACTTATCGAAAGCGATAAAACACAATCGAAGAAGGCATTACAAACTAATGGCCACATTCGACTTTTGAAATCCGCCTCGAACGCTTCGAAAATTTGTAGCGAGTCGGACGTGTGTGTGGAGCTGCTGGCGTACGGTTTCTGTCTGTCTTGGTCTCATCCCCCGTGTGTGTGGCTGTGCTTAGTGTGTGTATATGTGAGTTTTTTGGAGGAAGAAAATTCGGTTCTTAGTGCGCTATAGCGCTATATTTATATTGCCATTCCGGACCAAAATCGCACCGCCACTCGGCCTTTGTGTGTATCAAGGGCGGAGGAAAGCAGCCATCGATACGAAAGGGCGCCCCGTTTGCAAATTTAACGGGGGCGACGATTGGCAATACAATGCGATACGAAAAAAGTTAATTCTGTCTACCTCTCTCTTTCTACACCTCTCGTTGCAGTTGGAAGAAATAAGTTTCCCCAAGAAGAATCGTCGGCGTTGCGGTTTTTCTTTGTCTCCCTGCAATCTTCGTGTGACCCCCGAAACGAAAGTGCGACTCGCCGTGCGGTAAAGAAGCAATCCAGCCAATACTCAGCCAATCCAATTTAATCCGCACCCACGACAAAGAAAGCAACATGAGCTGGCAAGATTATGTGGACAACCAACTCCTGGCCTCGCAGTGCGTGACCAAGGCGTGCATCGCCGGCCACGACGGCAACATTTGGGCGCAGTCTAATGGCTTTGAGGTGAGTACGAAAAACGGTTGGAAAACAGCGGCTAGTTGACAATGAATTTTCGCAAGTTCAAGGGTGTGACTCGCTCTGTCTCCTTCTCTCGGCCGCCATGATAACTTTCGGTTGATAAAAAGCAACTCCCACCCTCTTTCTCTCTCGCGAGTTCACCCCCTGCAGAGGGGTTCCTGCGCAGGCTCACTCTTCTCCCCCGTCCACCCCCGCTCAAATGTTAGGGGAGTCTGCGTGATCGCGAGGAGTTGTGAGGAATCAACTTTGCCAATAGACCAATTGGCCGGCAATTTAATCTCTTCTGTCTGTCGATTGATGACTAAAGCACAGTTTGCACTTGATACGCTGTAAGAGGGGGATGGGGGAAATCTGATATCAGCAGCCGGGTCTGATGTCTGCGCTGTGCAACACTGGTTCCTGATAATGCACACTTGAGCCCCTCCCCTTTAGTAGCGCACGCCCTTATCGCACTTAGTGTGGTTTATTTTTTCAGGCTTTCTGCTTTCCAGCTTTAAACTGTTCGCTTCATCTGCCGGTCAAAATAAATGCTTGTTATCGGAGCGAAATGAAGAGAAATACAGAAAATATCTTGAGCAGGCAGTGCCGCGTCACCAGCAGAGAGTGAGTGAGTCGGCTACCTTTGAATGCTCAGAGTATTTTCATATGCGCGCCACGTTTTTGCCCCTTCTGTAGATATCGTGTCAATGTATGTGTGTGCAACTTCCTGCCGGCTCCATGTGTTCTTATCCTGCTCTCTCCGTTATCCGCTTCCACTCGGTTCAGCCACTCCCTTTTGCTTTGTTTGTCGATTGGAGTTTTTCTCGAAATGTCGATTGTAGTGTTAGATTGATTAAAATCCAATTTTATGTTGCTGACCAGTACTTTGAGTTTTAATAAGGTTGCGACGTCATCATCCCTTTCATCTCGCTCTATCGTCGTACTTTCCTCACCTGCTATTTCTGCAAGCGTATCACTTTCGTTTTATCATCATTCTACTTCAGCATCTGCCTTTATTATTTTCCCCTAATTCGCATTACCCGAGCTTCCCGCTTTTGAGCTCTGTTTGTATATTTGGTGGCATGAATCATTGTCAATGTTTTAATCAGCGCTTGAACAGCTGCCGTAGGCCTTTCCAGATTGTTTTCAATAATCAATTTGAAGGTTTCAGCGAACCCCGATTCTTCTAGTCTGGCTTATCAAAAAATGTATATTGATACTTTTGTGAAAACCGGCTCTGAAATGTAAAATTTTAGTTATATATGGATCTTCCAGTATATACACCCAGCCAGCCAACCACTGCAGTGCATTGAAAAGTTCCCATTTTAGGTGAGCGCAAATGATGTTTTAGCACTTGTGGATTTTCGCTATTGCCATATAATAGGCACTGCTTAGTTTATAACGTTTTTGGCAAAGCTGTCTACGCAAAACCGGCTTTTCGCGACTCCTCCGCTCCGCTCTCCACATTTCTTTCACTCTCGCCGACATGACGCTCAATGGAAACTTCTCGATTTCGAGTTCGAGCGGCATTTCGATGTGTCACCGATTGGCAGGCTGCAAATGACTAACTATAAATTGTAAAATACTTTCAAATTAATTTCCCACCTTGCTCCCTGGTAAAGCAGCTGTTAGTGAGATGGGCTGCCAACTTGCTCAGCATTTGGCCAAGGCTAATGACATTGATGCACTCTTTCGCATCCTCTTCCTCTCTTATTGCCACTCTCTCGCTCTCCAGACGGATAAGGCGCTCAAGTGTGTAAAACTTGTTTTTGAAATCCGAAAATCAAGGCGGGCTCATATCACATATCCCTGTGCCAGCCACAGCCACCGAACGCCACACCCCTCCATTCCACCCTGAAATGGAGTGGACCACATTTGTTAATAAGTTGGCCGTCAGTTGTCGATGTTGCCAACTGTTTTCAAATGGGTGGTGGTTTGCTGGCGGTGGTGGGTTTGCCTTTGTGTGCGTGGGTTGACTGCAGCTGATTAGTTTGATGTTTTAACAGAAATTAATGCTTAATACACCAAAGATAGTGTGGTTCTCGAATTTCCTTCTGATCCTTATATAAAGGTGAAATTCCCTTCTGGTTAGGATATAACTTAGTCTTAGCAATAATTTAGTTAAATGCTTGAAAGCTTGATTAATTACCGAAAATCCATTTCCGATCTTCTAGGTGACAAAAGATGAGCTCTCCAAACTGATCAGCGGCTTCGACCAGCAGGACGGGCTCACCAGCAACGGCGTAACACTTGCCGGCCAGCGGTACATTTACCTCTCCGGCACAGACCGCGTAGTGCGTGCCAAGCTCGGCCGGAGCGGAGTGCACTGCATGAAGACAACACAAGGTGAGCCACGTTAAAATTTCTACAATTCCGATAACTGGGCTACTATTCTCGATTCGGTTTCCTATAGTTTTGTATGAATTGTTGCAATATGCTTCTAAAAGGTGATACATCTCCGACCCTATGAAGTGATATGGTGCGAAATTTCGATGTTTTAATGATACATAAATTCTTATTTTCTCATCTTGGGGAATGAAGATCAAATGATAAATTTTATGACTAGACTATTTGAATGGGCGAGGTATCTTGACATTCATTTTTAGATGTCTCAATTTTTTTTTTTGATAAGTAAGCTTATTTAAACAAATATCTGCAGCCATCTGCTGAATGAAACAATTGCTTTGAAATCATGATTTACAAGTTTAATCAACAAGCAAAATTGTCTTTGTTTTGTCACTGAAAAAAAAGTATTTTTTAAGCTGATTAAACTTTTTGGAGCAGTTTTGATTTTAAAAACTGTAAAAAAATAACCTCTTTTGCAATGTCAGCAAACCATTCAAGAAATTTTTTAGATATAAAGTTTTAAGAAATGTTTATTAACCGTAGAGAGCTTGGGGCAGTTAAAACACAAATTTAAAGAATTCTAATTCAAACATCGTATTCTGCCCAGTTATTTCGCCACTGAGTGTTATCGATGCTTTGTCTGCCGTACCTTGATAACTGTTATCAGGTTTTTTTTTATAGCCGAAGCCAAAGCAAACACGAAAAGACGTTTAAATAAAAATGTTAAATGCTCCTCGTTTTCGCAGACTTATCGCTGGTGAAAAGAATTTAATCCAAAGCCCAACTCACCGCCAACAGATAAGTTCTGTCGTAAAAAAATTGGAAAGTTGTATTGAGCGTTTTATTTTTGGTTTTTGGCGAACAGGTTAAAGAACTTTTTATACTAACGTATTTATTTTGTATATGATGTTCACTGAACTATACCTAATTTGTGGCAATTAGCACGAACAACTAAAAGAAAATGAATGTTGTAAAATGGGCTCCATTGTCGTTATGGCTTTACGTCGTCGAGCATCGTTTATCGTTTGCTCCAATTTTAAGGTCAACGAAAGTAACGTTTTATTAGTCAGCATCTTTAGCTGCCTTAATTTTTAAGAACTTTTCTCGCTCTTGGCGTTTCTAGGCTAAACAGCCGATTTTTATTCTTCGTTTTTGCCTTTTGCATTTACGAGCAGTTTGTTTGCATGAGGCGTCAGCCGCACTTCCATATTTGTACAGTTTTTGCGGCAACTGTTGCGCACTGGCACACACATTTTCACGTAAACACAGACGTTTCAGCCCACCACCACCACCCTCCGCAAACCGCTGCATCTACGAGCTCAAGGTTATTGCCGTAATCCATTTCAAGTGTAAATGTTGCACAGTACAGTGCGTGTGAGTGTGTAAGACAAACCACAGAGGCAGTGGCGTAAAAATAGAAAAATTGGCTAGAAATGGCAAATGTCTCTGGCTGTCGGCGCTTTCTCTGGTTTGCTTTGGACCTGGCCAGCTCGAATACGGCGTCGGGTAGCTCATATCTTTTGGCCCACAGGCCCACTCCAGCTGATCGGGTATTATAGCATTGCCACAATCGTGCAAGGTACACCATGCGACTAGAATTACCACCTGACCGACTGACTGTCCGAATGGGGTGGCTTTTGACGGTCAAGACTAGCTTGAGCGTCAGTTCGCCGTCCGATATTGTTGGACGGCATCGAGCTTATTCGCTTTGAATGTGTCACCTTTAAGTCACTTTTGGGGTGATCACAGTTTTAGAAAGCCTTGTTTGTCATGCCCAAAAACCTGACGGGCTATAAACGAAAAGTAACAATGTAATCTTTTCAGCCGTTGCTGCTGCATCTGCTTCATTTTTGGTGTACTGCTATATCTGGAAAAGAGTCTAGATTGGTTCTTTCACTTTTGATTTGACAAATTTGGGCTTTGAAAGTTTAACTTTTCATTTTTTGTCATTTTAAGTTGACTGGTTATCAAACTTGAAATAACTCTTCGGGGACTGAGGCATTTACATGTTTCAACTGTGGAAAGCCTTTATTAACGAGAGTTGTGAGCAATTATCAATAGATAGGCCTTATAAGATTTCGGCGCATCATGATGTTAGTGGTTTGAGGGTAAAAGTAGAATGTTTCTATGATATTGAGGTCATGGTATAATAAGTACAAGGTAGTCTCGTCGGCTTTTTTTTTCCCCCTATCGACACTACAATTAGAGCGAGAGAGAGAGTGTTTTCCTATGGGTTCGGGTCGATAGGGGGAAAAAACCCGAACGATTTTGCAGCCGACGAGACTACCTTGTATAATTCTACCATGATTGAGGTATTCCGGCTTTTCGTTTGCAAAGGCTCTCAGGCCAGACCCGGTTTATTGACCCCCGGGCGAGCTCAGTCTGACACACGCTTCGATTTGATTCGAGCGTGCTGTGAGTCGCAAAGCTGCGGCTTCATCTTAATACACTAACAATTAAGTGTCCGTCATTTTTCTGCTCATTTGATTAATGTATTAGCCACTCAACTCAAGACTTGTCATTCGGGTCCATTCTCGTTGGCTCTTGAGTTGCCTCTCCTCTCCAGCCGTTCATCCAGTTTTCACCTACGAAGCGCCGTGCTCACGCGCTCTTTATTGATCGCCTTATTCATAATTTCCAGCTGCCGAAGAGCAGATACACCTGTTGTAAAAACGGTTAGTTCTTATTTTTCCGCTGCAGACAGCTGCTTTCTCTCCGCTTTTGAGGCATTGTCAACCGGATAGATGGTTGAAAAATAATTGATGTGACTATGGCAAGGAGGCGCTTTCCACACAGGGGGCGCAGAAAATTATAACAGATCGACTAAACCGAGTGAATTTTGATATTAATGTGTGAAGGGTTGAATAATTGTAATAATGTGTTCTGGACGTAGTACAGAAGTTTAGTTTAGTGTTAATTGAAAGGTATTAATTCTACTAAACATTTATTACTTAGAAGCCTGCTCACTTTGTGTGAGTATGTATGAATTTACGACTTGAAAGTTAAATAAATTAGATGCATTTCACGTTTTTGGGAGATATTTAAGTATTAGCAGATACCTCCGCTTTTGCTATGCAAAAACACTTACTAACATATAATTTTTAATGAATTTATTGTAAACTCAAATAATTTTAGTGTTAACACTACGAAAAAAATTGTAAATAAAAATAAGCATGGAATACTGAATATGATTAATCATTAATAAATATATATATAAAATACGTAATAAATATGCCATTCATTCCGTACTCTTTTACCTTTGCAGCCGTGATCGTTTCCATCTACGAGGATCCCGTTCAGCCCCAGCAGGCCGCTTCCGTCGTAGAAAAACTTGGAGATTATCTGATTACTTGCGGGTACTAGGAGAATAAATCAACACAAACACCCCATCAACCACAACACACACACACCAACCACTACAACAGCAGCAACAAATTTGATAAGGGAAAACCGTAAATGAACTAATAACACATAAAAAGTAATTATTAATATTTAAATTTATGAAAAAACCAACGGCCAAGAAAAATTTGCGGTTTTTTGTGTGTAACAGAAGAAATGGAACGAGTAAAAACGCATATGCTTGAAAAATGTCAAAAAACGCAAATAATTACCCAACTACAACAAAATTATAAATTTCTGCATTATTATATTTAAAACTTTTTGGTTTATACGATAAAAATAAAAAGAAACAAAACTATAAAATGATCCATAATTAAGAATTGAGTCCGCAGCTTTGAACTTATTTAGCATTTCATTTTGTCAGAAATTGTAAGAATTAAGAACTGCAAATGCAAGAATAGCAATCCAAAATTTAAAAAGATTCAAACCACAACGCAAAGCAAACGCAGGCATTTTTTTGAAAAATTTTATAGCAATATTTACACAACCGATACTCTATGTATGTTTATACATAAACACACACACGCAGGTTTTATAAAAAAGAGTGAGTGAGAGAAGATTTGGATTTGACAGTCGGACGGAGGGCAGCGAAAAAAGACAGAAAAGGAGAGAGAAGTACACCAACGAAACGAAGCAAAGGGAACTGAGAGAAAAGAAAACGGAGAAAATACCAACCAATATAAATAAATATATCTATATATATTTGTATATGTGAACTATTTGGAGATCCGCGATGCTCTATTTTTATATGGTGGAAGGAAAAAACCAAAATGGAAGAATCGTGAATACCAGCCACAATGGTTGATTTTTTATACAAGCTGATATCGTAGGGAGAAATTTAAACTTTTTTAAACGCAAAATACAAAACGCATACTTCATCGATAAGTGTTCATACTCAGATTCCGTTTCCCACTGCAAGTCATAAAGTAGGTACTTCTCTCACTCCTTTCAATGTGTCCGCTTTAATTTCTGTAATTTTTCACATTGTAGCTAAATAAAATCACTTGATCGGTTTATTAGCTTGTCAGTTTGAGTCAGTTATGTCTCAGTTAGCACTTAAGGAATACTCATTATTGCAATCGGGAATCCGCCATTTTAATTGTTTTACTACTTTCCCAACGGTAGCATAAAAAGTTTCGCTAACAGTTACAATTCAAACGCCATTCTATTTTTAGGTAAACTCTTCAAAAGTCTTTTCGCGCTCTCTCACATACTCCTCCATTCCCAATAACCCCCTTTAATTCTGATTTCGATCCCTGAAAATTTCCGTAAATGCTTAAGAAACTTGAAATGAAAACAAAGCATAAATATACGGATATAAAACATATATAATACGATACTTTAATACTATTAAAATGAAAAATCAGAGTGAGACAACTGAGAAAGCTCCTCATAAAAAGTATGCAAATGCCGCATTTTCCTTCTGGGCGGGGGGCTATCGGCAATCGATAGGTCAAAGAACTCTGCGCTTCTACATATATTGTTTTCCCTAAACATTTCATGGTCGCGTTAACAATTCTTTGTGCATTTATGGTTTCTTTTAATTATTTTTGAAAATATTGCTTTTCGTGCTGACCATTTTTGGTCTGCGCGAACTGCCATGTTATTTTCGTCGTTGTAGATTCATTTGAAATGGCTGACGCAACTGCGCAATCATTTTTCCACCAAATATTCATAAATAAAACGGATACTCATTTTATAATGCTTTCTGTGGCGGTTTGGCCGCCAGCAGAGCCGTGGGCACTCGTCCACTTCACAGCTGCTTTTTCTTTCAGTAATTGTCGTTCTTTGCATATTTCTTGGCTCTCATCTGGCGGAAAGACATTGACCCACATTATCCATCCAATCCCGCCGCCAAGTGTGAAATTTTACAGATATTTTGGACGGTACACATATGTACATATATGTATACATGTAAATAGGTTTAAACATTAAACATATGCTCGTCGTTCACTTTCGCTCTCAAAATACTTGGATTTCGATTTGCCTACTTCTAGTGAAAACACAAATTATTTAAAGAAGGAGCGGGTCAGAGTGTTGATCAGGACGAGGGTGCTGGACAACTTTTATTAGCAGTAAAACTAATCACATAACATAGTATTATATTATTATTATTTACTATTATGGTTGTTTCTGGCCTCTGGCGCTCGCTTTGGTCCGCAATTTGATGCGCGTGTGCTTTATTTTCGTATCTCTAACGGCGAATTCAAATTTCTTTCACCGCGGGGCGAGAGTAGCTTTCAAGCTTGTTTAGTCAATTAAATATGCAAATTTTGGATGCCACTGTTTCTTTTCAGTGCTTGCCATGAATCAATCCGAGACTGCACTCCCAGTGAACTATTGATCGCTGTATTCTTTATCTGGGCTTTTTTGGAGAATTTGATATTGAAATACGTTTAAATACTAGCATGTAATTTCGTCTTAACATAGAAATATTACAGTCACACATCTTAGAGCAATAATGTTAGGCCCAAAAAATGTTTTAGCTTTGACAGAAAGGTACATTTTTTGTTTGTTTTTGGAGTGTGTAACAGGTGCAAAGAAGTACTGCGATCCAATAAAAAATATATGTATACAGTCAGTCACAAAAGTACTCGTTGCACAGACCGGTAAAGAAAAAACTTATATTTTAGAACTATAAAATTTCGAAGTGGTTGAAATGGGCTTAAACTTTCAAAGATACATATTTTATCTACACTATAAAAAAACCATGAAGAAAAAATTTGAATTGAAGTTATACTCAAAAATATAAAACTGAGTCCATTTCTATGATCACAAAAGTATTTATTGCACCAAAAAATATAACGCTTTTTAGTATCTGCCATAGGAAAGATCGAAAAAAATATATGTACATATATACATAATAAACAAAAATTATAACGTCGTTATTTTTTACCCCACGACCATGATTTTAAGATCAAGTTTTTTTAAATACCCTTGAATCGAGAATGAATTTTCATAAAAATCGGATAACTATATCATATAGCTGCCATAGGAAAGAACGAAAAAATTATATATAAAAATTCAAACAAAATTATATTGTCGTTGGTTTTTATTCTACGACAATGATTTTAAGAACATCGATTTTTTTTAAATACACTTGAATCGAGAAAAACCAAGAAAGGAACCTAGCTGTGACTGGCCGACGCTTATATACCCTTGCAGTCATCAAATATGTCTAACAAAATACATAAAGTCGAAACAACATCGAAGCAATGACGATTTTCTATTAATATTTAATATTTTCAACTATTGTTCATATGGCAGCTATATGAAATACTTGTCCGATTTTGATGAAATTTATTTCGTAATTCAAGAGTCGTTAAAAATCAAAATCATGCTTGTCTGATGAAAAAACAACGATGTTATAGTTTTATTTCCGTTATTTCTATATAGATTTTTCGATCTTTTCTATGGCAGTTATATGATAACGTAGTCGGATTTTAATAAAATTTTTTATCGGTTCAAAGGCTTTTAAAACACTTTATATTTTGAAAACCATGCTCGTGGGATTAAAACAACGACGTTATAATTTTTTTCCCATTATTTATATACTTATATATTTTTCGATATTTCCTATGGCAGGTATATGATAGAGTTATCCGGTTTGGATCAAATTTAATCAGAAATTCAATAGTAGTTAGAAAACAGCACCTGGAAGAAATCAAGTCGATCTGATCAAAAACAACGGCGTGAGAATTTTTAATTTTATTCCCTTGCATGGGGGCTATCCGATATAGTCGGCCAATCCGCCCCGTTCTGTCTTATATACTGCGTGCAATAACTACACACCTTTTGAGAAAGTTTCAGCAAGATAGCTTTAAAACTGAGAGACTAGTTTACATACATATGTAGAAACAGACAGAAGGACAGACGGACAGACGTCTGAATGAAATTGTAATACCCTTTGCTCGGCAAGGCAATAAAAATCATGTGTTTATTTGTAAAGTACCTCGCAACGAATACTTTTGTGACTAAGTGTATGTGTATTCTGGAGCAGCATTGTCTGTCTGCTTATCTTGTATGTATAAACATTGAGATATCCGAAACTAATAGGCCTATAATTTTGGGATTGAAAATGTAGACTCCAATTATTTGAACGTACCGCCAGATTGTCGAATTTTTCTGTTTCAAAGCTGAGAAAGTAGTTTACATAGAAACAGGCAGACCGACAGGTCGATATCAATTCAGATGGTAACGCTGATCAAGAATATATGTACATATGTACCTATATACTTTATATATGTATATCTTACCCTCATCAAGGGTTTGAAAATGTTTAGCTTAAAGCATTTTTAACAAACTTGCGTTGCGTTTGTCTTACAATAATTTTGCTCTCATCATTTCCAAAATCTTCTAATATCATGGGAACGAGTCCATTTTATTTACAATTATAAAACAAAAACGATCCCAACTAAAGTGGAACTATTCGAGTTTTAGTCAGCCAAATAAAACGATGTCAAGCATCTAGCTTGTTAGATATTGCAGAGGACTGGGTTGTTGGGAAGTCAACCAATTCAACTGTGCTTTTCAAACTTTTGTTTAAAATATATATCAGAACACATACACCACGATATTACAGCATAAAAGTTATAGTATCAAAATCCCGCCTGGCCCTCCCACTGGCGCAGCTGTTCGACGGACAGCCAAAACAGAACTGAGAAGGGTCCGAGGCGAAACCACGTGGGCATCAGGCCCTTGTACAGGGTGAGGGCGCCCTCCTCCCGAACGAGTTTCCTGACGCAGTCCAGGGAGTTCTTGTAGTAGAGGTTCCTTCCGCTCTCGTCCACCGGCTGGTTCATCATCCGCGACTTTATCACGTCCGCCGGGCTGCTGAGCACGGAGGCTATGAGCCCGGCGCACATCGAGGAGAGGAAGCGCAGCGGGAGGCCGTCCTCCAGGCTCAGCAGCCGCTTGAAGGTCCGCTTGCTGAGGTCGTAGCTCCCCACGTCGCCGGTGGTCATCAAGCAGGCGCGCAGGCAGCTGGGCCCCACGCCCTTCCACATGCTGGGCAGTCCACCATGTCGGTAGATGTCCGTGAAGGCCTGCACCATGTTGTTCACCCGCGCCTCGTAGCCCAGCTGCCGGCGGCGGCCCTCCGTCTGCATCCGCACCTTGACGATGTCAAAGGGATTGGCCAGCGCCTGGGCAATGCAGCCCGCCGTGAAGCCGCATCCTAGCGAGTGAGGCACCCGGAGCACCTCCTCGTTCCGCTCGTTCACGTGGAGGAACGGGCGCCGGAAGACGTCGTACAGGACGACGCGCAGCGAGTTGAAGATCAGGTTACGGGTCACCATCGCCGAGAAGCCGGCGTAGAGCGATTTGAAGCCCTCCACCTTGATCATGTTGCTGAGGGTGGCCCGGAATGTGGGCATTTTGGATCCCGACCTCCTGGCCTCCTCGCCATCCACCTGCATCCGCGTCTTGGCCACGTCCAGTGGATACACGCACGACTCGGCTAGGTTGGCGGCGATGAAGGTGTTTATGTACAGCTGGAACAGGTTGCGAGCCGTGAGAGGCTCCACCATGTTCGTGGGAGGGAAGCGGGGAACGTCCTCGTTGTATATGGCCCGCAGATGCCAGTACTCCCGTTCATCCTTGTCCATTGTGCACTCGAAATTTGTTCAGCAGAGCTACAATTTATAACGTCACGTTGTTATGTGTGTTGTGGATTTGGTGAAAAGTAACTCAAAAGAATCTAGAAAGGTTTTCAATGCTGATGAAGTTTTTATTCAATAAATGAAAACATGGTTTTTATAAAATTAATGGGTACTTTTAAGTTTTTGAGTCGTAAAAACATTGAACGTAGTTAAGGAAGCAAATTCACAAAACAAATAAACTATATCTGGGGGCATTAATAGGAGATTTAAAGTTATGTTTGGGTGACAACTTTACAATAGCCTCCTTTTAACTTTTCGCACACCTTAGCTATTTTTATACCCTTGCAGAGGATATTAAATCTTTTTTTTTCTGTTGGGAAAGTTTTATCCAAATAGTTTTTAAGCTGAGAGAAACTGAATGCATTTAAGCTCCAACTCGCAATGTACATGGTATTTTAGGTGTAGATGGTAAAGTAAAATTTATCGAGTGAAAGAAAATTTGAACAACTTTATTAAACAGCTACCTAAAACTATGTTCAATATGTTCAAGATTTTAAGATTATATTATGGTTGTGGCAATATATTTTTTAGGAACAACATCCCTTTGACAACATCAAACTTTATTTCGACAATTCTTTAGCTTCCTTCTCTACATCTGCCATCTGCCCACTCACTTCTCCGTTAGAACTCCCAAACGTGCCGTGTCAACATGTTCGGCGATTACAGAGCCTCACAAACTCACAAGCCCCAAACTCCCGAATATTTAAGGAAATTTGTTAATTAGAGCACCAGGAACATATGAGGAAACAGAGCTGACGTAACCTAAAGTCCCCGAAACACGCACGCTGCAATGGGTGTGAAATCATAATTGTTCATTAGTCATCAGATGGAACTGTAGCTCAGTCCCGTGTTGTCTTACATTTGGGTCAGGTCAGTTACAGTGAAGTGGCAAACTATCTAACACTCGCTGACCAACTGACCGATTTGCACACCGCTTTGGCCAATGTTGAGCACATTGCGCCGAGTTGTGCCATATGTCCCAGACACCCTCTAAAAGAGCTGACCATTGAAGAAAAGGCTGAAACCCGAGGAGTTTCTTGAACTGTCCAGCCGGCGAGCTGGACAAAAATGCTTGCCCACATTTGCTGCCATCAGCTGAAATCAGGGCGTTTGAAAGACTCAGAAGTGTGGATGCGGATGCTCTATTATAATCATTTGGTTTAAATGTTTTCTTATGGTCAGCGTTAGGATCTCCTCTTTTAATTTTAATTAATTGGTCTTCTATGTAATTCGATCTTCTTTCATTCATCATCATCTTTCACGTAGGTTAACCAATAAGAAGGGATTTATGATGAACTAAAGGAAGTAATTAAAAATATGCTTCCACCTCGATACCAAATTCTATTAACTTCTTGCGCGGAAGTGTATTCCAATAACGTTTCGAACCCTATTGGCCAGGTCCGCTCAAAAAGTGGCTCTGCAGTGCCTTTTATTCAGTGATGCGCTTTTCGAGCGAATGAAACTCCGGTTACCAGTGCAATAAACCAAAGCCCGGCCGTTGGTGGTTAACTCAGAAAAGAACACAGATTTCGAAAGACCGCTACGGGGAAATCGGTTGGGTAAGTTGTGGGAGTTTGTCGGCTATCCGAGAGCAGCTCTAGCTGATCTTCCTCCCCAGCAGACCGCTAAAGAGTATAAAAGCGCTTCCCAGCCGCAAGCGGAAGTTAGTGAGCGGAAGAAGAACATGGAAGCCGATCCGCCGACGCTTAAGCTGCTGTTCCTCTGGACATGTCTGGCCCTCGGCCTTTTGTCACCTGCAGGAGCGAGTGGAGCAGGGCAAGTGGCCAGAGGCAATTCCGGCGAGCAGCTGCACCGCACCAAACGAACCATGACAACCATCTGCGTCGAGATCAGACCCAGTAGCCCGCAGGACGAGCCCTACTATATGTGCCGGGGTGCCAGCTTCGGAGCCGAGGGTGGCCAGCAGCGGTGCGTGGCGGTGAAGAACCAAGGCGGCCAGGAGGAGCCCTTCTTCATGTGCCGCGGCTCCGAGTCCGCGGGACCCGCTGGCCAAGACCTTCCTCCGTCGGAGCCTTCGCCACCGATGAACCCCCACCCAGCCGCTCAGCCCGAGTCCGCCTACAACTTTCAGTTCCTCCCCGCCTTGGGGGGGCGGGGCATATCCACAGCAGCCCCTTCCGAACGTTCAGCCAGCGAGTCCGCCGCCGTACCAGGAGAAGCCCCCCAGCCAGCCTCCTCCTGCGCAGCACCAGCCCGCGATCCCCTACGGGTTCTACGGACACCACGTGGCTGCCCCTTCGCCTGCACCTGCGGCGCAGTCGCCTGGCCTGCCGGGACTTTATCATCCAGCTGTGGGTAGCCCGCCAGCAGCTCCACCGGGAGCTCCAGCTGGCCCAAGCCCAGCGGCCCCGCCCGCTCCGCATGATCCTGCAGCGACTCCGAGGTCGTCGGTCCGGTCCAACGGGTTCGGGGTAGTCGGAAGTAGTCGCCATCGAGTTGGTTTCGGAGAAGACGTGCTGGGCGCGCCGGGGCTGGGATTTAAACGGGACGAGCTCAGCCATCAGTACCGCAGGCCTCTGAGTGAACCCTACCAGCAAGATCAACTGATGTGGGTGCCGCTCTCCCACACGGAGGACCCCGAAAACGATCCTGTTATGAGAGCTTTCTACGGCAGTTTGGCCGGAGCGCGGGCCCCAGCCGAGGAGGTCCCACAACCGGTGGGAAACAAGCGGGAGCACTCGGACGCGATGGTGGGACAAATGGCGACCGCCTACAGTCCCCACAATGGCCAATACCCGGAACCTGGGCCTCCGCCAACGCTGCCGCCTCCTCCTCCGACGTACTCCCAACCCGAGCCCAACCCGTACTGCTCCGGATGCGGCGTCCCTTCTCCCCCCTCCAGTGCCCAGCTCCACCGGATAACGGGGTCAGCTACAGCACCGCCTGCCCAAGCTTCCAGCCGGTCATCATCACCATGCCCTGCTATGGACAACGGCCGCCGGCCCCCTTCTTCCAGCTGCCCAGAGCGCCTCCAGCCATGGTGGGAGCTCAACCCATGGGCCCCGCCTTTGGACTGAATTCCGCACCTTTGGCGGCTCCCTTCGGAGGCGGGTTCGGCGTGGGGAGTCAGCTGCGAAGCCCCTTCGGAGTGACTCCCCAGGGCTACGACATGGAGCACCAGGTGGGCGGGCCCTTCGGCATGGGAATGCAGTTGGGCATGGGCCTCAACCCGTTCGGCCCCTTTGGAGCCCTGAATCCGTTCAATCCCTTTAACAGAATGCTGGGAGCTCCGGCTCCCACGGCCCCGGAGCCCAACGGAAACTTCTTCCAGCGGGTATTCAAGTTCGACCAGAGCGATGCCAGCTCCACGACCACAGAGGCGGCACACTCCTCCGAGGCTCACTCCGAAAGATCGGGGAGACTGAACTTCTCCAGCAGCACCCCATCGCCTGCCAGCCGGGAACGGGATCGGGATCAGGCCGATGCCATCGTGGGCGACGCTGAGCAGGGCACTGAGGACGAGGACTCCGACGAGGCCATCGACACGGAGGAGGACCAGGCGGTGACCACCCCGGAGGCAGACGTATCTGGAGGCGACCCCAAGGTCGAGGACCTCGTTAGCAAGGCGGCGGAGCTACTCAAGAACGACAAACGCAAGCGGCACAACCCGCGTTCCAGCGGACGCGTTCCCCAGAAGCACAGGTACCTGCAGCAGCTGTAGCCACTTCGCTCGTAAACGGATTGGGTGACAGATCCCCTGGGAATAGCCGCCACATGGGAGGAGTTCACCACGACACTGTGTGTACAACAATTGTGCTAGATTAAGTCCCTTGAAGCAAATAAAGTGTAATTTATATTTGAAACATGGATTTCTTTCTTAAACAAAAGCCCACAATGTAAAATATCCACAATACTCGTACGTTTCGAAATAGATCGATTCAAAGTCAGAACAAGAACTAATTCCAAAGATGTTAATTTTGACAGAACATTTTATAGCGTACTATTATTGTAAAATTAGGTTGAAGTTTAGAATCATCCATAGAATCATCTATAAATTTTCAGCCAAGCTTATATAATTTGATTCGGATTCTTACACTTAGGGACTGCTCTATCAGTTTTTGATATACCATTTTATAGGACACGAAGAAAGGCTGACAAAGTTTAGTTGCCTCTTACGTGATTAGTTTTTGATTTAATTTTCAAAGTTTTAATCGTTTTGGCACAAAATATTATAATACTTGGTTTTTCTTATTTGAACTGTAAAAATTTTGTTTTGACTTTGCGCTGTTTGTCCATACAAAAAGAGATGTTAAATATGACAAACTTTCATATCGCATAACATAGATAGATAAAGACATTTTTATCAAAACTTTAAGAGTCAATTTGTAAGGAGCTATAAAACTATATAATATCAGACAAAGCATTCTCCCTTTCAGGTTCTTTCAACCTGCATTAAAGAACCAAACATTTAATGATGATAATAAACAAGAAAAGAAGATAGCTTCGGCAAGGCGAAACTTATATACCCTAGCCTTCATCAAACATGACAAGCAATACCCATAGAGCATAAACAACATCGAAGTTATGTCGATTTTTCTATTAATGTTCTAAAGACGATATGACAGCTAATTGATATATCCGTCCGATTTTTATGTAATTTAGTTCGAAATTCGAGAGATTTTAGAAAACGCTATATTCCAAAAATGATGCTTGTCTGATAAAAACAACGATATTATATTTTCTTCCCCTAATTTAAGTAAATTCTATATCAATTTTGCGATTTTTTTCTATGGCAGTTACATATTATATATGATAACGGAATACGATTTTAATCAAATTTTTTCGCGATTCATGGGTAGTAAAAAAACTCGATGCTTAAAAATGTTTTCGATCTTTCCTATGTCAGCTATTTGATATAGTTATCCGATTTAGAAAAGATTTAATTTAATTTGGAGGAAATCAAGTCGATATAATCAATCTCTCTTATAGGAGCTATCAGATATAGACGCCCGGTTCGGCCCGTTCCGAATTATTATTAACTACACAACTTTTGCTAAAGTTTCAGGATAGCTTTGGGACTGACACACTAGTTTATATAGAAACGAACAGACGGACAGACGGACAGACGTACAGACGTGCTTTTAGTAAGACATACTGAAATGACACTCTATTAAAAAATATGTTATAATTTGAGCTCTGATCGAATTCGACCCAAGTTAAAACACGGAAGCCAGGAGTCATTAGAAGATTTTATTTACAGATTGGACAACCGTCAACGATCAGTAAGCTAATAATAGTTCTGGGCGCCCAAGGCCAGCCGGTAGTTGTACTCCGCGAACAGTTCCGGGGCCACTCGGTACGGCTGGTCTATGAGGGACAGGCGGATAGGCGTTTGGCACGAGGGCGTGGCATAGTTGGGCGTGGGCGGTGCGGAGGGTGGCGCCGGTTGGTAGCAGGCGGGCTGCGGCGGTTCGTAAACGGGAGCAGGTGCCGGTGGTTGAGGGGCGGTCGGACTGGCGTATCCCTGGACATCGGTCTCAGCCTGGACGGATGATCTTGATGCCAGTGGTGTGGACACGTAGATTATGGGTTGGTAAACAATTTGTGCGGGTGGGGCCCCGCCGTATTCCCGGGGAGAGTTGCTCTCGGGCTTAGCGTAGCTGGGTGCGGGCGGATCATAGCTGGGAACCGGTGGAGCGGGATTCTGGTAGTTGGCAGCAGGAGCCTCGTAGGAGGGCGCTGGTGGTGCCGGAGCTTCGTAGGAGGGAGCTGGTTGGGCCGGGGCCTCGTAGGTTGGAGCGGGTTGTGCCGGGGCCTCGTAAGAAGGAGGTGCCGGTGCCACGTACCCGGCGTCGCCATCTCCGGGACCGTTGTACTCTGTGTTGGGTTTGGCATAGGCACCCTCCGGCGACACCGCGTAGCCGTCGCCCCCGTAGGAAGGAGTCTGCGGTGCCACATAGCTGTTTTGCGGCAGAGGCAGCTGGCCGCAACTGCCGCTGCACTGCGTGCAGGGAAGGGGGGAGGAGAAGAGGTCCGGAAGCTTCTTGAGGAGCTTCATCTGCTTGAAGGGGTCCAGGTCGTCGAGCTGGAGGCCATTGCAGTTGTTGGTCACGGGAAGCGCGGGGGCAACTGGCGCCGGTGGATACAGCGCGTTGTTGTTGCAGCAGTTGTTGTTGCGGGGAAACAGGTCATCCCACCACTTGAGCAGCGAGCGGTTCGTGCGTCTCAGAGGTTCGTTTGGGGTCACCAAGGGACCTGCATCCGCCATCAGATAGTAGCGTGGCTCACCGGGCGCCGCGATCCGGTTGGACACGCCCTCCTCCTGGGCGAAGGTGGTCAGGACAAGGGCCATGACCAGCAGACTCAGACTCCACGATCTTACTCCGAAGTGCAGCATTTTGCGGCGGTTGCGTTAGTAGCTTTAACCTCGCGATGCGAACAATAAATCCCAACTACCAAGTCCGCTGGCTGCAAAACCCAGCGGACACCTAGAGTTTCAAAAAAGAATGCAGGGTCAGCACATCATGACACCTTTGTTGGGGTATAGTAGGTTCCTCATGAGCCACGAGTTTTTTTGATTTAGCTACAACCTAATATTCTTTTGTTTGCATTTCCCATTTTTTTACAACTAGTAGTTAGTCTGCCAGTTGGGATCTGTTTTTTTTAATTTTATTTTTTATTGTTACAAAAATAAAAAAAGAGCATTTAATGTGCTTTTGCTTTAAAAGTTGCTTACGAATGACTCCTAGAGTGAGCATATTTAAACTGAATTTTGATAATTGCAAAACAGGGGTCTAACCCAGTTTTTTTTTAGCCCCAAACAACGAGTGCTCTATTTAACCGATTCGATCCACATTCATTGGCTAACTCCTCGATTAACGCATGATCAGCAAATGGCTTACCTTTACTTGGGTGAAATATTCAGCACAATAACATTAAACTAACTATTTCTTAATACATTTTTTCCCTGAGTTGTAAGTCAAATAATAAAAAAGTTTTATAAAACTTGTTAAATACATAAATCGCATTACAAGTTTTTTTTTAAACCAAAACCAATTGTTCTTTCTTTGAGCTTTACAAGTCCGACGAACTCCTTTGTATTGTAAGACTTAACAGGTTATCCCTTTAAATAAAAAGTTCAGCAGTTCCAATAACCTTACTTGGGGGCCATTGACACCACATTACTTTTCCTGTATGCAATGCTTTTTTTGTTTTATTTTTTGTTTATTGAAATTGTTCTGTTACGTGTTTGAAATTGGTAATCGGTAGTAAAACTAAACTCAGGTCTCCTGCTTGGGTTTTGGACCGTAATTGCCTTCGCTTAAAATGGATAATAAACCTGGCCAATCGAAAGCAAATTCACATCACCGAACGGAAGTGTGGCGGAAAAAAAAAACGGAAAAAGTATATACGTACATAAAAAAAATATATAAATATATACTTCTGTAAAACACTTCCTAAAGTTTTGACTGTCTTGTTCATTGGAGATTGGCTTATTCAGGTCTTGATTATTTAGGAAAAGACTGTGCGGAAAGCAATAAATGAGAAAGGATACAACTGTCTGAATAACAATTAGCATTTAATCCAGAGAACCATGCTCGCTAAGAGTCGAGGAAAGAGTGTGCGTGATAATCGGCAAAACTATAGCATCAAAAAATGTTTCCTAAACATCAAAGTTTATGTATACGTACTACAAATAATGTAAAGATACTACTGTTTCTTTAACAATTATTAATAAAAATAATAAACATTATAACATGACCGATTTTATTCTGAGACCAAAAGCTAACTGCAAACTCAAAGTGAATGCAAAATGATAGTCTCTTATTATTTCTTATCGTTTATCGTACAAAAGGTCCATCATTTTGGTTCTACTGCTTTACAACATCTATCCCTAAACTTATTTTGTTTGAAATGGATAAACATATGTATAGTAATATAGTAAAACATCAAAAAATACGTAATGCCGGATAAATAGTTTCACACCTTGTTTACAAAGTTGGAAGGCTATACCACTTCATAAGGTTCAATTTATTGCCTTTGTGCACTTTTCGTAGCACATTCTTTTGGCAACAATATCTGACCGGGAAACAGCTGAAATAAGTCAGTTGGTTGCCTGATCGCCAACTGTTTCTTTTGCATCTCCGATTTCGTTTTCGAACTCAGATTCCATGACAAATTACAACCATTAAACCCAGACTTCCTCCTGCATGCGGGAACCAGGCTGCCTCAGCAAATGTGATAATCACCCAGTGATTATCCACCCAGCCATCCCGGCCCAGAGCCAGCCCATCGTGGCCATGACCATGACCAAGTGAAAGTGGCAGCAGTCCGCACACAACGCGCCACTTGTGGGCCGCTCCCGTACAGTGAGCACTAATGTTTGTTTTACGTCCGCAGCGGCTGCTTCCTTACTTTGCATGTGGCACGCATTCCTCTATCGCCGGCGATCATCGCGTGCTAGTTTACATAATCCCCTATCGCCGTTGGATGAGCGGGAAATATAACTAAATAACTGGCGGACGCTCCCCTCCAACACTGTTGCACTGCACTGAAGACTTCGGCAAACGCACTCTTCCAGTGGGGGTTGAGAAGATGAATGTATTTTCATTAGGGTACCCAAAGAAAAATATGCAAAGTCTAAAATAAAATATGTATATGCCTTGATATAAAAACCGTTGAACTTTGACATCGACGGTTTTTTGGGATCAATTTTAATTTTAATTCCCAAATCATTGATTATTTTCATGACCCAACTAATCTGATCAACTTTTTTATTTAAATAAAATTATATTTTATTAGTTTATGATAATGGAATAAAAAAGGTAAACTGGTAACAATGTTTTTGTATGTCAACAAAACAAAGATAATTTATTTTATATTTTATTTAAAACACGCAGAATTTGTTGATATTATTAGATAGTTTTGAAAATCCGTTTGAACTGGTTTGTGTTTAAACAGGCGGATGAAATCGACCGTAATATTTGTGACAGTTCCCAATTTTATAGAATTTTCGAAAAAACAAGAAAGGAAGCTAGCTTCGGCAAGCCGGAGCTTATATGCCCTTGCAGTCATCAATATCGAAAAAATACAAAACAAAAAAACAACATCGAAGCCATGTCGATTTTTGTTATTTTTGCCAGTCTTAAAAGTTTTGAATAAAAAGAAAAATGGGCTTCAATTATATGCATGCTCCATACCAAAGCTATGTTTTAAAAACCATATAGAAAGTTTAATTTTTTAAGAATCGTGCGTTGAAAATGAGAGTGAAGAATTAACATAGCTTTTTCATTCCGAGCAATTTCTTACGTTTTTAATGCCAATAAAAATTGTGCTGATGTTATTCAAAAGGCAGTAGTTGTAATATTATATTACTACCTCTAGCTGAAATCAACAAAAGGAGTTCTTATTTGTGTGAACTAAACAAAAGGACATGTTTTTCCTTTGATTCAAAACTGACGCACAACTAAGAAGAAACAAATGAAATATAATATTTTGTAGTGCTTTAAAATTAAGAAAATGGGTTGCACAGAGGGAAAAGTTCAGCTTCCACCTTTCAACACTTTATCATATCTTCTTATAGGATTTAATCGGACCATTCTTTTTTTTACCGCCTTAAAACATTAATTGCGTTTAGGAGATTTTTTGGGGCAATGATAAATTATTAATGTACAGGGTCAAGATTACCATATTATTTGGTTGGTAGAGTCTTCTAATTTTCTGCAAATCCAGCTCTGTTTCTTCAAGTTTGTTTATTGGTGTGGATGATGCAGAAGCCGGGTATAAGGTGTAAACAACACACGGGGGCTTAAAATTAATTAGTTAAATCATATTTTATACAGCAGTAATACATACATTAGGGATTTTAAAACTGATAATAAAAGAGTTCTAAAGAAATATAAGCAGTTCAACATACTCATTCACGACGATCAATCGCAGCCCAAGCAGAAGAGGTCGGTTTGGTATTAGTTGATCAACAATTTGATAAGAGAGACATCAGAGAATGCGAGCTGATGTGGCTTATATTAATGTAGGGCTCATTCATAAAGGTCCAGAAAAATCATTTAAATATGGAAGCCAATACGTTGATAGGGGCTGAAAAGCCACAAAAATTAGGCTAACTGTAGTTATGTAACTCAGAAGCAGATTTTCCAGAGACAATTCGGAACATGGTCTACGGATCCCAAAAATTAACATCGATTACTTAGCCAAATAAACAATCAATCAAAGCCAATACCGGCAGGGCATTTCGAACTTTGTAAAGGTGTCCAATTGCATGACCCTTCTTTATGTTGAAGTATTCTCCTATTTCTCGAGGAACAATAAAAAGTTGCAAAGAAGAAAGATCGGTGGTGATATACCATACCATATAGGTAGTATTACCTACAACTGAAGTTCGGGGACGAGCCTCATTCTTAGATCCTAAAAACGTTTATATTAAATATGTCACATTTTAATTGACCTGTAATCCGTCGCAGATCGTCATTTCAATAGCGTAATTTCTTTGCTGTGATGTTAGTAAATTGTCAAAGAGGTCATGTCACACATCTTTTAGAAAAGTACGAAGAAAGTTTATTTATTATTATTTTTTCTACGAATATGGAATAGTTGATGAAGCCGATCTATCGGTATTGGGTAAGTGTTAAAAAAGTATTATTTTGATCAAAGATATAAGGTTATAAAAGGTTATGTTTATACATAGAATGGACCCGTCTTTACAACTGTCCTTTACCCAAGTCAAATCGAATTAATTAGCCATATTAAATCAAGAAAGGAAGCTAGCTTTCAGTCATCATCAGCAAAATGGACAAAAGCCAAACCTCATCGAAGTTATGACAATTTCTTGTATTAATTTTATATATTTCCACCGATTGTTCGGTAGACAGTACCGTCGCACGATTTTCATTAAATTTAGTACGAAACTCAGAAGTCGTAAGAAAAGGTTTTATTTAAAAAATCATAGAAAAAAAAAATGATGGAAAACAACTTGTAAGATTTAAGATCACATCTGGTAGCTGTCTTTGACTTGTCATGTTAAGCGGCATACATTTAAAATTCCAGGTTTAACTCATGCGATAAAAAAACTACATAAAAAAGGGAACGCGCACTTCTACTCCCACCACTTTAAAGGTGCAATGCACTAAATTTCCAGCATATTTTCTCAAACTTAAGCGTTTTTCGGCCCAAATGGCCCAAAAAGCTGACGTTTGGTATAACTAAAGTCAGCGGTATACTTTTAACATTGGGCTGATAGAGCAGAAAAGTAATCAAGCCAAAACGAAAAATAGATCTAGTCATTAAGTTCTGCACAGAGTGCCAACTAGACAGATTGGTTAGCTATAAATAATAAGCAGCCGGGTGGGATTGGCATCAGTCACCTTTGGTAACTACAAGCAGCTCCACCAGCACCCATCCACCTCCAACTCCAACTTCGCACTCCAATCAAGATGAAATCCTTCGTGTGCATCGCTCTGGTCGCCTTCGCCGCCGCCGCCCTGGCTTCGCCCACCAACGTGGCCTCGTCCACCCCCACCGGAGCCACAGTCTCCCTGACTGCCCAGGAGGGCGAGCTGGAGGGAGTCGCTGGACAGGGCTTCGGGGACCTCACCCGCCTTCGCAAGTCCGCTTACGGCGGCAGCTCCGGCGGCTACGGCGGCTCCAGCATCCCGGCCCCTCCCTGCCCCAAGAACTACCTGTTCAGCTGCCAGCCCAACCTCGCCCCGGTGCCGTGCAGCGCCCCAGCCCCCAGCTACGGATCCGCCGGCGCCTACTCCTCCCCGGTGGCCACCTACGTCGCCCCCAACTACGGCATCCCCCAGCACCAGCAGCAGCTCTTCAGCGCCGCTTACGTTCCCCAGACCAACGGCTACTACTACTAAGTGCCGCCCACGCAGCTAGAACCCGGCCACGGACCACGCCCTCGATTGCTGAGAAACATAATTATTAACGGATTTCAAAAAATGTACAAAAAAATATGCATTGCCATTAAATCGCAAAAAAATCCTAATCCCTTTCAAGTTGTTTTATTGTCGGCCTTCGAATCTTGGGCTTTAAACAGAACGGTTTATTAAAAGCAACATTAAGCGAATAATGGATGGGACATAGTGGGTATATATTTTTTTGCACTTTAAATTTATTTAACGACTATTTTATTCATACATCTTCTTTATGAAGATTAAGTTGTTAAAATTGTATGCATGTAATATTTTTGTGGCTTAAGTCTTCCGACTCAATTTTATTTTTGTTTCTATGAAGTCTTTAAGTTTTTTAATCCAAACTTCCGTCACCCAAAATTATGCGTGTGTGTTGATAAAGAAAAAGTAATAAATTCCAATCCTTTTAAAATGTTCAACAGAAGCTTAGACGCAGTGAAAGAGACACCTCAGACCCATAAAGTGTATATATTCTGGATCAGCATCACGATCTGAACCGAAATAGGTCTGTACGTCTGTCCGTCTGTCCGTCTGTCCGTCTGTCCGTCTGTTCGTCTGTCCTCCTGTCTGTTTCTACGCAAACTAGTATCTCAGTTTTGAAGCTATCTTGCTGAAACTTTTCCAAGATAAGTGTAGTTATTGCACGCAGTATATAAGTCGGAACGGGCCGGATCGGCCGATTATATCGGATAGCTCCCATACGAGGGAATGGAATGAAAAATTCTCACGCCGTTGTTTTTGATCAGATCGACTTGATTTCTTCAAGATGGCGTTTTCTAACTACTATTGAATTTCGGAAATCGGATAACCCTATCATATAGCTGACATAGGAAAAATTAAAAAATCTATTAGAAATAACGGAAATTAAGAATTAATTTAAATAGTTGTAATATGAACATAGTCAAACACGAGTATATGGAAAATTAATAGAAAAATCGTCATAGCTTCGATGTTGTTTAGCCTTTATGTATTTTGCTCGACATATTTGATGACCGCAAGGGTATATATGCTTCGGCTTGCCGAAACCAGCTTCCTTTCTTGTTTTTTTTTTTGCTTTTGTGCCGAGATCTTTTGCCCTTGGAAGAAGGAAATTGTGGTGCATAAATAAGTTTATAATCAAATTTATATTTATTAAATACTTAAAAAAGGTTCCAAAATGAAACTTTTCTTAGTACCTTAATATGTGTTACATAATTGTTTTGCAGTGATGCCTAAGCAAAAAAGACGAAAATACAACCGAGAATTGATTACCTTTTCTTACCAGAAATCAGACCACAATTGCAACTAATCATTTCCAGAATTTTCTTTAAAGACTCGTTTTTGAATCCATGTTTAGGTCTCTGAACCTTAGTAAATGCTGCAGCAAGCCAATTTGTAAGCTATTACGGGCGGATTAACGAAAAAAGAATTAATGCTTGCGACACTTGACAACGAGCAAAGCGCAAAAGTAGAAAGTGCAAGCGATTGTGTAATGCGATATCGGATCCCATCAAATGCTTGGCTGAACGGTCAGCCTACACGCCGGAAAAACAACAACGGACACAATGAGCTGACCTTCGGGTTTCAGGTTCTCACAATGTATGTGAGACCACAGGCCCTGCCTGCGGATTAGCCCTGGCTTTTGCCCCACATTTTCAAGCGGAGTTTTAACTTTCCAGTTCGCCCCAGCTCCGATTCAACTTTCCCTCCGGAAATTAAATGGTCTTCCATTTCCAATATAGGTACTATTCAGTGGCGGATCCAGGATTTTGATAAGGGGGGGGTCCAAAATTGTTTAAGGGGGTGGGTTTAGAAACTTTTTTTTTCCTTGAGATATATGCATAATTACCACGTACAGTGGCTCGAAGCTTATTTCGTGCAAGAACAAAATAAAATTTCAAATCGACATTGCTGCCAAACTAGAAAAGATATCAAAAAAATTTAAACGCAGTAATTTAAGGAAACTCTTTATTAACTATAATGACAAAGAAAAATTTACTAATCTACAAAAACAAAACAACTTTTCATATAAAAATAAAAAAAACGAGGCATTAATTTCATAAAGATTTCAACATTTTTCTAGTTGTCTTAACGGGTATTTTAGCCCACTTCTGCAGTAAAGAAATCTTTAGGTCATTTTCGTTGGAAAATCCACTTTTTCGAATCTCTAAGTCCAAAATTTTCAGCAATTGTTCAATAAAATTTAAGTCTGGAGACTGTGTTGGCGTATTAATCCCATTGGGACAGTTCTAGATCAAGAAAGGGCTACAAAAAAGGGCCGGGTTGCACCAAATCAAATATTCAACGATCTCGAGGAGCGCTGTTTTGTCCGGAAAAATAAGGAACACCTCAAGCTATCGGTTTCAAAAATTGCTGCTCAGATTAAGATCGAAATTGTCAACAAATTTTACCCAAATACAGTTCGGAACATATTGCACCACCATAACTTTAATGATCAAGTTGCATGAAAAAATATTTTCAAAAGTATACAAATATGATGCCTTGGGTCAAGTTCGCAATGGTGTTAGAAATTCGGCCGATTTATTTCGGGAATGACGAAATTTAAGCAGACGAATCAATTTTTAATTATTTTGGGTGGTTGGAAGACGCTAAGTGAGGAGATGTTCCAATACGAAGATGGAAACTAAAAAGTTAAAAGCAATGCATTGGCACGGCGGTGACCATATCATGGTTTGGGCTTATATGGCTGCATCCGGGGTCGGGAACTAAGTTTTTATTGCCGGTATCAGTTTGGTGAAAAGTGTCAATAACTTGGCTAAATGGAATCGATTTAGATTCAACCAAGAATATGACCCAAAGCCTATTGCTAGAAATGTATGTTTTGGTTGATCTAAAACTGTCCCAATGGGTTTTGGCGGTAATACCCGTTACCACAGCAACTCCAGAACGATCATTTTCGACTTTGAGGAGAATGAAATATTATCTGAGAAACACGATGGGTCAAGAGCGTCTCAATGGTCTTGCATCTTTGAACATTCATCATCGCATAACTTTGACTGAAGACGAAATTCTCAGAAAGTTTTTTGAAAAACCTCGGAAATTTAAGAGTGACTAGAACCGTTTGTGGATCATATATAATATTTTTTCTTGATTTATTATTCGAAAATAAATTAAAATTTGTGTAAAACATTCAAAAAATTACGAATTTTTATTAATAACTTTGTGTTTCAACTCCACCAACATGCCCAATAAAAGCATAAAATTTGTAAGTATATGATCCCATGGGGGGGGGTCCGGACCCGAAAACCCCCCCCGTGGATCCGCCACTGGTACTATTTTATTCTTCGGATGAAGGGTTGGAGCTCTAAAAACACCTAAGAACTGGGCAATAAGGTCGTACCAAATTCCAGGTCTATGTTCCAAGCGGAGTATTTTTGAATTACTACCATAGTTCCAAAAATTCTGCCTAAATACTTACCACAAAAAAAAAAGTATATCTAAAATATTATAATAATAATATATATATATATGTATTATAATATACATTGCAAGATTGATGCGTTTAAGTTAAGGGATTAGGCCAATTTTTTTTTTTTAATTTTTTAATGTCTATTAAGGGGTTATATACCTTTTTGAGCGAAAAAAATGAGGGAACTTTGGATTTTTTTTCAGGTGTGTAGCAATTATTTTATGATACTGAGGTTATTATTTATTGATAGTACATGTTTTTATAGACACAACAAACGTTTGTTCTTAAAAAAATATAAATAACTTTCGAAGTTATGGCAATTCTCTCATAACCCTTTTTTTGTTATAGCGGCTTGCGGTGACCACGATGGAAGTCCAGCGGGTCAACTAAAATCAATAAACCAAAAAATTTTTATTAGTTTAGTATTATTTCTAGTTCGTCATTGAATTACTTCAAGAATATTTGGTTTTTTCTGCAGACAGTAACAATTTTTTCAAAAAATTGATTTTTCGAGCTCTAAAAATTTTATTAAAAATTTCTTATCTGCAAAATCGAAATTGCCGCAGAAAAACTGATTCAATGGCGAACTCGGCACAATCATTACGAATGTTTTAAAAAAAAATTGAAGAAGATCGATCAAATAGTTCTTGTGCAATCGCGGTCACAGCAAAGGCACTTTTGGAAAAAAACGACTTTGAGATAATCGCATTCAAAGTTTTACGTTGCGGTACAAAGAGTGACGTACCGCGCCTCAAAACGCTGTTTTCCTATCGAACTATTATTTGGATGTCTTCAAAAATTTGGGAAAATGTTCTCTAGGGGATATACTTTAGGATTCAGCTTAAAAAAATTTTTCGTTTTTTTGAAAAAAAAAAGGTATATAACCCCTTAAGACCCCAAAAGTGATGTTCCAAAAACTGATGACCGGATTTTTTTTTCCGAATTTTACTACTAGGCTCTTCTTTGACGAGCGGTCAAAATTTCAAACTCAGCAAATAATGTTGATGATTAAGGCAAACGGACAAATATCGAAAAATTCAAACATACTTTTATAGCTGTTATTATATAGAGTGAAGCTTTTATTATATAATATTAAATTACACGAGCTCCTTGTCCCGCCCTGGATCAAAAAACTACAGCACAGCTTCCGTTTTAATTTATAAAAGTTACTATGGTCCTACTATCACAAATGTAAATTTGTATGCTAAAATCGTTACTAAACTCAAAACTTATTTTTAAGAGTTGATGTCTTAAATTAACAAAGCTGTATTTTTCTTAAAGTTTTTTCTATTTTTTATTTATGGAAGCAATATGATAAAGGCGTCCGGTTTTTTTTTTAGAATTATAGATCTTAAAAATTATTGTTGCTTGCCAAAAAACTACGACGATATTACTCTTCTCCATTTATTTTTCAATTCAAATGATTAATAATATAAAAGCTTTATAAGAACTGGCAATCAGAGGGGGTAAATTTAAAATCCAAAAATGACAAGGAATATCAAACAAATGTCTAAAATAAAATTTAGAAAATAAGTAAAGGGGTTTTATTTGATATTTAAAAGCCTTAGATCTAAAATAAAACTTTTCAGACTGCATTTTTTGCTTATCTAGGGATTCCATTTGCACCCCCATCATTGGCATTGGCATTTTTTCATGACAAAAGCTGCAAACTATTTAGAAATCGAAAGGCCCCAAACAAAAAGTCTTTTATCGTTTTTTTATAATTGCATTACTTTATTGATAGGTTCAATTGTCCAGGTATTTCGATCGGTCCTTGGCCCTACAGTTCTCGGACGAAGGGAACGGCGTACTGGGGCACGTACTGCGAGTAGGCGCCGGCCGATCCGTAGGAAGGAGCTGGGGCGGAGCAGGGCACCGGCTGCAGGGAGGGCTGGCAGCTGAACAGGTAGTTCTTGGGGCACGGCGGCGACGGGATGGAGGCCGGGGCGGAGTAGGCGGGGGCGGCGGGAGCGGAGTAGGCGGGGGCAGCAGCTGGAGCCGAGTAGGCGGGGGCAGCGGGGGCGGAGTAGGCCGGAGCAGCGGGGGCGGAGTAGGCGGGGGGCAGCGGGAGCGGAGTAGGCGGGAGCAGCTGGAGCCGAGTAGGCGGGAGCAGCGGGGGCAGGTGCAGCTCCATAGCCGCCGTAGGCAGCTCTCGACACACGGATGTTCTCGGCCAGCGGCGCCGGGATGAGGATGCCCTGCGTGGGCTGTAGCTGGATAGTCTCCGAGGACACGGCGGACAGGGCCAAGACGCCGGCGATGAGAAGGTGACCAATGCTGAATGCCATTGCGGATAGTTCTCTAGTGTTCTCTGCTTGCTGCTGAAGTGGCGAACGAAGGGTGACTGTTGATTGGAGCCTCTGGGCAACCCACTTTATAGCCCACTCCGAAAACGCTGATCACACTGCCCGAGCAGAACGACAGCGGGCAGAAAAAATGCACATGGAAGCACCTCAGCTCGAGAATTGCTGACGACCTGCAATCAGGGGGCGACTGTGGAGCAGGGTACTGGGTACCGGCCATTGGCCACCTATCTCTCTTCGCAAATGGCTAGGGCGATGGCGTTCTGGTTTCTGGTCTTACTTCTGGTGACCTTAAATCCGACCTGGCTCACCTGGAGCGGAGGGGCCGCCAAAGCCACTTCCGCATCGACGTTCCAGTTTCTAGAGCGACCCAACGCCGAGCGCGATCGGAGCTGGTCCCACCTCCTTCCCACAAACTTCTACTCGGAGATGAACCAGCAGTACTACAGGAGGTTTCGACGACAGACTGGCATGATGAACCGACTTGGATCGGGTCAACTTTGGCGGTTCCCTTTTGAGAACGACCGATATGTATAAAATAAATGCAACCAAAGAATCGATTTGTTTTCATTGATTCAATGGCAAAAGGCAAATCAGGGTCTCAACATGTCCAAACAGTTCCAAAAAAAATCAGAAACCACCGCAAAAGGGAGGGAATTTTAAAAGTAAAAATTAAATAAGTCATATAACTTTCTCCACAGTCTAAGAAATCCAATTTTCAACTACATATGTACAACTTTTTTCCAAATACAGACGATGTTTTTATATCAGAAGTTCTAGACAGAAGTCGTTTCTAGTGACTTGGTTATTAAAACTAAAAAACGACCAATTTTGTTGCTACATAAATTTTCTATTACTAAAAATGTAGCATACTAAATATGTAGATTTTTTAATAAGGCCAACCTTATTATCACAAATATTATTCGACGTAATCGACAGATGAAAAACCGTTAGCCGTCAAGGAAAAAAACAGTTTACCGATACATATGTGACTATCGATAAGCCATCAATATGAGGGTAGCTACGCATGACCGTGGCGGTACCTTTGACGTCACCAGGACGAAGGACACAACAAAGCAGGACTTAAAGGGCAACACATAGCGCCTCTGCAAACAACTGGTTGACTTTAGGACACCGCCATGAAGCTAACTTTGCGGAGGTACTCCTGGGTGCTCATGCTCCAGCTTGCTCTTTTGGGTGTGGATCTATTCTTTAACGCTTTCGGACCTTCGCTGGCAAAAGACCGACTGCAGACCGCCGTATTTTTCTTTGTGTGAGTATCCGAGAATGGAGCATTTTCGGTCATTGATTTGAACAAAAAACATCACAGCACTCAAGACGCGCTGATCATTGCGGAGTACCTGCTATTTACCTTAGCGCTGCACTCAACCTGCGTCTACCAGGTTGGAGCCTCCCACATAATCCTGCGCAACTGCAAGCTCTTCATGGCCAGCATCACAATCTACTTCCTGCTGTCCGCTTCCCAGCACTTCTGGATTGTCTACCAACACCGTCAGGCACCAGGCGAAGACAGCCGGACCTTGCCATTGGGTCTGATTGCTTTATCGGTGGGACAACGCATTAGTAAGCCCCGAAAATATTTCTTTCACGATATATTGCTAATATTGTACCCTTTTCACGCAGTGTCGGTGCTCTATTACTACAGCTCTAAGTCCACTGCTCTGACCATGGCCGATCCCCGCTTTAAGGAGGAACATCTTGACTGGATAGCAGAGCAGTTGGGGGATAAGTAAATTAATTTGACACGATTTTGCTTGTAGCTTAGAGTAATTGATAAAGTCAAGATAAAAGGGTGAGCTTCTGACACCGAAGCTTAGAATCTATTGTTTGTTAAACGATATTTAAAGATATCTAGGTTATTAATTTAGAGACTTGGCGAATCTGTTGCCTAAACCATTTTTAAAAATTCAATCAATAATTTCCAAAACAAGGTGACAATACTTTTAATAAGCTAACTTAAAATTTAATTTTTTGAGTTATCCCAAAACCAGCTAATAAAATTCTTGATAAAAAGCTTTATCTAAAATTAGGAAGCGTATACACCCTATGAAGCTAAAACTAAAACTGTAAAACTCTTATTTAATAGTCGCTCGGCATAAAAAATATTTCAAATATTTTTTATCTTTGAGCTCAATATTGTTTGTTATTTTTTATTAGTTTTTAGGCATTTAAACTGTATATACATATAATAAAAAAAATTCTTTATTTATGATTCAATAAAAGTGGTTTACTTGGACACACCTTAATACAGCTTTTTCTTTAAACACCATTCTAAAGTGCAAACGATAATTGCACATGACAATTGCCAGAAAACAAAAGTACTTCCAATTAACATCACTACGTAACGTACTTCGCTCTCCTTGGAGACTAGGCTTATTGTGCAGTCTTGACTTCAGAAATGAATAAAATTTACAATTTTGTTGGTTTTGTAAATAAAATATATTGCAGAATTTCAAAAACATAACCTTTTACATTTATAAATATTTACATTTTTGTCTTGGGTAAGCACCACTTTTTGTAATTGAAACACCCAGCCTAGACAATAGGTTAAGTCAATAAAACTATTCGGACATTAAATAACATAGTCAATAAGATCAACAATTCTTAATTTTGCACAGTAATTGGAACAGGCTAATTTTTTTTACTGCTGTAAGAAAATTCTTACTAGTTGGTCCCTCGGATAGCGATCTTTATTCCGTTCCAGAGAGGCTGAATGGCACGCCAAAAAGCTGCTCCCATCCTTCTCCGATTACACTCAAACAACACGTGGCGTGCGCATGCGTTTCGAATAGCAAGTGCCACACCTCGCTTTTATTTTGCGTTTCATCGATAAAACTGATCGCATAGTTTTGATCTGTTATGCGTTCCACTTCCACCAAATTACTCAAAGGCTGGTTGAGGCTTTGTTCATGGTGTTCTAAATTTTCCTGCAATTTGTCTGACAGGCAGGAGAATTTCCCTGAGATGTACAAGTGTGACTCTGTGATCAAGAGCAAACAGGGATCGAAGCTGCTCTTCTCTTGCTCACAAATCCATTGGCAGCTAGGAAGCAGGGAGCACATCTTAACTGACTCGGATGCAACAGTCTGTAACTGATTGCTAAGTGTGGGCGATGGTTGTGTATTTACTTTGCAATGAACTGTCGTAGGGTTATCTGGAAAGATGCATACAATATAAAATTATTTGATAAATTAGCTAAAATGTTGTGATTTTCACTTACGTTGCAAAAAGAGAAGCAAGCTGTCGGTCCTCAGCGGGTCGTGCAACAGCAACTTAAATCCTCCCCAGTCCCTTATATCGAAGGAGAGTCCCAGCTTCCAGGGCAATTGTTCAATTGCCACTATCCGATTGACGGGCACACTGACGACCTGCCGCAGCCACTTGGCCACGTCGTCTTGGGGTACTGCGAACGCCTCCATTAAGTAGCACTTGCAGTTGGACACCACCACGAGACCTTCGCTCAGGCCCTGGGTTTGCTCGTTATAGATGCGACCCTTGACCAGACACGTAAAGTGTTCGCCATCCTCCTTGAACTTGCGCTGGTAGAAGTAGAGCTTTAGGCGGTGATCTATATCGTTGAAGTCGCTGTAGTTGAACTTATAAGGTTGAGTGCCTAGCACAGTAGCCTCCGACTCTGTTATCTTTTTTGAGCTGGACATCAGAAGGGTGGTTGATTGAAACACGGATGCGAAGGGTAGCAGACTGCTGTCCTTAGCTTTTTTCAAAGAATTATTTTTGTCTGCATCTGAGTTACTAATATGGCTTTCTGCCGATTTGGTTAACTGCGAACTTGGCAGAGTTTGCTGAGGATCCATCCCCTGCTGCTCGTAGGTGGTGCAAATGCTATCAGTCACGGATCCCGAAGAGCTGCTTTCCGTGAGCGGAAGATGGGAAACAGATGAAGTTGCGGGAGCTGGGGCAGCAGGTATGGCAGCCTGGCCCTGCTCTGCCAGCAGCTGGTGGAACTCTCGTTCGATGAAGTTCTTAGATTGAACTATTTCATCGCTTATCGTCTCAAGATGGGGCAGCTGGGATATGCGCCGTTCTTCTGATGTCTTTCGACTGTTACTCAGCACGCAGTTCGGATCCAGAACCTCTATGCTGGACTGGCTCGGATTGGAGATGATATCCACATCACTCTCGTTGGCTCGAAACTCTATGTCACGTTCCGTGTTTGAACTGCCCACGACGGACTGATTGGAGTCAAAGGAGCTCTGCGAGTTAGTAATTTTTGAACAGGAGCTGCTCTCGTTTAACGAATTAGCGGAACCTATAAAGTAGATACATTAGTGTGGTGATTTTTATATTTTATTAATGGAAGCAGCATTGTCCGTTCAAATTTTAATAAAGCTTTCTCAGTTAAATTTTGAAATTTTTACTGTGTTTTACAGCTTAATTATGAAATGTTCAGCTTCCAAAATGTAGTTCCAAATATGAAAAGTAAAATGCACCAGAGCTGATAAGTGTGCACCACATAAGTTAACACCACTTTCTCCAACAAATATCAGTGGGCAGTTAGCTCATTTTTGCCTCATGCCAAAATGCTGCTTCACATTACAGGTTAAAATAAAAGGCAGTTATTTTTTTAGTAAAATAAAAATGTATACAAATTGGCATATTAACTTTTTATGGCTTGCATCAAACTCCTACGCTTGGGTGTGTTTTTAGCTGTTGTAAGCCTGGAGTTGGCCACTAAAATATTAATTAATTTTTTACATCACAACAATTTTATTGTTGCCGGTTGGTGGGTAAGAGAAAAAGTCCAAAAGAACAATGTAAATACATATACAAAAGTTAGATTGGTTTTGCCATTTTCGATTTGTGTTTGCATGCAAAAGAAATAAGAAAGAAATAAAAATAAAATTAATGTACAGTAATGATGTCCAACACAAACATAAAAATATCAACCAAATGGAACAAAAACCAAAGCAAATAACAATAAACGGCCGGTAACTACAGGGAATGCTTTAAAAACCACTACAAATAAAATGTCTTTAAAAATTTTCCAGAATTTGATCAATGTAAAAGAGGAAACTGGCCAGGGACTTGCCAATGCTGTTGTTTTCCTCCTTGCTTATCGTCCCCACAGAAAGATCCACTGGCGATTCGTCCACAATCATTGCGGGTGACAGTTTTGGCTCTGCCGCCCTCTCCACAGAAGGTTTGTTCAAAGAGGTTGATAATTCTGTAACTTCAGCCACGTAGACGCTGCGACAGTCCGGACATCTCACATCTAAGAAAATGAGAAATTCAAATAAAAGTTTCTTACTAAGTGATGGGCTTAAAATTTTCTCTTGTACTGTAGGGATATCTAACAAAAAATAATTTTTGCATTGCAAACTTCTCACTAAATTATAATACTCTTTTGCTCTGCAAGGGTATAAAATGCATGAACCTATGAGATGCCAATGTGGTCTTGAACGATTTTAGTCAGGACACTGGTAAGCAGATCTTAAACATAGCTTCACAGTTTAAGTGATTTTTTGGCAAAATCTTTGCCTGTACTTACCTTTTGCTTTATATCGGCTGCTTCTCTGCTCAATTGTGAATTGAGTTAGACAATTTACACAGCGATATATGGATATGTTCATTTCGGTAAGATCACGCTGCGAAAGGATGTCTCGTAATTTCTTTTCCAACTCCTTTATAAAAGCACAAGAAAGAAATAAGTTGGCGCTTATATGTACTTAATTATTAAACTTACCTGACACAAAGTATTTTCCACACAATATATCCGCTCCTGCTTATCCTTTCGCATTGTGTCGAAATTGATTTTTATTGTATTCGACTTTACACGCTCGCATGATTCCAGAATTTTCAAACTCCATTTGGTTTTCGTTCTGATAAAAAAAAGTAACATGTCTTAGAAGTTGTGCAAACTTAGTTGACCAGATCAAATCCACCTTTCGCTTAGCGTATCCTTTTCGCGAATAAAGTTTGAGGATACGGTGAGAAACAGAGCTTCACTAGGCTTTTGTTCCAGGTAGACTATGTAGGTTTCTTCATCGGCCTCCGCATCGGATACTAAAAACGTCAAATACAACTTTATTTATGGAATTACTGGATAAGTAAGCCTGACTTACCCGGATCCTCATCATGACCATCATTCGAGCTATTCGCATATAGGCTCAGGAATTCCTTATGCTTATCAGGCGGATGTTCCTCCTCCGGTATTTCCTTGCTGGTGCTGGCTATGCTCTCGTAATTTGTCGCCTCACCTTCAGTACAGGTCTCGTAAAGGCTTTGTCCACTTGTATCGTTCACATCCCCCTTAATTGGGGTCAAAGTGGTGTCAAAGGTGGTACTTAACAAAGTTTTGTTCGAGGGGGTAGAGCTAATGTTTAGATTCGTCGAATCTGCTAAAGAATTTATTCTTTCGTTTGATTCCGATAATTCCCCTAAGAACTCATTAAATAGCTTGCGAGCTTCGTTGCGCTCCCTTTCAGTAGGCTGAGCTAATTCAATTCCCAGCATCCGCTCAGCATTTCCCTGTTTCAACCATTCACTGCCATAAGTGAGGCGAAGCGTCTCGATTTGCTTCTTGGTCTCCAGGTGGGAGCAATCGTTTGCATCTTCGGGGTCGGACAGAGTCTTAGGAGCGGAAGCAGGATCCGTCTCTGCCTCATTCTCATTGTTCTCCTCTATGTCAACTGTTCTCATCTTTTTAGAGCTTAATCTTTTGTTGGATTGAACAGTGTCCGTTGCCATTGACTGCTCCGCCTCCGACTGGCTATCCCTGCTCCTGATCGTCACCGAACGCTGAGACCCGAAACTAGAAAATTGGGAGCCATCACTGTTGTTAATGGAGGCATTGGAACTGTTAATGGACACGGAGCTACTCCTGGGCAGACGATGGTTGAGCGAGCCAATGTAACGCCACTTCTGGCTGCCTGTCAGTGCCTTCTCCGCCTTGGACAGAGGCTCAAAGTCCAACACAAATTTCACCGTCGTCGAGTTTTTGTTTAGATACTGTGCAGTCGCCTGCCTGTGTTTGGGATTGCAGGCGAGCGGATTCCCCTGCAGGTTCAGTATAGTCAGGTTTACCAGGGCACTTAAAGGCAAAAGTTGAGAGTGCTCCAACAGGCAGTTATCGGACAAATCTAAGCTGCTTAAAGCGTCAAGCTTTGCAACGTCCAACAGCTCCTCCACGTAGTTGTTGCTGATGTTGAGCAGTTGCAGCCGCTTGCAGGCTTCCATGTGGAAGTGCGGAAGGTGCGTAAGGCAGTTGTAGCTTAGGTCCAGAGATTTTAAGTGGGGCAGCCATTTAATAGCGGCCACGCTGGTTAGCTTATTGTGTCGCAGGTTGAGGTGCTGCAGGTGCTGGGCAAACTCCAAGGCGGAGTCTACGCTGCGCAGGCTATTGTAGCTAAAGTCAGCTGATTGTAGTTCATTCCACACAAAACCGTTGGAGTTGTCGCCGCCGCAACGTGTTATTATGTCGTCCACGCTGGTCAAGCTTTTTACGCAGATCAGGTGCTGCAGTTGACTGCGCAGCGGTTGGATACCGACCACCTGGCCGATGTTGATTTTGTTTACCTCTAGCCGACGCAATGCCCGAAACTTGGAGATGTCGATGGCTCCCTCGAAGTAGTGTTCGCTAGGAAAGTAGGTCAGCTTGAGAAGCGTCGTCTTCTGCACAAAATCGTGCACCAGCTGCAGGTCAGGGAAGACGCTGGACTTTGCGTTGATAGGTTTGACCACTTGGAAGGACTGGTGATGCAAATGGGAGCTCACGCCAGACCCGATCTCAATGTCCGCTATCAGTGTGAAGGAGTCGTTTAGTGCTCGAAGAAGGGAACCTGTGTAATAAATGCAGAGCTAAGAGATCGGAACCAGAATGGGACCCAGCATAACCATGACCGGCATCAGGCGACAGGTGCATGTTCTGCCTTTTGCGCGCTACATTTGCTTGGGCTCGTTTACGTCTACTTGTAGCTGTCTCACCTGATAACGTTAAGGTAAATTCTGAGCTTAATATTTTGTCACCGTTCTGGCGGAGCAGGTTGGCCAGCTCGGTGATCTTCTGGGGATCCATGGCGGCTAATCCCTTTGTTTCTGCCTTATTTTTATCCCATGCGATTGTTTAAGAATCGATGTTCCTGCAAATATTGAACTATTATCAGGGCTTACGATTTCAATATGAGGGGGCAGATCAGCAAAATGCGTTAGGCACAAGTCTTTATTTTCGCAACTAATATACATATGTATGTACATTTGTATATGCAGCGCATCGAAAACAACAAAGAGATTTTGTATGACTACTACCCTGTGAAAATATCTGCGATTACGTCCGGTTGATACTTACGTTGCGGTTTGGTCTGATTTAGTCATATATTCTACAGCTCACAAGCATTATGTATCATCTCTAAATTTGTTAGGTCAATTATGGCGTAGAAATCTTCCACCCTCAAAATGGGAAATATACTTTTGTTATGCCTCTTCTTCTTTATAATTACACATTAACGGGAAACGGCAAGCACAGTAGAAGTGGACAAGAATCGATTGCATATACATCGATTGTATATTTCGCCTATCGAATTATTATATGATATTCGGAAAATAGGCCGATCTCACCGCTGCGTTACATGTTTCAAAATGATTAAATGCCTTAACTAAATTCAATATATTATTCTTTAATCCGATTTCTAATGCTTATTTAAGGTTTTTGTGGTATACATGCGTGGTAAATTTGCGTGAAGTTTTGATGTACATTTTAAAATTTGACAAGATTATTGCGATTGTTAATTTTTTGTTTTTCTTTTAAAACAATTTAAAAAATTCTCCTAAAAAACTCTATCTAATAATGTAAGTGTCATGCTTTAACTTTATTCTCACGTTATGCCCACAAAACGCACAAATTTGTCGCCCGCAATTTGCATGTAACAATAACTGGGATGATTTATTTGAATTCTTCTCATGAACACGAAGCGAATCTATTTCCTCTCTGTATCTGGTACTTAAAACTTACCCAATGCAGGCACCTAAGACAATGCACCCACTTAAGCCTATGCCCCCACCAAAGCATTTGCAGACACCTAAGCCAATGCATTTACCTGGCGCCATATCTAAGAAACAGGTCAGGGCTCCCCTTACAGTCGTTCTATAATTATACCCCTGCAGAGCAAACGACTCTTGAATAACGAATTAAATTTTATCAAAATCGTTAGAAAACTCTGTATTCCAAAAATTATGTTTGTTTGATAAAAAACAACGATGTTACAATTTTAAAGTTATACAAAGTTTAAATTGAAATCTGCTCGCAGCATAGGAGACACATAAGACCCTATTCATCATTATCGTATCGATTATAAAATCTAAAATATAGTCATTCGACGAAAAGCGAATTTAAAGTCATAAATATGTAGGCAATGGAGTTCTTTAAAATTTGTCACGCCCACCTTCTTCTGGGGCAATAAGTCCTACTGTATGTCGTGGCGTTCTTAATGTTTTTTATTTAATCCTCCAGTTGTCTAACGACCATTTGATATGATTGCTTACAAAGTGGCCTGAGAGTCTGCTTCCAAAAGTCTCCTCTGCAGAGTACCCATATAGAGTGATAGATAGTAAATCATACTTAAATTAAAGAAAATGCTGTATTTACAACTGCGAATAAGAAAATATTGGTGTTTGGGTTCATAACCCTTTCCTTAACCCTTAATGCAGTTGGTATGAATCAGTTTAAAATGAAACTGATTTTTTTAACTTGCTTTCAACATTTTTGCGTTTTTTTTTAAATTTTTTTTTGAGTAATTGTTTGTTTTTGCAAGTAAAAAACATTTAGTATTGTATTAATCAAATACGTTTAAAAATTAAAATGTCTTAAATAATATTTTATTGGTTATCAAAGTCGTCTGATTTAGTTTTATTTTTGACGGATTTTCGCTGAAAGCTGAATACAAAACAAAATGGAAAGCCAAAGTACAGCTTTGTCAGTTAAGGCAAAGCCTTTTCAGGATTCCCCGTAACGCCTCGTAGAACAAACCTTTTGCGGTGGGTAGATTGCATCCCTTAATTCTCATTTGATACACCAATTCCCCTCATTTTAGTAATTTTAATAATTAAAAATTAAATGTTCATAAACAATAAAAATTACAATTTTTAGTTGATTTTTTTTTGTATTTAACGAAGTAAAAAATGTAAAACCATTTTTTTTGATGGTTTTAGAGGTTCAAGCACTTGTCTATCTAATTATCAACAAAATAAATTCTTTCCGAATTCGATGTGTTTCATAGTCTTCTCGTAACCCTACCCACCGACTTGATAATATGTGTTTTTAGACAACGCGCTTTAAAGACTCAAGAGACTGTATTTTCTGAAATAATGTAACATATTTCTGTCGATTAAAGGTTAATTGATTTTTTGAAACTTCCCGATAGTTCCCGAAAGTTGATTGAAGTTTTAAGGTTCTTCAAGCTTCTACTCAGCTTTTATTTATGCAACAATCATTTGGTAGTTATTAAATTTTATTATCTACGCAGTATGTTTAAAATTAGACTAGAATTTTCTCCACTTGCTGCTTCGAATACCGCTAATACTCGTGGCCACACAAATTACAATATAGTTGTTAGGTACTTGCGTTTGTTTCTTGGCTAGTAAGGGTTAAAAAAAACTACACTTTAAAATTAAAGCAGACTTTGATTTGGTTGTTAGTTGTTCTCCGTGGTTTTGTGGATATGCGTGGATTTGATTTTAAAAGAATAAGCTAACTATTGCAACAACCTGTACACAAATCTCGTAGTCAGCTGGTTAGGTAAGATTCATTGAGTTGGATTTGTTGTGCTGAAAAAATACATTTAATTTCTGTGGTGCATAAAAAATGTTAAAAACGTTCTCGACTTCCTTAGAGATTTACAAATTTTGCCTGTGAAATAGAAAACATGATAATTTTATAAAAAAGGTAACAGCAGCATATCCATGGTAATTAACATAACGTTTGTTATAAAAAAATCAAACGTGCTTGGTTAACTGAAAATTGCATAAAATTTTAAAACTTTGGAGTTTCTTTACGTACTTTTTTTTTGCCGATTTGAGTATGCCAATTCTTTTAATATAATGAATAAGAGACACGATATGTGGTATGTAGAAAAACTTCATATGTATTTTTTATATTTATTTTAACAATTCCAATTAGGTTCAACATTTATGACACTTGGTTTGGTTCTTCGTTTGATCTAACACTTAAACACTTTACATATTGAAAAACACTTGCGAACAAAAAAGGATATTTAAATGCAGTTGGCTTGGAACTGACATTATGCACTTATATGGTTCTTTCTATAAATGCCGGTTTATATGCGTTTGTGAGGATGACTTGTGTTGATTTGATCTATGCGGGTAGGTATAGTATTTACAATATACATTTGACTGATCTTGTTAAGGTGTAACACAGTTTAAAGTTTTGGCGACGGCATGATGGACGTATCCCTATGAAAAATAATATAAAAAAGAGAATAAACTAATTTTTAATGAAAGAAAACAACGGCGTTAAGTATTAGCAATGACTACGGGATGAAACAAAATAAATGTAGGAATAATAATTTGAACATAAATGAGGCTGAGATGAATCGGGATTATGAATGAATTAAGAGAAAGACAGCATTTTTAATTTGGGAAAATTTTGAATTTCGTTTGAGTTTTATTGTTTAGCTAAAGTTAAAGAAAAACTTAGTTTAGGTATTAATTAAGTTAATGTTGGGAAGCAATAAAATAATAACAGGAACAGAAGGTGCATCAACATAGTTTAGGACAAACTTAAATTAAAGCAACTAAAAAATACAATAGTAAATCAAAAGATTGAGGAGGTTTGGTGAGCCGGTTTCGGGGATTTATCAGGAAGGCAAGATAAAAGGATAGCGGGGTGCACAGGCGCAAACAAGACATACGAACGCAAACAAAACACTTACATATGCTCAGGGTGATTGCGTATGCAATCAATTAAATCATTAGGTTTAAGCTGTTGTGTGCATATTTTGTGGATAGCGGTGAACAGGGGGAATCTGTAAACGATAAAATTCTTTTTTAATTTACGAAAACCATTGGGTTCAAAAATAATTCGTACTTGTCCTCTAAACCCTTGTTCTTAAGCATGTAGTTCACCTCCTCGGCAGTAGGTGGGCCTTGCAGCTTCTGACCGTTTAGCATTTCCTTTTCCAGTTCCTCAATACTTTTACCGGACGTCACAAATGCTTCTGATACTCGGCGATTTCGGCCACCTTTGAGAGAAACAGATTTATAAAACTACTAGCTAATAATTAAAGTTTACTAAAACTACGTTTTTTTCGATTTATTATTATAGAGTCTTGCTCATCGATTTTTTAATATGATTATTAATATTAAATGGACTAAACATTTTTTCGCCATATAGATCTTTCAATGTGTCTTTCAATTTCTCCTAATAAATTTAAAGTAGGAGGAGCAGCTATATTTGCTGATCTTAATAAAAATCATCATAAAGTTATAGCAGGTAAAAAATTTAATAAACCCTTATTAATTAATAAACTTCGACTTCCTATACGCTCATAAGACACATTACAAGTTTGGGAAACACTGCGTTAAACAATTACCTTCATCAATTGCTATGGGGGGTTTAAATGCTTAGTGGTGAGGTTTATTTAAAACAAGTAATATTGGACAAAAATAGCGTCCCCAAACTTAGTTAGTTTTTCTTTCCATGGTTCACTAAGGTTTGGAATATCTCAGTTTTGACCTGATGATTTCCATGTCTAGCTCTAATACTTACCGTAACATGTCGTAATCAAATCTGCTACGCCACAGCTCTCGAAGAAGGTTGATAGCTTGCTTCCGGTGTAGAAGACGTCAACAAAGCGAATCATTTCCATGAGACCCAGCCGGATTACTGCTGCTTTGGTGTTGTCGCCCAGCTTAAGACCATCGACAAAGCCCGCGCCGCAGGCCACGATGTTCTTAAGGGCGCCGCAGACCTCAACGGCGTCCGCGTCGTCCACAACCACCACACGGAAGTGGTTTGCTTGGAAGAGATCCCTCAGAACCTTGCCATACTTTTTGTCCGTGCAGCCGATGGTTGTTTCGCAGAAGTTTCCCTCGGCCACTTCGTTCGCCAAGTTGGCGCCCATCAACACGGCGCATGGGATCTACGGCGAAGAAGTAAAAATTGGATAAGGTTTTCGAATGGGGTCACCTCTGCCACTCATACATACCTTCAGGTGACGCGTGATGATGTGGGAAATCAAATCAATGCCACCGCCCTCAGCCTTGTCAAAGCCCTTGATCAGGGAGATGGCGATAGCGTTCGGTTTAATCTTGCCCAGGAGCTGTTTGCAGAAGTTGGGGATAAACTGGTGAGGAACCACGAAGATCAGGATGTCGGCGTTCTTTGCGGCTTCAACCAGGTCGGGCACGGCGACCTGCGAAGTGGGGAAAATGAGTAAACTTTTCTAATTACTGTGATAAGAATAGCACAAAACAAAAAATAAAACTCTGATAAGCGAGCTGAAGGTTGAATGAAGGAAACTGCAGACAGTTTAAGAAAATCATTTTCCAGGCACGTGATCCACTTCAACTTTTGGAGGCTCGCTTCGCAGCTGTCTAGACTATTAAAATCGCGAGCTCGATCGGCTGAGCTAGATAAGTTGCTTTGTACATATTTGTTATAGTCTCTTCTTTTTTGTTAGCTTCTCAACCGGTTTGTTGCCTTAGAAATTAGATAATTTTACCCATGAGTTAATTTTTTTGTTTTGAGTTGCCAAATGGTTTTAAGTTTAACAATGTTAGGGTTAAAAAAATGTTGACATGCTTTTCTAATTTACAGCTCTGCCAAAAAACAAATTTTGTTATAGATGTTAAAAGTAGGAAATTTTATTCCAGTGCAAATCAAGACAAGAGTATAGAAACATTTAACAATTTTGAAATTATTATTTTTCAAGCTCATTGTCTTGCTGGCTCATTTTTGATGCGTTTGCCTACTTTATGCATATCTGACATTGGTCTTGCTTATAGAGTTTTAGACTTATTAATTTTTTTGGTTTTCTGTTGTTATAATTCTTCCCCTCCATCAGCCACCATAAGGCTTCTGAACGTTTGCCAAATTGGCAGCCTATATGTACTACATATTTGTATGTGTAGACTATAGTGACAAACAAACAACAACTCATAGAAATGTCTCGCCCAAATTTTGTTTGGCTTTTTGTTTTTTTTTTTACGTTTATCAATTCATGCCGCCAACGCATGGTTCTAATACACAATTATGAAGGTGTATGCATAGGTTTTTTCCTAAGCAAAGTGGTAATCATTTGCGCCTAACAGGTTGTTTACAGGGCAAGCAGAGAACTTGTAGGTGATGGGCTAGTGACCCTCCAGCTGGGGCTGCTATGTGAATGGACTTTATCACCCGAACCATACGAGCTTATCTATAATCGCATACAGAACAGTTCAAGTGTTTTGTGGAGCACGTACATGTGTATTAACGCTGCTGAATTTAGAGTGGATCGCCTGCTTATCGCCTGCCCAATTATTGGCTAATAGAATATTGACGCAACTGGGAGCCCTGCGAAGGGGTGGCCATCGGCCTTGACCTACGTCAAAGGCATTGGGCTCTCTGGTGCGAGAGCGCCAAAAAGAGCGGCGAAGGTGATGCCAACCGTTGTTGTTGTTGCCGCTGGCCCTGAAAACTGCAGCAAGAGCGCAGTTGGCAAGTGCGAGAGGGAGTGAGAGCGGGGTGTAAAAATAGACGGGCATTCGGATTAGACTGATTAGATAATTTGGCGCTGCATGGTCAAGATCAAGGCATGCAGCCTTTTATGTAAGCAGATGGTTGTTAACAATTCGCATGGCAGTTACATAAGTTCCAGTTACGAATTTCGGCCACAAACTGGCTATTACAGCTAGAAAAGCGGAAGAGGTAATGACAGTTTACTCACCACATTCGGGGGCAGCTTATGTCCCTTCAGGTACTTCACGTTTTCGTGGGTCTCGTTGATGATCTCGGTCAGCTTCTTGCCGTCAATCAGCTCCTCGTAGACGAACATGGTCACCCGCTCCTCGAATTCCGGCAGAGCAGCGGCGTTGGCTCCCACAATTTTCGCTATAGCCGAACCCCTGCGGGTGCAAGGTGAAGGTGATAGTGGGAGTGGAGATCATTATGTAAGTGAGTCGGCTGACGGCTAATTAAATGCACTTACCAGTTGCCGGAGCCCACAATGCACACATTTACTTTTTCCGCCATTCTGCTGTGTTTGCTTTTCTTTTTTTTACTCTGCGTTTAAGGTGCTACTTCACTTCGCTTTGGCGCAATTAATAAATTGTATTTGGAGCTGACACTGACACGTTGAATCCACGGCAACTAATGATTCTTGGTTTGCACTCCGCACATGCTAATATAAGCAAAACAAGCACTGCGCCAACAACAATGCGTGGCGATTGGGAGAGCGTAGAGCGGACCAGTGTGTATGTGTTCGTGCGAGAGATTCAGGAACTGGAAACCAGCTTACTATCTTTAGGGATGGTGTGCGCAGGCCATCTAGGAGTTCTCATGGCTTAAACAACCTTTGACTTTAAGCGAATGTCCAATCTTAATATTTTATTCCAGTTCGAGAAATTCGGAGCAATGCAGCCCTGGTTCGAGGCCAGTGCTGTAAAACAACTTCGCGCAGGCGAGCCATTCCGTTGTTTAGGGCTGCAAACACATGGAAGACCGCGAAATTTAAATAAAACACCCGCTACTAAATTGAGGCATTCCTTGTGAGAAAGTTTAATAATCTAAAAAGGAATAGCAAGAAATGTATTCCTTAGATGATTGAATAGCTGACTTGTTGCCTTTTGATCAGCTACTTTTCAGCTGTTTATACCTTTGGCTTTACAATTAAGACATCGTTTTTATATCTTTGCAGAGGGTACTATAATTTCAGTCAGAAGTTTGCAACGCAGTAAAGGAGACACCTCAGACCCCATAAAGTATATATGTACATATATTCTTTATCAGCATCATGATCTGAATCGAAATACGTCTGTCCATCTGTCCTCTTGTATGTTTCTACGCAAACTAGTCTCTCAGTTTTAAAGCTATCTTCTGAAACTTCCCCAAAAGTTGTGTAGTTAAGTAAGTAAGTATGGGATCACGCCGTTGTTTTTATCAGATCGACTTAATTTCTTCCATATGGAGTTTTCTAACTACTATTGCATTTCGAATTAAATTTGATCAAAATTGGATTCCTATATCAAATAGCTGCCATAGGAAAGATCGAAAAAAATATATATAAACCAGCAAACCCCGGCGAACTCCGTTTCGCCACCAGATGGCAACGTACCCTTCTAGTATTCACTGTACTACGACCTATGCTCCAATAACGTCGTCTTCCAAACATGACTTTATAATTTCTGTACAAAATTTACTCAGTTCTAGACTTATGTATAATTACCTACTGAGTTTGCAATGTACATATAAGCGAAAAAATCAAATTATAAAAACATTAAAGTCCGTTTAGGAGGAGTTCAATGACTAACACACATACAAAAGATTTTCCGTCACACAGGAACGCTGTCAAAATGTTACATAAAACGAAGCCATTACCAAAACCCCAAAAAACTTGACTTCACTTCAATACACCAAAATCACAAAAATTGAGTTAAAATGCTATGTTAGCGTGTGTTTGTCAGTGTGAAAAGGGTAGTAACTCACTTTATATGCGATTTTTGGTATGTCGAACAGGATTTAAGAGGATGAAAAATAGATGTTGGCCGATTCTCAGACCTGTATTGAGTAGGTCTCACAAAATTTCATGAGAATCGGTATAGCCGTTTCGGAGGAGTATGGTAACAAAAACTGTGACACGAAAATTTTCTATATATAGAGATAATGAAAATAAATGATAACGTCGTTGTTTATTATCAGACAATAAAGATTTTTGGAATCTAGAGTTTTTAACGACTCTTGAATTTGGAGTTAAATTTTATAAAAGTTGAACAACTATACAATAAGCTGTCAGGGGCGGGCGCAGGGGGGGTGTCCGGGGGGTCCGGACCCCCCCCCAAAATCTCAGACTTTTTCAAATTTCCTTATAGCACACGGCTTTTTAACCATAAAAACTAAAATTTTTGTGGTCGGATCCCCCCAAAGGAACAAATTTTTTGATCGGACCCCCCCCAAAATTTTTTCCTGCGTCCGCCCCTGTAAGCTGTCATATGGACAATAGTGGAAAATATGGAAGAAATAAAAGATTAATCGACAAGGCTTCGGTGTTGTTTAGCCTTTATGTATTCTGTTCGACATATTTGATTTTTCAAGGGTATATCAGCTTTGGCTTGCCGAAGCTAGCTTCTTTTCTTGTTATTCTTTAAAAAGGTATAATAAGTGTTAAAGGCATTTTTAACCATTATAAAGTATTTATCTATTTGATCAGCATCGTTCTTCTAGGATTTAGAATCAAAAGTTTTATTTCCCGATTAAGAAAAAATTCTTGTAGTTAACATTGTTAAATATCGGATCAACTGATTTTTAAAGGCTGGGATGCTTTAAGGTAGGTGTGCAAACTGTGACAAACGCCATTCGCTGCGTATTTATCACTAGATTCCAAATCATGCAACCAAAATCGTGTACCATAACAACTATGAAGGTGTGGCGATTTTTGAATAACGCCCTTTGCTGCGTGTTCTTAGAATTCAAATATAATATTCAAATGGTTATTAGATGAAATTGGATGGGTTAGCAAAGTGTAGAAAACTTGAATAACATAAAACCAAAATTTTAAATCACAATTCCAGATCTTTTAGTAGCCAAGACTTCGACTGATGATCCTGATTAGGAGTATACCATATTTACTTCTCACGAATATGGTAAAACCTTTAGAGAACTCTGTTGTTACTCAAGGCAAGCTTTTTAACAAGTTTTCCCGCAGACTTCAACATTAGTCTTCTAACCATTTTCTTTCCACCCAGATGTTCAACCAAACTGTCAACTTTTTGACGTGAGATGCAGGATATGCTAAGCGTGTCTTAAAGGAAGAAAACCTTCCAGTCTTATAAAGTACTACAAAGTTATCATTTACTACATTTTATTTTAGACTAGTTCTTTCCATTTCTTAGCAATCAATGCGTATCTAATAACTCTTTAATTTTTCAGAATTTCGAATGTATGTAAATGTAATTATTAGTAGGTTTTTTGACCGAGACGGTTATTTATATTATAAAATATTTTAAGGCTGTTTCTCACCTTGTGGGAAAAAAAACGATTTTTTTTGTTTTGGCTTTTCCCATAGATATATGTTTTAAAAATGTGATTAAAAAATTTCACATCAAAATTTAAAAAAATTACAAAAGGTTCAGGCCTTTACATGGTGCACATTTTGAGCACCGGTCATCTGAAGCCAAACTTTAAACGCGTTTTTCCTCAAAACCACGTTTTTGGACCTTAAATGTTCCTAATTGTTTCGTTTAACAAATGAGCTAGGATTATCCAAAAATATTGAAAACTGTTAATTTGAGAAAATAATTGGTGGAAAAAACGCGAAAATCGTAATTTTTTTCAAAAGCTAATAACTTTTTCAATTTTAATTTATTTTCTGATCCTAGTTCATTTTATGCACAGTACTGTACACTTTAAGAATCTTTTCGGTTTTTGTCTCACAAGGTGAGAAACTGCCTTAAATGTTCTTCATCTTAGCTTTTTGTGCGAAGCTTGTCAAGTATAATTGGATTGGGTAAGACGTTTTTTAGGTAAAACCCATGGTAAATCGAAATAAAAATTAAATTTTATTAATTCATTTTTTTCACGTTGCTGTCTGCCTATAAGAGTATCTTAAAGTTGGAGAACTTGGGAAAAGCGTTCTATATTGTACTGTGTAATTATTTTGCCTCTCTTAATTGTTAGATAATTAAATAAGCACACGCCTTAAAGTAAGCTGTGGAGAAGCTATAGCTGGATTGTCCACCTAAGCAGAACCATGTCCGGACTCAAGATAATACATTGCCTGCCAATTTTTATTATTTTCAATGGTCAGTAGCATTTTCAAATTTTTAACAAAATAACAGCTTATTTTTCCACTTAGCCTTTTGGTTTGCCGACTTAAAAACAGTATCCGAAACAGTTCACGATCGGCTGTGGCATGCTCTTTCTAGTGTAGGAATTATTGTTCAGTCCGGTGGAATGAGCATGGAAAAGATTGGAGAATCGTTGGCAAGTCTGCAACACGTACCAAAGGCTAAGCTACAGACTATCAAAACTTTGATGGGCCAATACGAGAAGGAAAACGGCGCTCCTGCCCAAAACAAAACGTGTAATGGCCTTATAATGTGTCGAGTTAAGGGTATTATTGGCTTTTCCAAAACAGTCCGAGTCTCAGTTCTTAAAAAAAAATTTAAATGATCAGAATTAAAAAAAAAACATTGTTGTATTAAATATTGAAAATGCTAAAGTTACCCAGTAGCAATCAATATATATGTTTTATAAAAATATATTCATTAGATACCACATCTTCACAGTGAAAAATATACAAAAACTTGACAAACAGCAAAGAATGCTAGCTTCGGCAGGCAGTGACGTTTTGATTTTTTCTGAAAAGGTATAAGAAAAGTCCTACGATCCCGGTCGTTGGTTCCGGACTACCCGGACCACCCCCCTGCGTCCGCAGACCTCAACATATAAAAAAATGCTTCACTGCATTATTAACGGTAAAACAACGTTGTTAGTCCTCTAACAATTTTCTTTCTACTCAGATGTTCGACCAAACTGTCCACTTTTTGAGGTGAGCTGCAGGATGCTAAGCGTGCCTTAAAGCCTGGAAACTTCCCAGTCTAATAAAGCACTACAAAGTTATTCAACATTTAATTTTACACTAATGCATATCTAATAACCCTTTAATTTTCAAGAATTTTACAGGTAAATGTAATTATTAGTAGGTTTTATGACCAAGACGGTTATTTATAATATAAAATATTTTTAATGTTCTTCATCTTGAGCTTGTTTTTTGTGCGCTGCTTGTCAAGTATAATTGGATTGAGTAAGACAACGTTTTTTAGGTAAAACCCATGGTAAATCAAAATAAATCTTAAATTCTATTAATTCACATAGTTTTTTTTCTACATATGTACGGGTATTTAGATTTGTTTTACAAGTTACGTTGCTGTTTTCACCTTGCTGTCTGCCTATTAGAGTATCTTAAAGTTGGAGAACTTGAGAAAAGCGTTCTATATTGTACTGTATAATTATTTTGCGTCTCTTAATTGTTAGATAATTATATAAGCACACGCCTTAAAGTAAGCGGTGGAATAGCTATATCCGATCCGGATCCGAAACAGTTCACGATCGGATGTGGCATGCTCTTGGTAGTGTAGGAATAATGGTTCAGGGCGGTGGAATGAGCATGGAAAAGATTGGAGAATCGTTGGCGAGTCTGCAACACGTACCAAAGGCTAAGCTACAGACTATCAAAAATTTGATGGGTCAATACGAGAAGGGTCAATAAGACGGTGCCCAAAACAACACGTGTATGAATGGCTTTATAATGTGTCAAATAAGGGTATTTTTGGCTTTTCCAAAACAGTCCAAGCCTCGGTTCATAAAAAAAAATTAAGCGCCATAGACTATGTGCGTTACACAATCCATTGCATTTTTCCATACATCAATTCAATATATTTCAATATATATTGAAAAGCATGTATCAGGTAAAAGGAGTGACCTGCAACTCCATTGACTAAATATGATCTTGATGAGGATCATCGGAGTTCAAACGCAGCGCAAGATTATTAAACAATTTGTTGATATTTCTTGAAGCTTGGAAAAATACCATTAAGTTGAAGTATTATCTAACGTTTACTGCAGTCGGTAAAATCGAAAATTTGTTCAGGGAGTTTAAACTGTGCTTTCGGTCACTTTGACCAGTAGACTTTTTGTGTTTAGATGTCCTGCAGGACATCTCCGGACGCCCGCCCAGCGGGAAAAAACCTGTGGAAAATATGCTATTTTCCAGTGGTTTCTTCATACAAGCGGAATGTGGAAAATCCCCTTTACCCCTTACAAATCTGCCGTCTCTCCTTTCAAAATACACGGGGGTGACACACAAAAGTAAGGGGTAAAGGGAAAAATCCAGTGGACCCAAAGCTGCTCAATGCAGGACAAAATCCACTGGACCTACAGCTGCTAAATGCAGGACAAAATCCAGTGGACCTACAGCTGCTGAATGCAGGGCAAAATCCACTGGACCTACAGCTGCTAAATGCAGGACAAAATCCAGTGGATCTCTAACTGCTGAATGCAGGGCAAAATCCACTGGTTTTTGGCCTTCCCGCTTTACAGAATTTCCACAATAAAAAATAATACTTTTTAATTTGGTATATGCATTTATTAATCTATTTACAGTCCAAGGGCCTTTATCATAAGTATTGTTGTATGTTATTATTTGCCTTAGTGAACGGTGAACACAGATCATCTTGATATTGGGGAAGACTGTAATTGTCGTTTCTGAGTGACTCTGAAAATAAAAACCATAATACATTAATATATTACATATTAACACAAATAATAAAAATATAAAAAGTAATGGGAAAATTATAGAAATTTAGAAAAGTAAGTAATAAACATAGTAAAAAGCATGGGAACACAGGGCTGTTGAAACTTATTAAAAATTTAGCGAGTACTTACAAATGCTTCTGGATTGGCTTCGGCATCGGAGTCCAAATGGCCGAGTTCTTCAAATGACGAAATCGGAATGTCCGCTTGCGCACGTTCAGTTTTGCCGTTAATATTAACACAAGGGCCAGAATCTTTGAAGTCGAATCTATTACAAATTCTAAAAAAAACATTGTTTGATCTTGTAAAATTGAAAAATAAATTTAAATAAAAAACTTACTTACTTGACAACCGCCTCTGGTGGCTTATATATAGTTTTAGTAAAAATGCCTATGCTCACCATATCCGTTACGCTGAAATAAGGAAATACAAACAAAAATATTTATGTTATAACTTACCTTTATCTTGTTTTTTAAGATTAACACAACTTTTTTCACTTTTTACACTTTTTGCACGAAATTTTATACTGATGTGACCGTGTATCATAACAACATTCCGAAGAAAGACAATAATTAGTCACAACTTCGTTGTAACTTATGGTCATATTCAGAAACCCACCCCATTTAGCGGTCCGAAATTATTTACCCCTTCCCAACGCCTGCCAAAAGAAGTAGATTTTCAACTATCCCTACCCCTACGCCTGCTAAAAGAAGGAGGTTTTCCACTCAAATAAAAAACCTACTTCTCACTTTCCCGCTGGGCGCGCTTGATTACGTATACATACACACGAGTACATACATGCAGCCGAGCCGTCTGCATGGCGTTGACCCGTGCAGCGATGTTACGGGCTAATACCTCCATGTGAGCAGGACCACGTGCGCTCCTCTCTCTCTCTCTTGGCCTTTCTAACGGTGTTTGGGGGTGGCTGGGTGGTCTTTCGAGTGGTTTGGCGAGGCCGTGCTCGGGGTTGCTCTAATTCCACGGCCGCATCCGAGACTGTTCCTGGTTGTTGCTGCTGTGCACCCGTAAAATTGATTGCGGCGAAAGCTGGAAAGCTGCACGTTATGCTCGTGGCCTGACTTGCTATCTCTGGTCTGGTCTGTTTCCGTCGGATGCCAGGATGCTAGGAAGCACAGGAGCTGGCGTTCTCCACTGTGTGCCTGCGTGGGAGGTGCAGTGGCACTGGGAGGGAGATGCGAGGGCTTCGCTGGTTTTCTAGACAACAATGTGATTTTTTGTCGATTCCCTCGCTGCCCTTCGTTCCTTTTCTCATTTACTGCATTTTTTTTTAAAAGCTATCCCATGGATCAATTAATGTATTTTGAAACCACAATAAGCTAGACTTTTACAAGGCAGTTTCAGCGACCTATCAAACCTTGCATTTCAATGTGAGCAATACCTTCTTCTAAAATATTTTATATTTCATTTAGTTCTCTTAGAACATTTTCCCTTTTTTTGATTTAAGGGTTTTAAAAAAAATTTAAGTTATATTTTAAGAATATAGGGCAAGTAATAAAAAATTGTTTTATATTTCCCTTGTATATGAATGAATTGAGTGTAATGTCACAAAATTTTTGAGTTCTCAAAATTTAATAGTAAATGCAACAATTATTTTTGTTTCTATGTTTGAATGTACTGTACTCCACCAATTGTGCTCGAAACCTTGTTTAACGCGTTTAATCACTGACTCTTTTGGCTCATCTTTTGCTGCCTTCACAGATTACAAGCTTATAAGTGGTATTTTCCCCAAACTCTCTGCATATGTGAATCGCTATTGTAGTCCTAGCCTCACTAGGCGTATGCAGAAACTCAAAATTAGCAGGCGGCTATCAATCCTGTACTTTGCTACGCCGGCCCACGCTCCAAATTGGATGGACAAGTGCCACAATTCACATCATCAAGATTGCGTGGATCTCGTACTCACATACTCGAGCATATCCCATAACCCATAACACTCATCGCATTTCCCATATGCAGCCCACCTTTTTGGCCACTGCTAATTCGCATGTCATGCTGACGATGTCGGCGGCGGTGGAGGCCTGGGAGCGGGGAATTAACCCTTTTGCTGAGCCCCTCTGTGCCTGTCTGTGTGCTCAGCAATGTGTCTATAAAAAACAATGATGGACATTGGGATCTTGGGCATAGAATAATAGTACATCAAAAATTTTACAGCAACGAAATAAAATCATTTACGCAACAAAAAGACCCAAAAATAAATGGCAAGAAAGGAGTAAAGAAAACGAAATATGCTGCCTAGTATGAAGTGACACTGGAATGCTCTTTAGAGATTCTTCTAATCAAAATCCGGAAAGTAACTCGTCAAATCCGTCTAGTTAAATTTTGTTGGGTAAATTCAAAAAACAAATCGAAACTAGTTTTGAAATGTAAATACTAAAAAAAATAAAAAAGCCTTATCTGTATTCCATTATACTTTTTTTGCGAATAACACAAACTAGACCCTCTTCGTATTGCATGTTAGGGTATATCAAGACTATAGGAGGACAACGATAAGCGGATGTAGCACGCTTATCCTTTTACACACTCCCACTCTCGCAGAAGGACAGCTGGGCATTGGGTTTTATTTTTGCCTTATTATTTTTACTTTATTTAAACCACACAAAATACTTAAGACGATTTTGTGTTTTGTGGCCCAAGACGTATTGCCCATGGCCAGCACCAAAAAGAAAAGTGTGCAAAGAACTGGGAGCGAGTGCTAAAAGTTTTCACCAAAGAGGTGGGCGGAACTGGAGGCTAAGACGAACTGAAAGGGTAATGTGCAACATGTCCAAGCGGTTTGTGCGGCTGTCCCTCCTCAGTTTGAAGCTCCAGGCGTTTGCATATGCAAAATAAGACTTACTCTATACCTTTTGCGAAAGACATTTGTCTCAGACAATTGAATCGGGCTCTTTGATGACAGGAGATGCTCACAAACTGGACATCAATAATAGACACATGTCGCACAATTCTTTTGTAAAGACGCTTCCATTTCGACTCGGCTCCGCTGGCAGAATTTATGACAGCTCCACTCCACTTCAGTACACTCACGTGAACCCATCCTTGGACAATGCTTAAGCATTGTGGAATATGCGACAGCATACAAATTGAGGATTTTTATTTTCATTACGGTTTTTATGATTTACATTTTTATTTGCCGCTCGCTTTGTTCTGTAAACTGTTTTTGGCACTTTTTTTTGATGTTATTTGCTTATCATCTTTTTTGAGCCCCCTTTTTTACTCGCTTTTCTGCTCTGCAAATAGTGTGGAAGCACTTAATTGCTTTAATTGTTAACGTTTTTTCTTTTTTGTTTGGTATTACTTCCATTAAAAGAATTTACTTTGGCTTACAAGGATTTTGTTTTGACGCTCCTATTTGTTTAGTTTCAGTAAGCTTGGCATGTTATTTCCTTGCATTTGGTGTAGTTTCGGGGCTTTTAAACGGCCTTTTAGTTTACTTTGTAGTTTTTTAGCTTAAAGATATAATAATATATAATTATCCCAATCCCAAATATCTTGACCTCCATCTGGACAGAAGGCCTGAAACGCATAAGAGGTTCGTGAACTTAGAAGATGTCAAATTATTGGATAATCATAAGATCCTAAAAGATGACACTTTTTTTTAACATTTATTTCGCTGCATATTCATTATTCTATCTGCTTATTTTTTATGGTTTTTCAGATATCGATATTCAAATGAACAGAAATGATGGTGATTGTAGATTTGCAAGTTTGCGTGGCACAAATTTAGTAGAACTTAACAAACTACTACTACTACAAATAACTTTATCCTACTTGTTTAATTTTATTTTCTTCCTGTAAGAAAGGTCTCGACGAACATGTGAAAGGTTAGACTTATATAGCTAGATCGATGTGCTTTAGGTTTCTTTCTGCCTGGTTCATACTTAATGACTAAGTTTTGGATGCAGGATATCCTTTTATCCTACGAGTTATTAGCACAAGACAGAAAGCTGGCTTCCCTTGAAACTAGGTTTATTACACATACGTGCAATTTCGACTCAAAAAGGTATGTTAAAAACAGAATTTAAGTCGATTTTCTTATTCATGTTCAAATATTTCGCATACCCCTGCAAAGGGTAATTAATAATTTCATTTTGCCATAGAAAGTATCATATTATCGAATCTATGTAAAACAGGATAGAACAAGAAAGGAAGCTAGCTTCGGCAAGCCGAAGCTTATATACCCTTGCAGTCATCAAATATTTCGAACAGAATACACAAAGGCTCAACAACATCGAAGCAACGACGACTTTTCTATTAATTTTCATTGTTCATATGGCAGCTTTATGATATAGTCGTCCGATTTTGATGAAATTTTATTTGTTATTCAAGAGTCGTTAGATGATAAGAAAAAACGATGTTATCATTTTATTTCCGTTAATTCTATATAGATTTTTCGATCTTTCCTATGGCAGCTATATGATATAACATAGTTGTCCGATTTTTATGAAATGAAAATATGAACCAAGGCTAGTTAAAAAACTTGATACTCAAAAAATCATAGTCGTGTGATGAAAAACAATGACGTTATCAATTAATTTCCATTAATTCTATATATATTTTTTGATCTCTCCTATGTCAGCTATATGATAGAGTTATCCGATTTCGATAAAATGTAACCCGAAATTCAATAGTAACTAGAAAACGCCATGTGGAAGAAATCAAGTCGATCTGATCAAAAACAATGGAGTTATCCTATATAGTCGCCCGATCCGTCCCGTTCCGACTTATATACTGCGTGCAATAACTACACACCTTTTGGGAAAGTTTCAGCAAGATAGCTTTAAAACTGAGAGACTAGTTTGGGCAGAAACGGACAGGAGGACAGACGGACAGACGTACAGACGTATTTCGATTCAGATGGTGATGCTGATCAAGAATATATATACTTTATGGGGTCTAAGGTGTCTCCTTCACTGCGTTGCAAACTTCTGGCCAAAATTATAATACTCTTTGCTCTGCAAGGGTATAAAAATAGCTTCGGCGAGCCATACGTTATAAGGGTATATATCATCACAATTGTTTAGCATAATGTTCCATTAATTTAATAAAAAGATTTTTCGATCTATATGGTATAATTAACTATATTGGCTGCGGCTTGCGAAACTCTTCCAAGTATTGGAATGAGGTTAGAAAAAAATCAAAAGTCCAAAAATGTATTGTTATATATTGTTATTACATTTAATCAGCTAAATTAGCATTATGTTTTCCAATATTTTTTTGTTGATTCTACCCCTTAAATCCGTAATACAAATTTTAATGTTGAAAAGGCCCTCTCTATAGACTTCTGTGTGTCAGTAACGGCATAAGCAATATACGAGAGATTTTTTAAGATTTCACAACGGTAGACATCCTGAAACTTGATAACCAGGGCTAACAGAGTTATGTTCTTAAAAACGTAAAAATATGTATGGATTTATGGACGAAAAAATAGAGAAATATGGACGAAACATGGACGAAAAAGTTGACAAATATGGAATAAAATGGATAAATATGGATAAATATAGGTAGTATAGACGAAAAAAGGGATAAATATAGGTAAAAAAATGGATAAACGTAGACGATTATATCGATCATATTAACTTTTTATGACAATGGACAATTAGAAATCGCTACAAACAAACGTGCGCCGTTTGTCTCAAAGATCATTGCGGAACAATATGACATGTTGTGTCAGATTAGTAAAAACAAAACTACGGCGTTTGTCACTCAATATGTGTTTATATGATGAAAATGAACGCTCAATTAGTAAAGTATAAGGAAAACGACAGAAATTTCATAATATTTGAGGCAAAAAATTCTTTCTATAGGTTTTCAGACACTTTAATGCTCAAAATATGGATTTATTCAAGTGATTGTGCAAAATATGGATTTATAGGAAAAAAGGCGAAAATATGGAAATAAATATTTTTTCATTTAAAAACATAACTCTGTTAGCCCTGTTGATAACATATTATTTCATTTTGATGTCACCAAAGGGCTTAATGGTTCAAATGATTTCTTAGACCTTCTATGTTAGTATCAAATTTGCTTAATTGATGTTCATTTCCATTAAGAACAGAACTTGTGCTTTGAACAGAGGTGTTCATTTCGACTTATCATTAAAGACAAGCCTTTGTCTTTGATATATTTCACCTAAATGTGCTTTAGCTTAATTTTTTTGTCCTTTTGTTAAAATTTTTATCTAGGATCAAGAAAAACAGACAATTTTATATGAACTTCATTAAATATGTTTCATCGCTTTTCCAAACATTTTAAGGAAGCTAAACTATATTCAGATAACGATTTTGAGGTCTTAGAGCGTAGAGAAAGCCTGCAAGGGTATAAATATTCCAATGAGTTTCAGAACCCTGAATACAACAGACAGATTTTTATGAACTTCATTCTTAATTCCATCGTATCCCGTTAATATTTTGATTCCGATCTGGCCCGCTCTTTGTACACACTGAATGCATGAATTTTGACTGCAATATTTAAATCGACTAAGATGGTTATGCTGATCAAGAACATGCAAGGGTATAAAAATCTGCAATGATCTTTAATTTCTGACGCTTAATTTCATTAGTGATGAATCTGATTATTTTAATTTAATTAAGATCTTAAATTTATTAAACAAAAATTTCCTTAATTGATAGAATTCTTTACTACTTTATCTTAACCTAGTCAATATTTCGAAAACAAAAGAACCTAATATCCACCGATATCCATATTATCGTTTATTTTAAGGGCGTCATTACATACATTGATATCGATGTAAAAAGGTTTATTTATTAAGGTTTGAAGATTACCAATCTGGATCCCTAATTACCAACTTATAAAAAATGATCCATTACAATACCTGTAACTTTTATAGTTTTTTTTAGATTTCTCTGCAAACCTTCACAACCTTCGTTTCACCATTTTACAAACCTTATCTGTTCCTGGGTCCTTACTGTTTACAACCCTTACTCATTGAGCGAAATAATATTCTGGTATGATATTTGTTGAGATGAAATAGGGCGAAGGAAGCACTATATTCCTGATCAGGATCTGATCGACTTTGGTCTGTCCTTTTGTCCGTCCAAAACTAAGAGGTACCATATTGAGATTAAACGTTTACATTACAGCATTTTTGGTAAACATTTTTAATTTAAATAATGAATAGCAATAGCAATTAAATCTGACATATATGTTATTAGCCCCTTCACCGTTCGATGGAAATGAGGTAATTTCTAACAGAAAAATCCAAAGAATCTAAAACTTAAATGTTGTTTTTAACAACTTTGCCAGATATATTAATACATTAAAACGAAACTTACGTTGTTCGCTGGATTAAAAATTAAGCAATTATTTAATACATTACAGTTAAGAAACAACCTTAAATGAGCTATTTTCTTTGTCAAAAACAGGAAGAAAGCTGGCTTTGGCGAGACAAAGATTATATACCCTTACAGTCATCACAAATCTATAGTAACATTATTATGTCCTGTTGTTTTCTATTTTTAGGCATCAGCTATAAAGTGTAAGGTTCTTCTTAAGTTTTGCACATTATCCATTAATTATTTCATTTCTGTAGGAGCTATACGATAAATAAGTTTGCTTTTTATTCATGTCTATATCGTTTCCAATGTAAACAAACAGTATACGTTTCTTAAGTGCTCCGCTGAAAATTGCTTTATTTCCATTCCACGCTAAACGGTTTAATATGACAGTCTCAATTATGCATGTAATTATAATTATTACGATTAAAATAAATATATTATTCTTGCAATCTTAAGAAATTCAGTTCATAAACTGAAATAACATACAACCGCAAAGGAAAATTCGAGCACAAAAAATGCACAAGGTTACTTACCTTCATATGATGCACTGGGTGTCTTACAGGACCTTACTTTTCCAGTAAGTTAACTTTCAATTTGTTTTCTTTAAACCGCAATTCAAATAAAACGTCGTATTTATTTTTTTTTTTTAATTTCAGTTTATTTAAATTCGCAATATCCCCATGATAGTTATTGTTTTTGCTATATCTAGTTTTATGTTCTTACCGCTTTACGAATATCAATGTGAAAAATCAATTATAAAGCATAAGGCTTTCATAAACAAAGCTTTTGTCATCGCGTACCGCATATACATGTTCAGATATATTGATACATATGCGGATAGTTGTGCATTAGGTGAAACTAACTGAAACACCAAGCCGGAGGGCCATTCAACGAGCCAACAGTAACAGTAAGGCATAACATGCAACATAAATTTGGTCGTTTGACCTGCGGCAAAGTTGTTTTTTCATTTTCACGATTTCTAAACGCGTTATCCGGAATGTTACCCCATAGGAAAAAAAGGAAAACTAAGGAGAAGGTAGAAAGGTATAGCAAAAGGCTCGTAAATAAAGGGTGGTCGTATTACCTTCGATTTGAAATACCCTCTAGTATAGCCAAATCAAAACCGTAGCATTTTCCTAGTTAATAATTTAATTTTTAAGGCCTAACAAGTTTTTCGCTTTAACTCCATTGGTAAAGCAGAAAATATTGATTCAATTAGGTCTAAAAAGGAACAAGCTTAAATCGCACTTGGCAAATATTAGAGGGTATTTCAAAGCTAAAGCGCGAAAAAAGGTTAACAATTGTGCGACAACGAATTCGGTATAGTACGTATATCTGGCATTTGAGTGATTTGTAAGTAAGGACATGGACATGGACATGGAAATGGGACTGGGAATGGGAAATGGTGGTCCTTGCCAGGTTGAAATAACATGGGGAATTTTTAGAACAGCGACGACAAAACGTCGAATGAAAGATAAATAAAGAGCGCCGCCCAGGCAGTCAAAAAGAAAAATCCGGGCAAAAAGATGAAATAAAATAAGAATAAAAATGTTAGAAAATGAAACGAAAGTAAAGAGAGCGCGACGCATTGCTGACGATAAATCAAGGCGTGGGAGGGGCGGTTGCGGGGGGCGTGGCCAGCCCCCTCCCCCTCGAAGGGAGGACCGAGCTTATACATATCTATTACATGGCTCCCTGCGAACTGTCGCATCTGCAGCTGCTGTCCGGGCGAGTTGGCCAGTTTTTGGCATTTGGCATTTCCGTTCGCGGGGAATCTGAATACTTTTTGGGTCGCACTCGAATACAAATATTTTCGCAGGTGGCAACGACCGATGCCGCTTAGAGGCTGCGGAGTGCGTTTTGATTACTGTCAGGGTGGCCATCCGGGTCCCATCACCGCCATGCACCGCCTCACTTGTCCACCTGGGCCGGCTCCATGGTGTACATGTCGCGCAGCAGCCGGGCAATGGGCACGTTGCCGATGGTCTCCTTGAAGAAGAGCGCCTCGATGGTGGCCGCCCGGATGGTGCGCAGCGAGGGCAGCAGGAGCAGCAGCCTCCCGAAGCGGGTCGCCTGGCGGGGGTAGCGCAGCCGCACGTGGTCCGAGAGGATGCACTGCGCCTGGTCCTGCAGCATCTCCACCGGCTGCACATCGCACAGGCCGGCGGTCTCCGGGGCGAACAGCGCGATGGCCTTCATGCAGCCCACCTCGCTGCCGTCGGGAGTGATCTGGCGGAAGCGGCAGAGTATCTCCTGGATCGTCTTCATCTCCGTCTGCGTGGCCTCGTCCTGCAGCACCCGCTCCCGGATGAGCGGCGAGTCGAGGATGGGCGTCAGGTCCAGGGGAATGGTCCACTGCGCCAGGTTGAGCAAGAAGAGCTCCTTCCAGGACTCCTGCAAGAACACCATTTTAGAGAAACGTTCTATAAGTACTAAGAAAACCAAACAATGCTCCGACAAACGTTTTTGGGCCGAAAGTGTTGATTGGATTAAGCAAAAGTTACTGGATGTTACTTTATGGTGCTTTAGTAAATGCAATGCCTTAACGAAGTGGTTACTGTTCATTGGTTTTATAAGTTTCTTTTGTTTTTTGTATTTTAATAATCGAAATCAAAATCTCATTTACTGCAAGTAAAAGTTTTCTTGGTGTGTGTTTATGTTTTTGTTAGTTACAGTCAGGGAATCAATAACTAACAACATTTTATCCGCATATGTATTATTTTTTTAGATCCTAAGCTTAAAAGAAAAACACAACGAAAGATAAAAATCATGTTTTCGTTTATAAATTCAAAGTCATCTTCAAGTCGAAGTTATCAAAACTCAAAAGAGATCAACTTCATAAATGCTAAACAGCATTTAATACTATTTCTTCAAGTAGATTGTACTTTAAGTTTCTCAGGCTCCTAATAATTACAACAATATTTTGTACTTTGCATAATTAAATCAATTTAGTTGTCGTAATAAAATCAGTTCTAAGTTCCAGGAAGATGTTGAAAAGCACACAACGTTCGTACTTCAAAAATGATCAGTCAAAGTTTGGTTTGTTCGAGTTTTGTGAGTTCGACTGTAGATGTCTGGGGGTTAACCGGGATGGCGTGGCCATAGTCCTCACCTGGAGAAGCAGGTGCTGGTCGTTCTTGGAGAGCGTCTGGAAGGGCATGAGGCACTTGACCCAGCGCACCGCCATGAAGAGCAGGCGCGCCGTCGTCTCCTGCAGCATCTCCCAGGAGAGCAGCCGCGAGTCGAGCAGCTGCTGCGGGAAGAGCAGCGTGTTGTGCTGCACCTGGTACTGGATGAGCTCCTGGCACTTGTCCGGGCTGAGCAGCAGCTCCAGGAACCCGCTGGAGGCCGTCGCCCCGGGGCAGGATCCGCCTCCTACCGCCCGCGGGGGCGGCGGAGTGGGCGTGGTCGGCGTCGGCGATCCGGACGTGAAGCTGGCCTGTTTCCCGTGCTCTCCGTGGTCCCCGTGCTCGCCGTGGTTGTTGTTGTTGGCGCGGATCAGCAGGGAGGCGGTGCTGGGGGGCGTGGTGGCCTCGCTGAGGCTGTGCCGCGACGTCTGGCGGGGCTGCGGGGACCCCGAGGAGGTGGTCAGCGTGGGGGCCGGCGAAATGCTGCCGGCACTCAAAGGCGGCGAGGCAGAGGGCGAGGGCGTCTCCGTCTCGACGTTGACCCGCGGACTCTCGCTGCCCAGGCTGAGGCCCTCCTCGCCGGCGCCGCTCCGCGATCCGATGCTCGAGATCGACTGAACCGAGTTGCTGGGCGAGGGCGAGGAGTAGTTGTGGTTGTTGCTGCCGGGCGACGCCGCCTGCGCCGCCGAGGAGTACGGCGTGCTAGTGGAGGAGACCACGGCGGCCACGGCGGTGGCGGTGATGCCCGGGAGCTTGCTGGCCGCCTCCGCGATCAGGTTGTGGTGCAGCAGGTGCGGGGGGAAGGGCAGTGCGGCGCCACCGACGGCGGATCCCGAGCTCGAGATGGAGCTGGCGGTGCCACTCGCGTTGCTGACCAGGCCGCCATGTGGTGCGGCCAGCGGGTGTCCGGGATGCGCCGGGTGGTGGAAGGCCGTGGCGTGCTGCTGCTGGTGTCCGCCGGCTCCCGGGTGGTGGAGGTGCCCACTCGGGGCGGCCCCTCCCGGCTGCTGGCCACCCGAGGCCATGTGGAAGCCACCGGGAGGCACTCCCGCCGCGGGCGGGTGCGTGGAGATGTGCTGCGTGTAGTTGAACGAGGCCGAGACGTTCGTCACCAGGGAGTCGGGGAGGTGGCCGCCGTGGTGGTGGTGGTGCAGGCCCGCCGACGCCGCCGCGGCCACCGCTGCATGGTGGGCGGCCGCTGCGTGGGCGTGGGCGTGGTGGTGGTGGTGGTGGTGGTGGTGCGCCGCTGCTGCGTGGTGGGCAGCCGCTGCAGCCGCCGCAGCGTGGTGGTGGTGGTGGTGCAGTTGCGGGTGCAGCTTTGGCTTCCGAGGACCGCGCTCGTGTTGCACAGCTGAGGAAGGAGAACGGTTGGGAATCTGGTTTAGTAAGTTGTTTTGTGGTTTTTTTCGTTTAAATTTGTGAGCCCGGAATTTCGTAACCCTCAAAACTTTTAATTCTGAGTTGGTGTTAAAGAGTGGATATTTTTACACATCCTTCCGAGTTGTTAATAATGAGATAATCTTTCCTCTCCCTGAGATAAACTTCAAAAGTGGTGGAGTTCTAGGTAATATACAAAATAATACTGAAAAATAATATTTGATCTTTAGCGTTTACAAGATTGTTTGAACTCCATTTTCCCTTTGTATCCGGGGGACCAATCAGGTTTGCATAAAATCTCTTCAAGTGTGTAATTGCGATAATCTGCCTCTAAGTAGTTAAATAAATAAAGTTAATTTCGGAGATTCTCTTAGCTTTTCTTTCTTCTTCTTTCCCTCGACTCCCTTGAAACCTGGAAACTTTTTGGCAAAAGGTTTTTTGGCGCGGTCCTAAGTTTGGGCTCTCCACGATTTGGGTCAGAGGTGAGGGACAAGAGGGTCGAAATAATAAACCGATTATTTGAATGCCGAGATGCAGAGATACGACCTATAAAGATGCGGAGTAGCGGATAGATGAACTGTCCTCGGGCGTGTGAACTGTTGCATATGCCTCGAGCTAAGCCCGAGCGAAAAAATGGGGGTTGAGGGGCGCAGCATGTGTGTGTGGCTGTCATGACTTTTATTTGTTTGTAATTAAATGTATCTATAGCGGAGCTGCGTATCTTGGAGATGGCATGACGCTGCGCAAAGGGGTGACATTTTAATCCCAGTTAATCGCATATGTGAGTGCGTCTCTCTGTAAAATTACTACAGTCACTTGAAGGCCCTTACCCTCGCCCCCAACTCGCCTCCTTGCCGCCCATCGATTCGTGAAACTAGAAAAAACGCCGCCACCCAGAGCCGGAAAAGTCTCAAAGCTTTCAAAAGATCACAAATTTCAATTAAAGAAAATGCCAAACTCATCAAATTTTTATGCTGCGGGTTCCACAAACTTCAGACCCAATTTCCAGCGGGACTTAAAAATTGTGGTTCAGCAAAATAAGAAAGAAAAGTTGAAAACGCTCCCTGCGGAACTCAAACTTCAACTTAACCCTTTGCCTGTGAATCCGAGCCCCTCTCTTTTCAAACGTGTTCAGACATACAAAGGCGTGAAAAAGGCAACAAAATTAGCAGCCATGGCAGGGAATCTTAAAATATTTGTATTTTTCACGTCCTTTTGGTTTAAGCTACACTTTTCCCTAAGACGATGGCGATTTCCTAGAAGAGAACTTTGGTTAAAAGGCAACGAAGAGCAAAAGAACGAAAGTAAGTTGATGAGCAAAAAGTAACAATTGATTCACTTCTAAGTTATGAAGATGGAAAATGCACAAGTCGTGTCTGCCTTTTACACAAAACAAGAAAATAACTGGAGGCGATTTGAGTCAGCCCACTTGGATGAAGTGGCAACTGCTCATTCAGCCACTAAACAGTGGTTGGGGAGGTAAGTACGATCTGAAAACCTTTAAAAAAATTTTTTCTCTAAATTTGTTTTTGAATAACTTCACTAAAATAGAGTGTCGAATCTTTATCCTCCAAAATCAAAGAAATGATGATTTTGCTGCCAAAAAACAAACTTGTTTGGTTTTATTTGCTCTATTTAAATTAAATAAAGTATATATACCTATTAATAACATGTTAATATATCAAACACTTAAGTATTCCGAATATTTAAAATATAAACATATTACTGGCTTTATGTATGTTATGGAGTGCACCAATATATAATATATCGAAATAATTTATTACGGGTAACCGAACAAATTTAATTCTATATTGTTTGATGATTAATTTCTTTATCAATATTTACTTTTAAGAGAACGCATAATAGTTAAATACATTTTGGTCTTTTCCGCCATAGCGGTTAGTATATTTTCAAATGTTAATTTGTTATTTTAAAGTTATTTTAAAAGTTATTAAGTCTGATCTGAGAAATCTGTGTATTTTATCCCTTATCTTGCTTGCGCAAATAGACTTCATTCACGGATCACCGCAGCTAACTACTCGACAATTGCTCAATTCTTATTACTTTGTTTGCCCGACAATTGTGTGGGTGTTTGGGTGCTCGAGCAGCCCAAGAGCCGACATAATGTGGTCATTATGGACTATTAAGCACTCCGCAGCTAGTCCGTGCAACCCCTGGCCGAATCAAAATCCAGGGTCTACGGAAACACCCCTGCTGACACCATCTCGGGGCACATCGAATCACTTCAAGTGTTTTCCTAATTTCACGGTTTATATACTTTTTTATTATATTTCGGTCTTCGGTCTTCGGTTTCGTTTCGGTTTCGGTTTGGGATTCGGTTGAGTGTTACGGCTTTCACTCCCCATCTCGCAATTTGCAAACGTTGCCTTATTTACTTTTAATTTGCCTGCAAAACAATTGCAATTTGATGTATTCCTTTTTGGTAAATTTTGATTACGACATTATCTGTCGGGCGGGACGGGACGACTGGATGCCCCGCATGAAGAGCGAGGGCTCTGCTCATTACAGCTCGCCGATTTATTTATTTCGATTTCAGGGGCACGCGTTGCGCTTTTCAGCTTATGGGCGGCAGGGTTTTCTTCGTCCTTTCCACGGCCCCTTAGCCGCTTTCAAGCCCGACGATGCTGATGATGACCATCATTTGGGATTTTGCGTGTGGTATCGTCGTGAAGTCGTCGTGGTCGTGTGATGCTGTGGGAACAGAGCAGCTGCGTTACAGCTCGCTTTTCCACTGCCACTTATCATTAATTTTTCCGGCGCGTTTTTCTTTGCCCATCCTGGCATCAGGACGGTCCTGCCTTTGTCTGCGCCCTGCTCCTTCCCTTCTCAGCACCCTGTGAATACATGTATTTTGACATAATTGTTTTTGCTTTCACGGAAACGGAACTTCTGGTCCGCTTCCTTCCGCACCGCCCTAATTAATTGATTAACTTCAGCAAATCGGTCAATATGTTCGCTCTGTTGCCCTTTTTTCATTTGTTTCGCTCCCTGCTCTGCGGAGAAGGGTGCGATCCACGTAATGAGTTGCTAATTAGATTTGTGGATTGCAATTTTTTCGCTAGCGGGCGTAACTTTTTGTTCCACATTTCGGGAAAGCCTGAGAGATTCTCCAGGTGCTTCCCAGCGGAGGAGTAAGAGGTTGCCTAGAGGGGGGGACGAAGTGGCAACTCCTTGATTTCCGTAAGAGTTTATAAGTCAACTGTTAATTGGATTTCATATTCATGAGAACTAAATACTTGCCTAGAAAGTTTGCTTACTTGTTCACGCAAAACTGAAATGGAACATTGTTCGGATTATTATCAAGATTCGATGCAAGGCCAAATTTGTACCTTATCTATATGATGATAATGTAAAATCTATACTTTAAAGAGCATATGTGTCACTTTTATCCATTTATACCGTTAGAGAGATTTTTGCAATTTCGGTCAGACATTTGCAACACAGTGAAGGAAACACGTCCGACCCCAAAGTATTTACACATTTTCTATCAGCGCCACCGTCTATGTCAATCTAGATCATTTTACCCGTTCGTCCGTCTAATTGTTTATAGGAAAACAGGTCTCTCAATTTAAAGCTATCTCGGTAAAACTTTACTTATAGTCTAAAAACTATGTTTGGTGAATCTTACACCTTGTAGACTAATTTAGCTTAGTTTTCCAATAAGATAGCTGGCCCATTCCCTGATCTGATAAAGCTATGTCATGTGCTAGGATCGAAAAATATGTTTTACTGGCGAACCTGTTAAACCTTCGTGGTGAGGATGATTTCGAAAGTTTAAATCAGGCCGACGGTATATAAATGTAGGAATGCAATTTATAGAGCAACCCAGAGGTTATAACTCCTGTTTCTTTTTTGATCCCCGATCCCGACTTGGATCTCCGCCTGTCCGCATCCGCCAGTCATTTAGTCGGCCCATTCCAAGCAGAACATGATGAGGCCAACGGCTTTCCGCCTCTGACTCTCATTCGAACTGCGCTCGCCCAGTGGGTAAGTGATTTTAAATCCGCTTTTAATGTTGACACTGACACTTTTGACTCACCCACGCACACTGCCACACTGCAGTGCAGGCAGCGTAGTGTGGGTGGATGGGGATGGGCAGGGGGGGTGGAGTGGTTCGTGTCCATGACATGTGCAAGCCAGGCGCATTTACATGTCGCACAGTCCCCGGCGAAAGTGTATGCACATATCGTAGTAGGCTATAATGTCAATTAAGTAAAACACGCAGCGCACTTGCGTGTGTGCGTGCGAATTTGCATGTGTGGGCGTGTCCTGCGCTATGGCTTTCTGTGCCCTGCAGCCATGTGTAAATGAAATTGCGTATACGTAATGTGGGGGAGTTCGACGATAACTCAACCGAACCTGACGGCTTAAAGGCTGCACAATAAATATCACAAAGTTACATACAGACACATACATTTCTGTACACGCACATATGTACACACATATACATGCACGCCTTTTGTATGGATGTGGAAATGTTTATGCATGAACATCAGCAAAAATCAATACGTTAAAATGTGGTCATGAAATTAGCCGAGTCTGCCTTTTGCGCCAGCGCCAAAAAGTCGTCTCCGGAATAGACATCAACAACAACAAAAATTTACATTGACACCGTCACGAGCCAGTAACACAGACTTGGCCCGAAAATGAAGCCAGGCTGGGGAACCACAGTCTGTTGACAAAAGGGCTTAAGAGCCTAGAAGTACGCAACAATATACTTGTACAATGTACACTCCTAGGTGCGGTCACAACAGAACTGAAACTAAGACAACTTCCATTTCGCAGTCCTTTTCGATAAGTTTACACTCGGCTGAGCGTTGGAGATGCTTTCAGCTTGTCCGCTTGCGATTGTTGCTTCTGTTTGTCTTAACGTCTTGCCTTGTTCAATCCTTGCCACAAACAGAGAGAAACGGAGGAGGAAGAATTGCCTTCCAGCCTTGCAAAGCGCTGGAGTTAAGGTTAGTACACAAGAACCGACAAATAAATACCGGAGTGAGTTGCGTCTCGAAACAATTATAACTGTAAGATGTAAGAATGGATACCACTCAGCTACTTAAAAAAAGTAATGTTCTAAGTAGGAGTGTTGTTTTCATTTCTTCATCAGCTGCAAATGCCCATTGTCAATTTAAGCTAAATGCCTTCATTGAAGCGCGAGAAAATCTGTTTTTATAAATTCACATATTATAAATTTCATTCTAATTTTGCAATTGTAATGGTTTGATGAACTATAATAACAGTTAAGTTATAACTTTATATTTCTAAGTGCCTCCGATTGGACAATTTTTCGAGGCGATTGTGAGCTCCATTTCATACCACTGATCGGCTCATCACGCACCCAGGGGAATAATGACCCCATCATTATAGCACCCTCACTTTACAATCGTCGACTGAAAGGCGTTTTTAAAGAACGGGATTCAGGAAGGGACACAAATCACTCAAAATGAGAAATCCGCTTAAATCGCCGCGTAAATATTTGCAAAGAAAAGAAAGTAAGGACGGTTATGGAAAGGAGGCTGCTACGTGTAGTATGCGTGTTGATGATGCTGACACTTTGGTGTATACAAATGCAAATACCATTAAATGTGACAAGTGGCAACATAATTTGTAAGGAGAGCTTTTGTCGTCTTCTTTTATTTTCCCTCAATTCTCCAATTCGTACCCTCCTCAGGATATTAGCATAGAAAAGTGGCCAACATTTGTAATTCTGTCAGCAGCATGGAGGGCGTAACTTTAACAACGAAACGTGCGACGCCTGTCATTTTTTCCCATAATAACTTATTTGTCAGCTCTAAAGTGCCGTGGCGTGCTTATTGGTCAATGAGAATACTGCCATTTAGTCGAAGACGGATTAGTGAAGCTAGTCATTATATCCCAACGTGGTACAGTAAACAAAAAAACTGTCTCAAATCATGCAAGCAAAAAAATAGCAGTTGGGCCTGGTAATTATAATACTTGGACTTAGGGAATAGCGCATTCTAGTGATCCCCTCGCAGTGCAAGTTTTCTATTTCACAGTTATTTACAAGATGAGATTTAGTAGAAAAACATTCTACTGGCAAACATTTTTTTTTAAGGTAGGGAGTATGTTGGAAAATGTATAAGAAATGTTGGGACGTTATAGCTCTCCCTTACGAACGAAAGTGAATCGGCTAGGGTCGATTGTTTTAAATAAATAGACATTTATTCACCACCGTACTCAAGTTCATACGAATTTTTAAAAAGTAGGGGGCTTAGTAAATGATCTTATTAAAGTTAAGCTTTTGCTATAACAGCATTTACAACATAACTCATTTTGTCTTGGCAATATCTTTTTTAACCTTTCTAAAAATCGAAACAACACCCAAATAAAATAAAATATAAACTTAACAGCAGAAAGACAAACTAAGAACCACTAACCTTAGCCGTAACTCATTTTGCTCGGCGAAATCCCAACAAATGTAATCAGCTCCAGCGGCCCCCAACGACTTTCCCACTCGCATGACCCTCTGGCCCAAACTCACAAAAGGTTACACAAACGTGCCTTGAACGATTTTTGTGGCTTTTTTGCTTTTTGCTGTAAACACAGAAGCATTTTGTCTGCGAAAACTACAATGGCGTTGGGGCGGAGCGTTTTTCCGGGGGTTTGAATGGGGTGGGTGGGAAGGCAGAATGGTGTGGGGTTTGCGGAAGATGTGTGAATTGTTTGGCGTCCAAGTGTGTTTGTTGTTTATTTGAGGCAACCAGCCAAGAAAAACCCCAAAAAGGCAGCCTAACATGGGGCTTTGTAGCGGCAAACTAAGAAAATATCACAAGGAATTTAAGGAACATGTACAGCTCATACCACTCTCACATCCCTGCCATTTTTGTGTTTTATCCCAGGCACCCGGGAATTTTGGTGGGTGTCTCGCACTGGGGTTTAAAAATAAAAAAGCCATGAAGCGTATAGCTGGGAATGGCCAATTCAATTCTTTGTTAGTCCTCCCTTCAACTACATTTCAACTTTAGATTATAGAAGCCCTTTTCACACTTTTTTAAGCTAATTTGCTGGTTTCAAGTGTTGTTTGGGCTAAACAAATACTGACATGTGGGGTTGGCGTAAAACAAAATGTGTAGCTAATTTCTCTGTTGATTTCAGGGCACGCGTCTACTTAACAAATTTGGTAAGTGCTTAGATTAACAGGCATTCTGACAATTCCAAAATAAAATAAATAATAAATTGAATAATAGATTAAAATATAATCTACTAACTCGTTTAGGAAAAGATAATAGCACAGAAATTATAAAAAACAAGAAAGGAAGCTAGCTTCGGCAAAACGGAGCTTATATTCCATTGCAACCATTAAATATGTCGAACCAAATACATAAAGGCCAAACAACATTGGATTATAAAAAAAAATTCATAAACATCGGACAACTATATCATATGGCTGGCATAAGAAAGATTCAAAATCTATATAGCATTAACGGAAACAAAGATAACATCGTTGTTTTTTCAGACAAGCATAATTTTTGGAATATAGAGTTTTCTAATGACTCTCGAATTTCGAATTAAATTTCATAAGAATTATACGATTATATCATATAGCTTCTGACTAAAATTATAAATACCTTTGCTCTGTAGGGGTATAATAAATAAAAGACAAATATATAAATGTTCATATAATTATTTTGAATAAACCAAATAAAACGAAACTACATTTTAAAATTAACACACCCATTCAAAACGAAATATAACATATATTGTAAAAGACCCATCAGGTCAAGGTAAATATTGGTTAAAAAGTTACTACCGCAGCTGGAGGATATATTCGTATTGATTTTTGTGCGGTTAATCGGCGAGAACTTTGTAACTAAGGATCTAACAAAGTGGAATAAACCACGTGGATTAAAGCGCTAATTATGAACACAAAAAAAATTGTTTGTTTTTAACGTTTTTTTTTTTCAATAAATCTGTTAATTTTTATGAGTTTGAATCGTGTTGCGAATGGCAGGTTGAGCAACGGGTATTTCGAAGTAGTGCTGTTTTTGTTGTTTTTTGGAGGGCGGAGGTCCTTTTCGTGGCTAACACTTTGGCGGTGGCTAGATGTACATGGACTCTCCCTTTTCTAGCGTCCATCATTACGGTCTACAAGCCACCATCGCTGTAAAGGTCCTTGGGTTGACTGACGTCTAAGTTCGAGCTTTGGGCATCATCACTTGATTGTCAATACATTTTAGTCGCATTTTCAGCGAACGGATAATGCGTGTAATCCGCTATTAAGTGCACATTGTCAATCGACCCTCTCCCCAGTGCCCCACCCCAAAAGAGTGGCCCTTGCGTGTGAGAAAATCTGCAGCGATTCTCACGCTGCTCTTGTCCCTTGTTTCTGTCCCGGCTCTTCTGTGCAGTGAACCCATCAATGGTAGCTTCTGAATGCCGAATGCCGAATGCTGAACACTGAATCGAAAGCCGGCAGCTGTGGGATGAGTTTGGCTCCTGGATGTAGTCGTAGTCGGCTAAAGCCGCAACCCCCCACAGTTGATATCGAGAATGCCCGTCGCTATTATGTGTTTTTATGCTACATTTAATGTTGGCTTAAGAGCTTTAAAGCTAGCATTGTTGCGTTGATCTGTGTATTCGGTTTGATTATGGCTATCCGATTACCGATTACCGGCTGGATGGGCTCCCTTGTTCGATATTCAAATTTGTTTATCGATGGTTATTGCTGCTGAATTTTAAAACAAGCTGTACTTAATAAGAAACCAATATACATATATATTTAAAATTCTAATTATAGCGTATAAAAAATGTATCTGAAATATCTTTGTAGCTTAAAGATGTGCAGCAAAAACTGTTTTGTTCTTATAAAATAATAGAACTGTTTAATCTGTTTAATTTCCTTTTTTAAATAACAACAAAAATGTTTTATTTTTTACTTTTAAAATATTATATCTACTATATTTGATTTTTAAATATAAATTTGTCTTATTTCTGTCCCTGGTTAAAAACTTACCAAGAGTTTTAATTTCTTGAGTTGCACAACAATAGACATGTTTTTCCATTTAGAATGAAAAGCTGGTGTTTTTTGTGCAAATTACAGAAATTATTACAAAAAATCTTTTCAAAGTCTACTTCTTTTAAAATTTAAAACAATTCCACCAAATTTTTTTTTCGTGTTGCCCATAAAAATCAGTTTCAACACTTCTCCCCATTAAGTCTTTTGCCCCGAAGGCACAACCACAGGATTGGGGCTCGCATAATTTATAATCAGCTTAATGACAAATTCAGCCAAAACTCAAGTGGCGCTTTCCCCAACCTGATCTGAGTTTCAATAAAGGAGGCAGCCGGCGGCATTTTGGTTTTCGAGTTTAATGTAAATCATGCCCAAAAACCTTGGCGAAAACAGGATTGTTGAGCTAATTTGCTGCATAATTAAGTGTACTTGGAAAGTAAAACAATACTTGTGGGCCAGGAAACAACTGCGGAGTTGGCGGAGCTGTGGGGAATGGGGTGATTTCAGTGTGCTACTTACCATCCTTGTTCATGGCCGACTGAAAGCATTTGGCCAGGCGACACGCGCGACACTGGTTGCGATGGGTCTTGTCCACAGGACATCGACCCTTGAGATCGCCGGTGGCCTTACAGGTGTAAATCCGATTTCGATGGATGCTCCGCTTGAAGAAGCCCGAGCAGCCTGAAAGGTATTAGTTGAGCTTACACCTCTGATAATTAATCCATTCTCGGACTCACCATCGCAGCTGTAGATTCCATAGTGCTTGCCGGAGCTCCGATCGCCACACACCTTGCAGGGAATATCTAACAGGCGATCGCCCGCTTTAAAAGATACCAAAGAATATAATTGTATTAAATTGCATGGCCAAAATGTTTACATTAACGGATCAATTACAGCATTTAAAATATTAATTAATTTTTGAAGTGAAAACTTCTTTAGCGGCGCTGAGCAGGGTAAAAACATTCAAACTCGCGTCAGGGTCCCGTTATACTGATCGAAAAAGCGTAAGATCGAGGGGAAGGGAGAGGAACTAGTATCTCCCACTCTTTCTACCGTGCCTGAGTCTATGGTAGAATTATGTAAGGTAGTCTCGTCGGCTGCAAAATCTCTCGTGTTTTTTCCCCCTATGCGCTCCGGATTTCGAAGTGAGAGGTTGTCCGTGGATGATTTTTTGTGTAAAAACCGAAAATTTCGGAAAAATTAATACTCATGGTCATATAACAGTCCTTTTTAAACCCCGTGCACAGAATAAGGGTAAAACGACATCATATTCTTCTGTTTCTTTCGCACTTACGGGAAAACACCCTTTCACTCGCACTCATTGTAGTGCCCAATAGGGGGAAAAAAAGACGACGAGACTACCTTGTACTTACACTTAAATAGGTTCGAATCAAAACTGTTTGTTTCTTACTTCAGTTATCATAAACCAATTGTATCAGTTGTAAAAATTTACGATGATGATTCTGATAATAACGATGGTGTAAAAGTCGTCGAAATTATCGATGGAAGTTGATTTTTCTGAGAGATAAAATTTAATGTAATATATAAATAACGATATAATATTATAAATAACAACATATAAATTGCCATATTTGTGTACGATAGCGCAATAAATAAACATTGTAATCTACCTCTCTCATAAATGATAGTACTTTTATACTTATAATTAAACACAACGTTAATATTGAAGTTTTCACTTCTGCCGGCACTCCCGGAGTGCTACCGGTGTTTTTTTTTTTTGTGCCTGCACGGACTTAGTTGTTTTTTCATGTTTAGGATCATCGCCGCATGGGAAGTCGTTATATAATATAAGACTCTATTCTTTTTGATTTTGGCAACACGGTTTTTAGTTTATACTTATTAAATTGTAAAACAGTCAAGTGCCTCGAATATTAGGTATTCGTTAATCAGATACCCTTTTCAATATGCATGAAATCTTTTTAACGTCTCAGCGTCTATATAGACAGCAAGGTTCCCGTCCAAGAGACTAATAAGCATGCCTTCAAGGCTTTGGAAAATATTAAACTTCTTTCGCCGAGTTTTCATGTCACTCATGTAACTTAACAAGCAAATAACCTAGCTTTGGCGAGCCGAATCGTGAATACTCTTGTAGTTATAACTAAAATCTATAAAATAATTATAATCATAAAAATTCAGTAACAACAAGGTTTGTTTGTATTGTTAGTCCGATCCTTACAACGTTGGAAATAGGTACACTATACTCTTTAGTTAAGTCAAATTTTCCGTAAATTTGAAAATTGTTTTTGGTATATGTTGGTAGTACTTGTCGGAACTGCTCGGATCGGACGAGAATATCATATAGCTTCCATAGAAAAGAAACAAAAAAAGCCTGAACGAAGCCTGAATTATAACGTCGTCGTTTTTATTTCTATCTGCACGATTCTTGAACTATTATTATTAATAAAATCGGAAGACAATATCATACTGGTGCCAATTGAGTAAACAGAAAAATTATAGAAAATTAGAAAAATTTTGATAATTTGGATGTTAATAAACATTAATGCACTCGTCTTAAAATTAAGCAATTATACATTAAAAATAAATATTATACCATGAAAGAAAAAAGAAAAGTAACTAAAAATACGAGTTAACTTGGGAAGTAATATACTCAACTTGTTGTTGACATTCTAAACTTCTTACTAACAAAAGGAACAAATCGTGTTACTAGATTCGGGTTATATAAGCTTCCGCCGGTCTACCTTTTTTATTTTATATAGGTTTTTAATAGGACTTTCCATCACTTATTTAACAACTTTAGTAGTCAGTAAATGTTTGAAAAATGAGAACCCACCGTTAAGGTCCGTGCAAGTAAGTGCATTTAATCATTGGCATATTTAACTTTTATTAAGTACTAATCCTTCGTTTCAGCTCGTTCGCCCTAAGCAAAACTGCGAGTCACGCCCAAGAGAAGTTGCCTACTTTGTGGCGCTGCTTCGAGTGTGTTTGTCGCGGATTAGCTTGTGAAAATGGCCCAATCGCCGTCCCACCCCGAATGTGTGTGAGCAGGAGAAAAGCCCTTTGGCTGGCACGCTTCGCAAATTAAGTTCAGCACTCGGCACTTGTCAAAATAAAACGCTCGCCCTTTGTTGTGGTCCTTTGTCCTGTGACATTTGACATATTGTCGCTGGTGGAGTTCTGTCGGTTTTGGATTTGGGTCGGAGTTTGGCTGGCGCGTGTTGCCAATTTTCACACCCTGCGCACCGGCTATTGTCCGCAGCGTGTTAACACCTCTCGAGTGGCCGGGCGTGTCCTCTTTTTCTGGGGTTGCATCGGAATCGGAATCTGAAGGCCCTCTGACACCTTCGGCGGACCTTTTCCCGCTCTTTGTTTTCTTTTTTAAAATTTGGAATTGTTGATTTTACATATTTCTGTTTGTTTATGCCATCACTTTTTACTTTCGGACCCCTTTTTGTTTTAGTTGGCGGGTATAAGGGTTATGTCTTGATATTAACCACGTATAAAATATGCTTTCTGATTTTTTATGGAAATCTCGGACATGTTTAGATAGGCAAAAGGCCTCTGGGTTGTTGGCAAAACGTGAGAGTTTTGCATTATCGGCGTAAGGGCTTTAGGTTATCTAAATATCGGAAAAACTCAAGAGACTAGTTGGAAAATGGAAAAATAACTAAAAGCGAACTAAGTTGCAAGTAGAATCCGATTAAGTTGTTTTCTTGACCATTGGTACTGCACAAATCGGTTTAGAAAAAATTCAAATAAATAAACTCCTACAAATTTTGTATGTTTACATTACCCTAATTCTTACAAATATTTGGAAACAGCGAAGGTAGGTACAGGCCAAAAGTGAACTTTCAAGTTTGAACCGGCTATTTAGGGTCTTCAAACTTTTAAGGTGTCAAAATAATAAAACTAATATTGTAAAGTCTTAAAGGTTTAATGCTATTGATCGTGCGAAATTTTTAACCATAGCCACACCGAGAATCATAAGATGGTGGCAGCATTAATTGTTGGATCATGTCGAGATCACTCAAACACACACACTCAATAAAAGGACCACTTAAGGGGTTATATCCAGTTGCAAACCCGAAAAAATAGGCTTTTTTGGTAATTATTTCTGGAGAGGCTTATTATTGTACCTATATATACGTGTTATATGTGAAAAGTTAGATAATTTTTTCAGAATACATTTTCAAAAAAAAAAAATGGATTCCGTTCATCTTGTAGAGGATTTCCTGAGGGCCCACTTCATAGAGGGGTTTTGCGGTGAGGAAGATATCTCTGATCCAAATTATCAGAAATACAAAAAACCAAAGGGATTACGTAAAGAATAGACAAATACTGGCATTGATACGGGGAATTTTCACAATTTTGATTTTAGACAAAATGGCGGCTTCACAAACATAAAACTTCGTTTTTGGCACAACAATTTAAACTTTGAAGTGACTAAAAAATCTAGATTTTTATCGGAGCCAGAATTCCCCGCGTCATTACCTGAAAAAAATATCTAAGAATTTCAAGTCCGTCTGTCAAGCCGTCTCGGAGAAATTTTCCTCACCGACTTTGAAAACATAGTTTCGAGAAAAACGCATTTAAAATGTAGGCTACTAGTTGAACTACTTCGGCGACGTCTTTAAAAATACAGTAGAATCCGCTTATAGCGACTTTCAAGGGACCGACGAGTTTTCGTCGTTATACCCGGAAGACGCACTAAGCAAAAGGATATTAGTGTATAAGTCTGTCTGGGGACCAATCAAGCCATCGAGTTTTCGTCGCAATACCCGGACGGACACTATAAGCGGACTCGTTATAACAGGATTCTACTGTATACTCATTATTACAAAACTATTTACCGGAATACTTTGAAATTTTCAGACAATATTCTTAAATATACATATGTACATTCAAAATAGGCAAAATAAAAATTCGATTTTTTCAAAATCTCAACTGGATATAACCCCTTAAAGAAGTATAAAAGCACAGTGATCCTTTGAGGTAGGTTATCAAAAACACCGGCGCTTTCCGTTACCTGTGCCCATTTTCCGTTGATGGAAATATTTGAACCCTAATGTATCCAGTTTGCTTAGATTTACGTTCCGCACAGCGCACTTAAAATTTGAAAGAGTAATCGACTGCGGCGATTTAGTCAGAACTTTTCGTGTCACCAGAGCACAATGTCACTTCGTCCTCAGTGAAATGTTTTCAAATCCCGACGCGAATTGCTGCCGCTGGAGCCTGAAACCTGCTGCGGGAGCAATGCAATTGCGAAAACGGATCGCCTGGGCTGACGGACCAACTGCGAATGAAACGGGAAGCTAAGGCTGGCAGAGCCAGCAGCGAACAGACCGCCAATTACGAAAGTGAAGCTGCCAAGGAGAGGTCCTTTTTTGCAGTCAATTTGACAGGAGGGCGAGCCAAGCCAAAGGCAGTTACCACCCGCACACCCACTCCCACCCCCACTACCACCTCCGCCTCCGCCTCCGCCTGGTACAAAGCCACAAGCGGAGAGGCGGGAAACGAAGCTGAGGCGGGAAAGTGAAAGGCAGCGAGCGCCGAGCATTCTGAACCGAGAACCGGGCAAAGCAAAAGCAAAGCAAAACGAGCAAAAACAAACAAAAAAAATGGGAACCAAACGAAAGTCGAAAATTTACGAAAAGCTACCAAATGTTACATTTCATCCCTTGATAGTGGACCAAAAGCAAGCGACCAGCCACCCACCCACCCGACCACCCACACATCCGGTGTGGAATCGACAGCGTGGTGAACACACACCAACACAGAGTGCTCAAAAAGAGAGAAAGAGAGTCGAGGGACCAGAGCGAGGAGTGCCGGGTAACCAACCGGAAAACGCCCTTTTTTCAGTGCTCTGGCCTGATGCGATTACAGCAAATGAGGAGACTTCCTACCGTCCACCATTTTTGTTTTTTCCCGCCGAACGGCGGCACACCCACACAAGCGCAGTGGCGCTCCGCACGCACACTACCGTACATTTCCTGTGGCTTTCGACAATTCACCACAAAATGTCAAGAATGACGAAAAGCTAGCCGTGGAACGACTGCGAGCTTGTATTGGTATGTGCTGGTGCTGTCCCGCTCCCACAGCTTGCCTTTTCGCTCGCCATCCTTGCGTTATCCTGCTCCTGTGCTTGGTAAATATCCTTCGCCGGCAGAGAGGTCGAACTCTCATGGCTTCTCTCTTTTTTCTACACTTTTTTGCTCTTTGTTTGGAGGAATCCGGCGCTTGTAGGCTGTCGGATTATTAGTTCTAAAGTCATGACCTCTTTTGGCAAAAGGGCTCTACAGTTGTGGTACGTTTAACTGCTTCAGTCTCATATTTCGCTAGTACGTCCTATATATTATTCGGTAAGCAATGTACCTCAAATAGTAAACTTGACGATTGGTAACTCTATAAGATCTAACAAAACATTTCATTTTAGATCGCTTTCAAACATTATAATATTAAAATAAAAAAGAGAAATTATTCAACTTAAAAAAAAAAAGAAATAGACGTACTTGCTACATCGGAATTTACATTCTTGTCATTGGTTTATATATATTTTTCGACAGGATATTCCAAAACAAAATTATTTAAACCAATTTGATGAGGAAGTTTTTTAATGGTACCTGTAAAATAAGCAATAAAAGAGTGGTTTTTTTTCCAATTTTTATCGCAATTAAAAATAGAGCACATCATTATTTACGTTAGTTGAAGCATTAGTTATCAGTTGTTTAGTTTATGATCGCTTAATTTTGAATTTAAGGCTATGGCAATGTGAGCATTGAACTTATTGTTTTATGCTAGAGTGCGAAAATAATCATCAAAAACTGAATGGAGCGATCAACACAGCCAAGGCACATGGCACATGACCAAGAAATATATACACTTCACCTACACCTACTCCGACATGTGCCTTGGTGTGGGTCCTGTCTGCAGAAGTGGTAGTGTCCACGGCGATTCCGCAATGGCGTCTCCCCAGCTGGCACTGGCTGAAACGGCTACGGCTATCGAAATCGCAATCGCAATCGGAGCTCGAGAGGTCGGATGGGATGGGGCCGGTGTTGTCGGTATGTTGATAGGGGTTGATTTACTGACTCTCATCCAAATTGAAGTGACTTTTGCGACAGTGTGAGCGGGGAGCTCACACACACGACCGCGCAGCGGAACGTCTTGCACATGACACTCGGCTTAGAGGGTGGAGTCTTGTAAGTCGATTCGGCGAGGGGCTCAGGATAAGCCCGTGTCCATTACACAGCCCATTTGGCTGACTGCGGTCACATGGCCGGCCCACTGCTCGTACATAACGCCGCCCCACGCACATCTCCCGAATCCCGAATACAATCCTGCGGTTATATTAACCAGTCAGAGCGCAAAGTCATTTGCAGCAACGACGCCAACGTCGCCGACGGTCGTAACTCAGCCAACCACCCACCCGCCAAGCCACCCACCCCACCACACCTCCCCCACTCCGCTCTTCGCACACATGGCAAATTTGCGGCATCAAGAAGTCGCATTTTTCTATGCCCCCTCCCCTCTGGCTCTCACTCGCGCTCTCTCGCTCTCGCAAGTCCCGCCGGCTTTGATGTGTGCGTGAGCCTAGGCCACGCCCCCGAGGCAAGGGAAACTCACCACTTCCGGAAATCCCGCACATGCGCTCGCTCAATTTCGAAAACGAGTTTCGAAAAAGGAGGCTTTGGACCTTCATTTCTCAGTCTGTCGACGCTGAAGTTGTAGACGGCTCATTCGACTCGGCCACTCAGAACAGATCGGAAGTCTGCTAAGCAGCATTTTAAGATATTTAGCTGATTTGTCAGGCTCAAGAAAAAATCAGGTAAGTTTAACAAAAATTCAGGAAAACAGTTACGCAAAAGTGTTGTTTCCAGTGAGCATGGACGGCTTCTGCAGTAACAACGGTTGCAGCTTCAACAGCGGATACTCGCAGTACCCCAAGGGAAGCCGCTCTGGGGCGTGCTGCAATTGCCCCGGGGGCAACTGCCCCCGCATGGAGGCGGGGAGCAACGAGCGCCGCGGCATGAGCCAGCTGGGTTGTCCTGGCGGCAACTGTTGCCCCGGCGGACACTGTTCGTCAGGCAGAAGCCGCTTCAATCAAGACTGGCGGAACGGTGGACGCTAGCACTAAAGAGCTGGCGATTCCACGCCTGTCGAATCCAGCACCTTAAAAATGCGCTCCAAGCTACAAAACAACAAGTTCATTCCATAATCCTTAGTATTTAAACAACTGTTTAAAATGGAGGATGCTTTTGTCGAATCGAATCGGATTGAATTGTCACCCACAAACTCATCCAGCTACCCTTTGAACTTGAAATCCTGCATAATATCTTAATGTACTGTAGCCCCTGCGCTTAGAAAAAGAAGCAGATTTAGAAAAATAATACCGATTAAATTGCGTGTAAAAAGAAAATATAACTGATATCCTAAAATCCTAAGTATTTAGGACATAAGAGTTATTTTATGCAACACTTTGTTTTTATGGCCATTGAGAGATATAACACTATCTGTAAATTAAGACATTGATAATATGTTATTTGTTGAAAAGTACTCTCGACCCTAAAAATTATATATTATTAATTCAGACCGGTTGATCTCGCCTTCTGTTCTTCTTTTCGAATTTCTTTCCACATAATCGGCAAGAATTTAAAACTGATAATAGCAAGATTAACAGTCCATATATGAGTGGTTTAAAGTTTCCGAGATTCTGTCATTCATCCAGACAAGCAGACTTGGTTGGATCGGCTATAATGATGACCCATTTTCACATATACTCCGCACCTTGAAAAATTGTTTGTAAAATAGGAATAAGTTGTGAAGAACAAAATATGTACATATGGGAAACTCTCTGTATAATAATTAGGCATTTGGGATATCTGTGTAGATGATTTTAGGAAAAACAAGAAAGGAAGCTAGCTTCGGCAAGCCTTCATGCAGCTATGTATGATGATTTTTCTATTATTGTTTATATTTTCGACTATTGTTCATATGGCAGCTATATGATATAGTCGTCCGATTTTGATTATTTTATTCGTCAAGAGTTGTTAGAGAACTCTATATTCCAAAAATCATGCTTGTCTGATGAAAATCAACAATGTTATAATTTTATTTCCGTTATTTATAGATTTTTCGATTTTTCCTTTGGCAGCTATATAATAACGTTGTCGAATTTTAATCAAATTTTTTTCTCGATTCTAAATATTTAAAAAACTCGATGTTCTAAAACTCACAAAACAACGACGTTGTAATTATATTTTTCGCTCTTTCCTATGGCAGCTATTGTATATGATAGAGTTATTATTTTGATAACATTAAATTCGAAATTCGATAGTAGTTTAAAAACATCATCTGAAGGAAATCCAGTCGATCTGATCAAAAACAACGGAGTAATAATTTTTTTTTTCAATTTATCGTATGTCAGCTATCCTATATAGTCGCCCGATCCGGCCCAATCCGATTTTTGGCCTAAATTATAATACTCTTTGCTCTGCAAGGGTATAATAACAAAACAGAAACATTAAAGTACCATCAAAATTGTTTCAATCCCAATAGTCGACCGTGAAAAAAAAGCGCGACACAGCATTTTTGGTTTGTGGGCATAAAAGTGAATATGCGAATTTGGATTACTTAATTAATTACGTTTTCAGACGTTTCTTTATCAAACAGTTTATTTATTTTTCTAAGGTCTATGACGAATTGGTGTGTAAACCCCCACCCAGCAATAAAAAGCGAGAGCGATTTAACATATTTCATTTATTAAATTGTATGCTTTAAACTTTGCATGTAGTAATGTTTATGCTTTCTATCTCACGCACTAACAATAAATATATATATACTCTATTTATATGAGTGTTTTGTAATTTATTTAAGTTGTTAAGTTAATACAGGTTGATCTTGTGTTTGCGTGGTGTCCTCTCTTATTACAGATATCAAGATTTCGATTATGTAACACTGCTCGTTCTGCTTTGAACTGTAACGCATTTAAAGTTTTTGAGCTTTATAGTTCATTGAAATCTTTCTACAAGATGGAAAATTACATTTTTTTGTCTTTAGTGCTCGGAATTTTCTTCAACAGACTGAAAAGAATACAATTGCATTAGTTGCTCTTACCGCGACGTTCATCTTCTCGTTTACTGCCACCCGTACATAAGTAATATTTGTAAATTATTATCAATGCAACATGTAGATTTTCTACAAAATACGGAATGTTTTTCTACCATGACTACCAATAAATTTATCTAATTTATTTGCATTACTTGTATAGTTTCTCATTGTTTTTCACTTTTATATTTACATTAATTTAATATTAAGGGCCTCTTGTCGTAATTGGTGGAAGGAATTAAATGGTTTAAAGCTCTGAACTTAAATAACAATTTTCCAACTTGTTTTTTTTAGAAAAATCAAATTTAAGTTTCAGCACAGTTGCCTTGCTTTCCTTTGTATATGTATTTATATCAATAATTTTGCAATATTTTTTTAAGGTTAATTGCAATTTGAAATATTCCGTTTATTACATTCTTTGCATTGCTTGTATTTCTTTTCGCATTTCGCAAAAAAGTAATTTTGAGAGAATCTACTTGCCTTTAGTTTAGTGTGAGGTTGTAGTGTTGTGTGCTAAAACATGTTTTGTAGCCGCAAAAGGTGCGACGATATTGATCGTGATGTGTTTGGTCTTATTTGATAGAGAATTGTTTTAGTTTTAATTTAATTGATATTTCTGGCGGTGCTTGGTTTGATTATTATTGATTTATCTGTCGAGGGCTGCTTTCTGTGAATCGATACGAAAGACACTAAGCTTTGAAGGGACTTTCGATTTTTGTGCGCTGGCCATGTTGTTAGGCTGCTTCGAAAGTCTACAATAAATAGTCAATACCTACAAAATTGTACAACGTCGTTACATAACTATAAATTGTCAATGCATTCTAAGTATAAGCAATATTACGTTTTAAATCAGCGTTTAATAAATAGTTATAAATACATAAGTGTATAAATTATATTGCAACTTGGTTTGGTATAAAAAAATTCGAATTAAAGTGTAAAATTAAATATAAAATCATATAACAGCCTTTGTTTGAAGTTAGATCAACTCATTTTGGATAAAACTATTGTATCGAAAAAATAAATAGAAGTTAAAACTACATTAAACAGTTACAAATAAACACAGTAATATGATTAACTTCCAATGGCGTACATATACATTCCGTTTAATTTTCCTAATTTTCCAATGAATTCGTCCGCAGTTGACTGTAGCATGCCTGGCACACCCTAACTGGCTTTAGGATTCGAAGACGAGATATTTCTGACTCGAAACGACTGCACTTGTTGCAAAACACTTGACCGCAATTGCGACAATGGTGCTTCCTCTCATAAAGTGTAAATCTGTAATAAATATTCCGGTTAAAAGTTGGACTCTTCACTAATTTGTTACTTCGAGGACTCACTTGATGTGGCATTTGACACATTGATCAGCTCCTTCATCTTTTAGCCAATGATCAGCCACTCCGCGACCAGGCTGTTCTGTAACGCTCCACGAAAAGATTCGCCCGCGTGCATCGCCTTCAAAATATTGAAAATTTAATAAATATTCGAGATATTTCTATGTGCAGCTTTATTGAAAAACTTACCGACATATAATATTTTGTGATCTTTTGATACTGTTAACGCAGTAATGCTAGCTGGTTCGGCATTATCCTTACGATCATACGCCGTATGCATGGTTAACTTTGAGCGGAACATTAATTGACGTTGCCATCTGAAGCCTAAAATCATCGGAAAAAATATATCAATAGAGACAAAGAATTTTTGTTAACAAAAGATTTTAAATCTCTATCAGAATTCCAAGTTGATCCGAATAAGTAAAACTATATAATTTAAGTTGTTTTCATTTTAAATTTGTAATTGTTAATGATATTTGTATATAATACATATAGAACAAAAAAATATATATACAAAAAAATATATATATGTATAAACTGCCAGTAAGGGCTATTGCTATTGTAACATAATGCTTACCTTTTCTTAAAACTTGATCGCCTTTATGCCTGTCATTGTCGATTACAACAAATCCATCAGTCAGGCTTGTATCTGATTTGCTCGGCCTTATAGAGTGTTCATCTGGGGTAATATTTAGGTATTAGTTTACGGCAACCAAAGCCTTGGCCATTCTTACCCTCATTTGACTTGGGATCACAGCTGCTTTCTTCCGCTTCTACAGTAGCCGATTTCATTTCATGCAGGGACTTTGCTCCCGATAGGGAGCTCTTCCTGTGTTCTCCTTGCAACTCCGCTTTGGCACCTGTCTCTGCTGACTTACTCGATTCACGGCTATGCTGGGATGCTTCTGAGATGCTACTTTCGGAGGCGGATTTGACTATTTCTGTGGAATAGAGATGCAGCCTTAGCCAGGTTATATACTAACGAATAAAATGGATTTATATGTAGAATAATAGCAGCTACCAATTACTTATAAAATCGTAAAGCCGCTGTTATACCAAATAATTAAATACATTTCTGATTTATGGTCACTTGGCTTTGAAATTAAAAATCATTTTGCACAGAGAAAGCTACATGAATTCTCACGAATATTTAGCAATAATTCAATTTAAAGTATGTAAATAATGCAGACATGGTATAAACCTACCCAACTCTTCCTCTGATTGGGAAAGGCTTTTTATTTGTTTAATGAGGCTCATTTTGTCGTCCTTAGAATCCTTGCCATCCGAAGAGGCAGTGTCTGGTTTGTCCTGCGAAGACACCTCCATTCCTCTCTTCAACTTGCGATCAATGGGCACCTGTGTGTGCTCCAAAGACCACATCTGCAAGAATGCAAGCCTCGGATTATTATATTTATTGCTAGGCTCTGTATACTTACCCTCACTACACCATCGGTAGATCCAGTGATGACCACATTTTGCTGGTCCCACTCGCGGGTCTGGGAGAAGGCCACACAAAGGATCTGCTGCATGCGATCCGCACTGCCCACACACGTGTTCACCATAGCCAAGGCGTCGCCATTGATGGACCACACGTGCAGCCAGGTGGCCGAGCAGGTGGCAATGTCTCCGGTCAGCTCGTTGATGGCCACGGCAGCCACCACTCCAGCATGTCCTCGCAGCTGGCGCACAAAAGTGAACCGGGTCATATCCCAGACGATGGCAGTGCCATCCCGGGATCCGGACACGATCACATTGTAGGCAGCGCTGGCGGCCAGACAGGTCACGGCTTCGGTGTGGCCGTGCAGCGAGTGCTTGACGGCGAGGCTCTTGCGATTTGCGTCAAACTTCCAGATGGTCACCACCGAGCTCGTTCCGGCCGTGACAATCATCTTGGCGTTGGGGCAGGCACAGGTCAGGATCTCGCCGGAGTTCTGTGCCGATGCCTCAGATACGAAGGACGCCCGATCCGTGTCGTAGAGTCCCACGCGAAGAGAGTGGTCGGCGAAGCCCCAGGCTATGTACTTCGTGTAAGAGGGCGGCATCATAACCTTGTTCTGCTCCACAGCAAACACAGTCTTATCGGGCTGCAAGATTTGACCGACGGGACCTTTCAGCTCCTTGATGGGCTGAAGACTGGGCTTCAGGTTGTCCAGGTTGTGGAAGAACAGTCGGTCGGTTTGCAGCACGGTGCTGTTGCCCTGAATCAGAGCTGTGGGATCGATTAACGCCGAGTGCCGCGAGCTGCCCATCTTTTTAGCAGGATGCGCCTTTTTAAACAGCTGCTTTGGAATCTGGCCAAAGTTGTTAATGAAGCCAATGGTGGCATTCTTTTTGAGTGGATCGTCAATGCTGCGACGAAAGAATGCAACGGAATCAGAAAAAAAACATTTTTCGTAGTTCGTTTTGTATTTACTTGTAGATATCCACGTTTCCCTCGTAAAAGAGATGGTGGAACACGTTAACGGCATCGACGGCAGCCGGTCCTTGTTGCTTGCAGCCAAAGATTAGGTCGATCCACTGCAAGTAAAATCGTTGAATGACCCCAAATAGTAAAAAAAGAACAATCTACGCTTACCAGATGTAAGTGCTGGCTGACATAGTCACACTCCAGAGCGCTTCTGTGCAGCCGGATGAACTCCCTGGGATCGTGCTTGGCCCACGGCGGCAGGATAACGTGGTTGAGGGTCTCCCCGTTCTGCTTGGTACCCAGGTCGAAGCTGTTAAAGTTGCTGAGGAACTCGGGCAGGTAGAAGAACTCCGGGATTAGCTCCTTGACATCGGCCATGTTTAGTTTGGAGGCAGAGAGCCAGGCCTCCTTGATGCTGTGAAACATGCGGTCCGCTAGGTCGAAGTGTCCGCCCTGCAGCTTCAGGAACGGCTGCGTAAAAGGCTCAAGCCGCACCAGATACGAGCATACGATCATCGCGGAGCTGTAGTGGGTGCCGTAGTGGTAAGGGGGCGTCTCGCCGTGCGGATCGTCCCACTCCTTGAAGCGTTTCTGGAACTGTTCCAGACGCTCCTCCGCTTGGCCGCCCATGGGGCGCGAAAAGTCTCGGAAGGTCTTGGGATTGGTCAGGTCCAGCTCCTCTGAATCGTAGTCGGCCAGGATCCAGGGGAAAACGGGATACTGCATCAGGTCGTTGTAGCTGCGCCCAGCCAGAGTGTTCAGGTGCATAAGGTACTGAAAGTTCGAAATCTCGCCACGCACCCAGCGCTGGGTTACCGAGGTCTCGCCGATCAGGCCGCTGAAGATGCCCGCAGTCTGCTCCACGCTGGCCGTGCGCTTTTGTCCCGCCACGGATTGCTGCGCGTTGTCATTCAGGGCAGTGGCCAGAGCCAGGAAACGCTGGTTCACCTTGTTGCGCACTTTTCGCGGAAAGCTCAGCAGATAGTTGCGTCCATCTTCAGAGAATATTTCAAGTGCGATGGGCTGAAGCAGGTATCGCCGCTTGTGCACCTCGCGAATCTCCTCGTAGGCGAACTTCGAACACTGCCTCAGCTTGTGGCTTACGGCTCGTGAGGTTGTCGAAGAGGTTCCCCCGGAGTTGGGAATGATAGGCTCGTAAGCTCCTGGCGGCAGCGTGTCTATGTCGCGAATCTCGCGGTTTTTCAGCAGCGTAAACCCATCCACAATGTAACAGTGCTCCTTGCCAAACAGCAAAAGCCCTTCGAACGTGTCCAATCCCTGGACTCTTGCACATCGGAACATAAAGCTGATCTTCTCTTGCTCCTCAAGTAAGCGCAAAAAGGTCGTCTCATTGTCGCTGTTCATCGAGGTGTCCTCCTCCTCCTCGTCGTCCTCCGGGGCATTGCCGTCCACTGACTCCTGCGGATAGGGAGCCGACCCATGGCCCACGAGCTTCGGTAAGGCCAGGGGCGGTGGCGTGGAAGTGGAGCTGCTGGCCTCTAGGCGGTGGGAGTGCACTGCTTCCAGAGAACTCTGCTGATGAATCACATGCTGTTCCGCCGCCTCGGCCAGGATGCGGGGCTGCTGCGGACCGTGCAGCGCGTACGTCTTACTGTCCAGGCTGGACGCCACTTTGTACTTCAGCTGGCGGTTGTCGGCTAATTCCAGCTCCGGTCGGTATGGGTAGTGCAGGTAAAACAGATCGTTGCGCATCGTCTTCTTGCGCATCCGGTGGGGTCCCTCGGTGGTATCCAGAATCCACTTATCCAGTGAGCAGCTGCCGGTGGTCTAAGTGAGTTAAAAAAATTAACATTAAATAGGGTTTGAAGTGAGGTGGGGTTCCAGGCTTACCTGAAGATCCATAGTGGGACAAGAAGGTCCCCACAGTCCCCGCTCACGGGTAAGCTCCGTTTCCGACTGCACCCAGTCCTGGTAAACGTAGCGCTGCGTGTGCAGCAGCATCTGCTGGTACTGCTTGGCGCGCAGGTCCAACAGATCCTTTATCAGCTGCACATGGATTGCAGTTGACTCGTAGGCGGCCTCGCGGCTTAGTGTTGACTTGGTTCGTACCAGCTCCTCCTTCTTGGTTTTGGTGCGGCTGGTCAGGCGGGAAAGTCCGCCGGTTACCTTTTGAATTTTCGACTGGATCTGCGTGTGCAGCTCCCAGGGGGCGCGGTAGGTGGCCTTGCGTTCCGCCTCCACATAGTTGAACCACAGCTTAGAAGCCAGCTCCATCACCAGTTCACGCGTGGTCTGCAGGTCAGGTGCCTTGGAGTTGGGCGGTGGGGCCGTAAGGGAGACCTTGAAAACTTCCTCGATGGCAGGCTTCTTGCACACGTACAGCTCCTCCCAAACCCGAAAGGCAGCGCCAACGATTAGGTTCCGACCTTGCAGCTGATTGAGGTCCTCATCTTTGGGCTCTGTCGTCTCCGTCTGCGGATTAACGTGCCAGGTGGTGTTTCGGCTGGTGGCCGGCTCCAGGATGATTTTCATGTCGGCTGTCAGCTGCAGCAGGCAGTAGGTGAGGCATCCAATGAACTCCAGCTCGTGGTTGCCCGCTCCGAAAATGAGCAGGCGGTGCTGTATGATCTTGTGCAGTGCCTCAAGCACACTCATTTGGTCAGCCCGCGAGTCGTCGGTGGGGCGGGAGAGCAAAAAGAGGATGCTGCGGTTCAGCGAGTGGTGCAGATGCTCCAGCGACAACGACGAGGAGCGCCTTTTGGCCTGAACTATAAGTTTGATCACGAAGTCGAAAATGTCGTGGGGGTTACGGGCGAGGCAGCCCTGCCACAGCTTGTCCACGATGCGGGCGGTTAGGTAAAAAACGTTCGGAGCGATGTGCTGCATCTGGCTTTGCAGTAGAGGTACCAAGGGCAGGGCAGCCTGTTCGCCTACAAGAACGTCGGCGGCCAGCAGGTGATCCATTAGCGCAATGATTATCTGCGTCTGGTACTGAACCTGTAGAGGCAGTTCCGCCGAGTCCGGCGCTGCATCCAGCACAAGGTCGATTACCGGCGCTAGCTTGCCCTGCATGTTCAGGCCAAGGGAGTCCACCACGATTACGCGCAGGAAGTCAATGATGCAGTTGCACACCGGATGAGTGGTTAGCTTGGGCTGTTGGGCTCCATGCAGGGACTCCGGTGGTGGCAACGCAAAGCTGCTCCCGGCATCGTCCGTCGGGGTTGATGCTCCACTGTTCGGCTCTGATCCCGGATTACGAGTCGCCAATGGAAAGAGCACGGCCACGAGGGAGGTGACTACGTCGCCGGCCATCATTACTGGCGCAAAGTCGCTGAGGTTCTGGTACAGGCTGAAAAGCAGTTGGATGATGGTTTCCGGGTGGCTGTGCAACCAAGGGGCGCACTCGCCCCCGTGAACGATTCCGCGCACCATGGCCAAGAGGACGCACACAGCCTCGGGGCAAACATTAAGCTTGGGCAACTGCGTGTTGGCGGAGACGGGAGCGCCCCAGAGGAACGACCACACTCGGTCAAGGTCGAACTTAGTGTGCTCGGTAGCTAGCACTTTTACAGGCTGCCCCATGATCAAGGCCGTTATTAAAAAGTACAGCTCCGGGACATCCAGGTGGTGATGCATAAGCCATTCCAGGAGCTGGAAACCTGAAACACGGTCAAAAAGTACACATCACAAAAAGGTATTTAATATGGTAAACAAATGTTTATTTATTGTTATGTTTTTATTAAAAAAATGGAACGAGATTACCCAGTATGTCAAAATTCAATTGCGACCAGAATTTGAAAATTGACCCTGCGATTTATGTTGTTGAAATCATTTACTAAATTGAAAGCTTTTCTCCACAAAATGTTAAATAATAAATATTGAAATTAATATCAAAATTTTAATTTTAAGGGCTACACCACCCTCAAGGAACGCAAATGTATTTCGGTCTGAATCTAGTTATATGCTCACCTGGTATATTCAAGGCCGCCGCTCGCACCTCGCCTGCGATCTGTGTGGGCAGATGCTGTATGGTGTTCTGTGGGGTGGCTACAATCACTGTGCCAGTGCCGTTGGTCGGGCGCTGGTTCAGCTGTTGGGCACCTAAGCCTAGCATCTTCCGTTGGGAAACCATCTCCGTGAAGCGAAGGTAGCCGCCGTTGTGGGTGGCGTCCCTGAAGCGCACAAGGAAACTTTCGTTGGCACAGACCACGACCAAGATGCGCACCGCGATGATGACGGTGGTAAAGTGGACGTGGGGCTGCATGAAGAGGAGCAACCAGTCCATGCCCAGGGTCTTGGAAATGTCGTCGCAGATAACATAGTTCACGGTGTTTCGGGGCGTGAAAAGAAGTCCGTGGAGCAGGGAGAGACAGCGATTACGCAGATAGATGTTCTGGGCCACACCTCCATCCTGGTCTTCACTTGGGTTCTTCATACTGGGTAAAAGCACAGCCCGCTCCTGTCCTCCATTATGAGCCTGTGGTAGCTTGGCCGCAACATACTGGCCAAAAAGCAACAGGTCGGTGTGCCTCGGCTGCCCACCCAGTAGAGTCTCCAGCAGACTGAAGAGGATTTCCCGTGTCGAGTGGTCTTGGATTTGAGTGATGATGTGCAGCAGTTTGACCAGGAGCTGCAGGTCCCGCATTATCTTCACGTTCTGCTTTTTGTCGCTGGACTCTACCACTAACTCAAGCAGATGCTCCAGCAGGGAGCGGAGTAGTCCGTTCGGTGCGTTATGCCAGATCTCCAGGTCACACAGTAGGTCCTGGAAAGCCGTCACATTCGGAATGGCCGACATGTCTTGTCCGCTGCTCACCGTTCCCACCAGACCGAAGGTCAGGTGCAGAATGTGCGAGTTCAGTAGATGTTTTTTCTTCTTAAAAAACATGCCCAACGTCTGGTAGCAACGTTTCCTGTCCATCTCTGCTTGGGCAGCACGATTGCTCCGCACCACGCAGGTCAGCGCCTTGACTCCTGCATATAGGGACTCCACGTCTTGAGCCATGGCAATGATGCCGAGGAGCACGTTGCAGCCGCCCACAGTGTCGATCATGGCCGAGACGGGATGTGGGCTGAACACTCTTACTCCCAGGTAACCCACAACCACGCCGCCTAGGGAGCGACCAGCTCCTGCCAGGTGCCCAGCAGAGTTGTGCAAAATTCTGGAAGAGCAGGTTTATCAGGGTTGTTATCGAGTTCGTTTCTTCATCGTTTCACTTACTTTATGGGCGTGGCATTCTCATGTGAGTTCATGTTCAACTGCTTGGCGATGCTCTTGTTATCCGCCCGGCTGTACACCTTCCGGATCTTCACCAGCGTCAACTTGGAAACCGCTTTAGCGTTAAGACCCAGGAGGACGCGGTCCTCGGGCACCAGGGGTGCCAACGACTCCGCCTGCTTGTTTAGCTGCGGAGCTTGGAAGCGAGCCCATGTAGTGGGGTCCCAGTTGGTATATGGTCTGAACAGTCTGCTGCGTGAGCACATCTTCGATAAGGTGGCACACGCCCTGCTTCCAACAGAGTCGGGAGTAGCGACGCCAGATTGGGGGAGTACCGATGTATCCGAAAATCTGAGTGGCCGACGTGAGGCTGGCGTTGCCTGCTGCCGGGTGCTGGGCGATGTAGTGCAACTTTTGCGTGTGCATAGGCACTCCGTCCAAGTAAAGGAACAAACTCGAGTTCTTCAGCACGGCTCTGTTCAGCACGACGACTAGGTTATGCCACTGGCCCTCGTGCAGGAGATCGGGACACCATATGCGGGCAATGCCGTCATCCGATCCTTCGGGCTCCCAGTCACCAATACCTAGAAAGTAATCTTTTTTTTAATGCGATCATAAACAAAGTTTAAAGCATAATTTATTTTAAAAGAAAATGGCTAGACATCAATGTGTTTTTTAGGTTTTTTGCATTTTTAGGTTACTTTGCATTGCAATTACACTATTATTATCTAAGGTCTAAATTTTCATCTAAGTGGTTAACAAAGACGAGTAAAGTTTGAGGAAACCAATACCCTTACTTACTTTTTCTTGGAGTGACCAGGGTCTCCTGGGTAGATACAACAATAGCCTTGTCCCGCGCCGACAGCAAAATTGACAAGCAAGCCAGGTTCTCCTCTCGGGGATTGTGAATAGTCCGCACCAGGGTAAGAAGCCGGACGCAGTGCGGGTCCGTCTTGGGGTCTGAGAACTTTTCTACGCAAAACCAGGTGGAGTACGTGAGCCCTGTTTGAGGCGGAAAGATGCGATCGCCGGCTCCGATGCCTCCGATGGTGTTGGCGTCGATGGTTCCGCCGGCGGTGGCAGTTGCCTGAGGCGCCAGTGAGGGCAGGTAGAGGCAGCCGAAGCCCTCGGCAGACATGTCGAGCTCCACGAAGGGGGGCAGCGTGCTTGATCCATGAGCTCGAAAATCACGCGGCGTTGTCATGGACACCAGAGTCTTTATCCGGGTCAGCGGGACCGGTCCGCCGAGCTTGTAAGGCTGCTGGAGATCTATATCCGCACAACAGAGCGGGTCGCCCAAGCGCAGGAACTGGCGCAGCTCAGTGGGCTGCAGCGCCTGGGCAGCCAGCCGTTCCAGGATGTACTGCATGGGCACGTGCAGCGGATGCGATTCTTCCGCCAGAGCTCTCCGCGTCAGCTTGAGCAGCTTCTCGGCCAGTCCGTGCTCGCACATGATCTGCTGGTTGCGTTCGTTGCGCACCAGGGACTTGATGACTTCGCTGAGGTACACCTGCAGCTGCACGGCCTGCAGAGGAGCTGAGTCGTGTTCCACAGCGGGCAGGAGCTGTAGCATGCAGATCACCACACCCGGGTGGACTATCCGCGGCTCGGGACTGGGCTGCGTGAGATTCAGCTGGCTGGGGTGCACCGGTGCCGCCAGCTCCTTGCTTGGTGATCGCAAAAGCGCTGGAGGGTCGCTGACAAGCGTTATCACGCCGCTCAGATTTGGTACCTCAAAATTGTCCAGCGCAATACTGTAGAGCAGCCTAAATACGACGCAGACGTAGGACAATGGATAGGGAACGTCTTCAGAGAATCTAAAGGAACAAAACATATATTGAAATATGTTAATAATAGTAAAATTTCATTTCATTTGCGGAATATTAGTTCACTTTAACTTATACTTTAAGAAGGCCTGTAATAGACACGCTACACTCTACTAGCCTGGTATAAAACGCACCAAAGTCGCTACGCCGGCTAATAAAGTTGTTGTTGTTATTAGTGAGTTTGCATTTAGATGACAATATCCTATAGTTATAACCTATCTGATACCTTGAACTTTTTTCCCGCAGTTATAATAAATGAAATCGATAAACTATTAAATTAATCGGTAAGGCAATATTTAAATAGAAGTTTATTCAAATTCGTAAGACTATTTCTTTGAGGTGCCATATATCTGGTTTTCTTTGTGAAAATCATAACAATCCAACAAAATCATTTTCAAGATCTGAAACGGTTGGGAAAAAAATGGACTTGCTTACCTGACGCTCAGAATATCTCCGCTGAAGATTTCATGGTAATACTTTAGCAGCGGTTGCTGCGGCTCGTGCACGCCTGAAAAGTCCTGCAAAACAGAGGACTTTCCAAAGCACCCTAGCAGCCGAAGAGTATCACACAATGAGCTGCTGCTAATCTCCTGGTGAAAGAACTTGGCGTTCGCCGGCTCAAATCGCATGGCTGTGGCCAAGGTCTGAAAGACGATTTGCAGTAGCAAAATGAGATCCTGTTGTGGAATGTCCGGTTGCGGCTGGGCCATACTGCCGTCTAGAGACACGAACACACTGGTGACGTAAACGAAGCCGCCCACTTTGCGGAAGACGGTCCGAGTGCGGTGCGAGTCCTTTAGGCATCCGAGCAGCATGTTGAGTATCTGGATCTTGAACTCCACCTGCAACGGGCTGACGCTGTGCATCAGGGAGAGTATGTGCAGCATGTCGTCGTCTCCGCCGGCGGAGAGAATCAGCTCTCTCACAATTCCGAGAGCCTGTGGTCTACAGTGTTTGAACTTCACTAGCTCGTGGACGCTTTTTGCGCCACTGTACTCGCGAAAGAGCTGGGCATTGCTGCTGGCCCCACCGCCAAGGAGCATTGTAAGCGCCTCCAGGACATATTTGCCCATCGTGTCTAGCAGAGTTTCCTCCGTGTCCCCTTCCAGCTCGACCACTACTGACTCGTCGCCCTTGGTAATCTGCAGCACGTGGGCTGCGTATCGAGTAAGGCAACCGACGAAGATTTCCAGAATACCCACTTCGCGGTAGACGTCTTTGAAGACAGTGTTATGGCGCAGTATGTTCAGCAGGGTCTTCAGACATAGAATGCTGCAGGGCGTTGATTGGTTGTGCTTGAGTAGAAGCGAAAGGCTGATCAGCTCCTTGCACGGGACGAAGTTAAGCTGGAAGACGATGAACTCCAGAAGGTCGTAGAATTTTTCCTGGATTTGCGGGCTTTTTAAGTGGATTCGCTCCGCGAACGAGCTAAGGGTATGCTCCGATTCTAGGATGAAGTAGTTGGCGTTTTCCGAGTGGTACACCCGCGAAATAGCGTCCAGGATGGTGCAGCAGAGAGCCGGCGTCGTAGACTTGAGGAATACGTTTTGTAGCACCTGGAAGGCGTACACATTTCGCACGCAGGTCTCTCGAGAGGTGGCCTGCGGGAGCTGGAAGTTCTGCAGCTTAAAAGCCGTGTTGAACTGCGAAGCTGGCGGTCGAAGCTCGTAAAAACCACACATGCACAACGAAGAGATCATCAGAACCAGGTTGCGAATAGCCGCTTGAATCTCCAGAGATTGGCTGCGGTTGTTGTCAAACCTTGAAATAAATATTGCTTAAGAGGAGCTTAAGTTGGCAGGTTATTCTCTTACTTGAGAAGAAAATCGCTTAGAAACACGTAACCCTGCGAGGCGCGAAAATCATCCATTAATATCTGCGAAACCTGGCTAGAGTCCTTGAGAAAACAGAACACGGTGACGAACATTTCGACGATTTCCAATGGATTTCCAAACGTCAGGCGTTGCATATTGTCTACACAAAGAGCCATGCAGCCCTTGGCTAAAATAATTGTAACAGGATTAAATATGAAATTGCATTGATATTCGATCTAAATATATATATTGATATATATCGCTGTTGTTTTTTTTATGAGATGTTTTCTAAACATTTAGTTATTAGTTACTTTTTGTCTGTTCGAATGAAAAAATCTTTTATTTTTATAGCGAACATTCAACTTTATACTTACAATGTATGTAGCTTACGACGGCATCGGTAAGACCGTTTCTTGATATCGTGGTCAGGATTTCAGCAGCGTTCTTGCGCCACACAATATTGTGAATGGGACACGGCGATGTGATGGCCGAAAATAGCAGTGTCAAGTCGTCCATGCGGGCAAGTTCCTCGGCGGGATAGGGGTAGGAGCAAAGCTTGACCAGCAGCTGCACAAACACCTTCTGCAGGAGAGTGCGTCTTTCGTGGGCGTTAAACTCACTCACTGCCCCTCCGTCTACAGTTGGCTCATCATCCTCGACTATTGGCAGATCGAAGAACAAATACAGGCACTTCACAAGAGTCGAGGGAACCGCGGCGGCAGTCATTACCTGTAATCGCAAGAAAAATATACCTTTAAAGTGGCTATGATATATAATAAAGCTAGTGCTGTTTTTTTTATCAATATACCAAGATTTTTTCTTAAACATATTAATATTAAAAAAAATTCTATCTTATGTGTTAGTTAAGTATTCAAAAACTTCCTCTATTCTACATGTCAATAATAAAAACTAATATAATTTTTTTGAAAGAATTCCTTTCTAAATTTCATTTACAAATTGTGTTTTTATGACAACTATGTACCTGTAATTTATTACTATAAATTACAAGAGTGTAAGATTAATAACATTGTGGTTTTAAACATTGTGTTGTCAGGTCAAGTTGGTTTATTTTAGGCTTTTTCTGAGTCACAATACTTTAGAACCAAAACAAAATCCTACATATTGTCATATTACAAACAACATTTATTCTGTGAAATGAACCAGGTTTGGGTGTTCTTTAAGCTAATTGAGGTTGTGCTGGGCATTATGTGCATGTTTTTTCACATGCGGGGCTCATCGTACTGGCCCGAGCGAATTCCGCACATCATCCTGTACTGTGCCACGTTTCTGTCCTTCGCAGTGCTCGCAGCATTGGGAGCTTTTCGACTGATGCTGACCCGGAGTTCCGTGCTCTCCTCGCAGCTCCTGCTCACGCTGAGCGCCGCGATCGCTCACTACTTGTGCGGCGTGCTGATAATGCGGACCGCGATGCTGGACCCGCACTTGACTGCTATGAACTCCAGCATCGAGTACCTGGAGCACCCGCACTTCGCACACTGCAAGCAGCAAAGCATTGCTGCGCTGATCACAGGCACCATGTACCTGATGCACATGTTCCATGTGTTCGACCTGCTGATGCGGATGGAGCCGGGGGACTGGCGGCGCCAGGCGACAGGACGAATGGTCTCCGTGAAATTCGAAGCCACAGCGGGCCGTACCGCCGGTTTGTTTGTACTTTCCAAGCCGGTGGACGACCTTCTGTGCCGCTGCTGCAAATGCTACTTCAAGTTGGCCCACTCCCAGCCACTGCGCTTCCGGCTGAACGCCGATGTGGATCAGGTGAACTTCGTGGCTCGCATGTGGCAGATCTTGGAGGATGCACGGATCAAGTTCTTCACCCTGCATCATGTCGAGAGCGACGAAAGCTTTCTGTCCACGCCGACGATAACAAGTGACTCTGAAATTTTGCCAGTCACTTCCGAGTACGGGGCTTCAATGGAGGAGGGGGATAAAGGTCTTCGAGCATCATCCATCTGGCGTGGCCCCAGTGATTCTTCTAGCATATGGGCCCAGATCGAGGACAGAAGCACATTTCACGTCGCTTCAAACAGGTCGAGTTTGAGCAGTGAAGCCACTATGAAGCCGGCGCAGATGGATCGCAAGATCAACCGGCGGATATCTGGTTGGGCAGACAACGACAGAAGGGAGAAGTCTGAGATCCTGCTAGTGGAGCAGGGGTCGAGCTATTCCCGCCTCAGAGCGATGAGCAATGCTGAACTGCTTCAAAAACGCAAATATGAAGAACAAACTAAGGAGGCTGGTGAACAACCACAAAAAGAACCAAAAGCATCAACTCGTAATGCTAATGTTACTGATGAAACCAAGATAAAAGTGGAGGGTGCTTCAAAATTGAACTATTCTTCTGACGACAAAAATGATTTAAAAGAAGTATCTGATGTCAGTTCGAGGACAAAGGATTGAATTAATCAAGGCACGTCGACTCTGCAAGCACCAAGCAAGTAACTTGCTGACTACTTAGATACTTAGTAAATTATTGTTTTAAAATAGCTCCTTTTGAATTAATAGAGTTACTTGTGGGTGTATGATTAGTTTCATTTAATGAGTATACATTTTTGGTCAATCGTCTGCTATTTCTAAACGTACATAGCCAGAAGGATTTAATACCTTTTCAAATATTATTTTTAAGGCTTGATTTAACTCTTCAATTTAACTTACTTGTATAAGGGATACGTCTCCGTTGGCCAGTAGGTTTAGGGTTGCCAGCAGCATCCAGCCGCTGCTCGTTTCCTCAGTGGTTTCCACCTCGAGAAACTTGACGATGGCAATGGAGGCCGCCTCCGTGCTCTGATTTGAGGCTCTCTTGCGGATTTCGCTGACCATGAGACGGGAAACTTGCTGGCAAAAGGCGACCACATCCCAAAACTTTTCGCTCATGTCGTTTGCTGGGCAACTGCTGAATACCTGCAAGATGGGGAGTTAGGGGCGATTTTCACCGACCGAAGCTGTTCACTCACTTTGCAGAACAGCGGCAGCATCTCGTAGAGCTTGTCGTCGCGCTCCTGCTCGCTCAGCGGTTCCCTTGGATGAGTGTACTCGTTGAAGAGCTTCTTAAGCGTGCTGAGGCTCACCAGAACTCGAGCGTCGATCAGGGCCTCCTCTTCGGTCCGTCCGTTTGCCGCGGACGAGGCACCGAGATCCATGGCGGACCTGTTGCCTCCGGGCAAACTGTTGTTGGCGGCCCCAGTGCTTCCGCTGCTGCCACTCCCGCTGCCTGCGGTAGCCGCTCCACGCAGCTTACGCATAACGTTCATCTTTGTATGGATTGGTAAGCAGTGTGATTAGTCTGCAAAACCCAAAAAGAAGTTAATGTCAGCATAAGCTCTTTTATAAGTAAAGCGTTCTTTTCTTAATTTAGAGGTTGGTATTCAAACACATTGTAAGTAATGCCATTACAGCCATTTTCTTTCTCCGATTTATGATTAAGAACATTTTAGAAAGTGTTTTTCTTTGGCTGTAAAAAATTTTGTTTTTTGCCTATCCTGCGGATACAGTTTTTAGACTTCTAGTGCTCTTTGGCACTAAGTGTACAACTAACTGTCCACAGTAATTTAACAAAATCATGACTTTTTCGTTCACGAGTTATATCTCTTTACTTGAGAATGTCACAGATTATAGTATATGAACATATAATACTTATATATACATATATATATTTACTAATATAAAAAATCTGAAAACTTATAATGTAATCCAGTTGTAAAGTACATATGTATATGTATATCTAAGCTATTTGTGTGGGGCATAACACTTCAGCGATTTATTTACACCACACCGAAACTATCACAAACACTTTAATAAAGCTGCTTAAGTCGTTTCTAAATCACATCATTGCACATTGCAAAGAGCGTTATTGCTTGTTTTCGCAGCTATTCTATTTCTGCTGCCGCCGCTTAATTAGCAGTCGCTGGAGGTGAATCACGCAAAAACTGCCATTATTGTATTCCATGCGATTATTTACTTTTCGGGAGTGAATGAACGTACGTTGGCGTTTCACACCAGCACAACTGGGGGCGACAACAGCAACAGCAACAAAAAAACAACTGTATAGTATTTACATTGGCAGCTAAAATTTATGTTTATGAGCGACACAGCTGTTCGAGGTTTACTTATTGCGCACTTGTTTGTTTACTTCAACTCCTTTTTGGAGTGGTCTTTTGGCTTCACCGTCTCTTTTCGGCAAACGCATTTGGGGCAGTTAACGGCCGCTCTGTTGCTGCTTTTGCAGGCTTCGTTTAGCTCACTCTTTCGTAGTCGCTCTTTGTTTTGCTCCAGTCAATCGCGATTCCACTACAATTTTATTGATTTTTCTTTCTCTCTCGCGATGATTCGCTCTCGCTCTTTCTGCCACCCGCCTCCTTCCATTTACAGCAGACAGGTCGAAGTTGAAAATTTTCACAGGCAGTTTTTTCAATTGTTCGATGTATTCACCACTTACTTTTGTTTACCATCGAAAGCATTTTGCTTAGTGTGTAAGTTTGCACTAATTTTGGCTCTTAATTCGCAGGTTTTACATTTTGTTTCTTGGTCGAAAAATTGACAAGATTTTTTCTCCAGTTAGACTCTATCCTCTCTTTCATGCAGTGTTGGAAAGCGTCGTCGTCGAACCAGCTGTTTAGAATTTCTCACTACCTCCACCAGTGTTGTTAACTTGAAGTCCCTAGGGTTGCATTTGGATATTAAATCGGCGGTTTATTTTAATGTCAACAAAACTGATAACAGTGATGTTGCGCCCATTACATATAGGCGTTAATTGAGCATACGATTCTAAATCCGAGGTAGAAAATGTTATTTCTGAAATGTAATGCAGCCACGAGGTCGTATAATATTAATTATATGATTACTGCTTTATACATTTTTTATACACATTTTTTTTACTTACTGGGTTACTTACATTTTTCCACAAATAAGAAGGGCCATAGAGCCATTGCAACAGTTTCCTCTACTGCATGGTAGAATTATACAAGTTAGTGTCGTCCATGGTACAATTATACTTATTACTTATTATATCATGCTCTACTGTTTGTACATGTTGCCTTCCACAGGTTAGCCAGGTTAGCTTATTATAAGCTAGTTCTAGCATATTTGAAACTAGAAAAGCTTGTAAAATTTTCATCTTGCTTATAACTTAAAATATAGCTTATTTTAAAATTCATTTAGCTAGTTTTATATGTATTTGCGACATCAACGGTTTGTTTTGAAAGAAAAAAAGGCTCTATTGCATGAAAATATCGGAGCTTATTCTTTTTTTCCCGATGGTTATGTCCATTTCATATGATCGTGAATTTATGTTTAATCAATATGTTGGCTGATCAATCATTTGGAGTTGTGAGTTTAAATTAGGCGTTTGCTAAAAAGCCGAAAGTGAAAAAATACGTCATGCTTATAAAAAAAAATGCACTTTTGTTTGCTTGCTTTTTAGCACTTTTTTTTTTTAATTTTAGCTTCATCTAGCTTATTTTTTTCAAAAATCTAGCCTATAAGGGCGATCAAAACCTGGCAACACTGTTAACACGGGCTATTGCCACTCATTACACTGTGCGACAAAAAAATGTTTAAGTTGATTTTTTCTTATTTTTCAGTTCTACTAACCAAAATAAGAATATAAGTTTGTGGATTTGTTAATATCAATAGCCAATCAGCTTTTACGCACACTCAAATGTCCCAAAAACGCGCGTTTTTGCATATTTCACAGCCTTATAATCACATATTGGGAAAATATTTTTTCACCGTTATAAGCGTTAATGCAAGTTCAATATCTATTAATTAAAATGTACTAAGCAAATATACCGTTAGGCTTTTATTACAATGCTTTAAAAAATGGAACTTGTTACGCGAGCATACCTCTGAAAAATCAAAAAAAAAAATAAGGAAACAAATTCACTTTTAAAAAAAATAATAGTTTATTGGAAGTAAAAAAAAATTATATTTTGTGTTAATTATTTTCATAATAATAATTTCATACAATTTACCATGAAAAAAGAAATCGTATCACTTAAAATGTGGCATAAATATTTTTGTGCATAATTTATGCACCTTAACAGAAAACAATCAAAAAAGTAACTTAAACAAACATATTGTTAAATTTTGTCGCACAGTGTTATTGCTGGATCTCTTAGGAGTTCAGTTGAAGAGTATAAAAATCAAAATAGTTTTTTGGTATAAATATGGCGAAAAATTATAAATGGTATTTTTTTCTAAATGATTATATTAGTTGTATTATTATATAAGTTTTATTATAGGCCGAGCAATAATTGATAAGATCGAAAAAGTACGAAAATAAAATAAAATTGAATTTCCGTACCGTAGTTTGTTTAAAGTATTGCAACGCAGACATTTCAGAACTGACCTCTATTTGTTGGATTTTCTTTTTCTCGCAAACTGGTTTACTTACTGACCGACAACTCTTATTTTGTACTGCATACTTTCGGGCAAGGACTAATCGCTAACACAATAAGATGAATAATTAGCTATAGCAATATTTAAATATTACCGAAGAAAGTTATTTTTAAACTTTCAGAATACTTGTGTAGAAAAGAATTTTTTGGCATTTTGCACATTTAAATTGAAATATAATGTAAGTCATGTGTTATTTTGCTGTTCACAAAGTTGTGTTTGTGATAATAAAACTAATTTTCATTGTATAATTACAGAGTGGTAAATAGTATATAGTATGTAGTTCCGTCTGGCACAGTGAAATCTTGTCGACCTAGCAGTCTGGGATTCTCGAAATTCCGTTGCATTGGAAAAAGAAAAAGTACGAACCATTATTTATCGTTGCTGCCTTTTCCATTCTAAGTCATATTATTTTGGCTCACAGGTATTGTTAATTTGATATTTCTCTGGGTTGTTCTGATGTAAGTAACTATTAAATCATTAAATTTATACTTCGTTTGATACTGGCTGTAGTTAAACTCGAAACTTTTCTTATCAAAAAAGTTTTACAGAACATACAAAACCTTGTACAAATTCTAACTGTAATGCTAATATGTTCTTTTAGTTATAGTTCTTTTCAGCAAATTCTCATCTTTTTGCGTAAATGGTTTTAATAAGATGCCTTGCCCATGTGGCCTGATATTAACAAATTCTTGCATACATGTGAGAATGAGAATCTTTGTTGAATCTGATTTGGGGTTATTAATATTTGTGTTTGTATTTTCACCCGTTATAATTGTCAGCATCAACAGAGATACATAATTCAGATATGTCAACACAATTATTTGCATATTGATTGAGCACTCAATGCCGAACTTCATGCGTTGATAATGATTCAATTTGGTGATTCATTTAAGGAGGAGCCTACTTGGTCCACTTGGATCGTATTGACAAGGCAATTAAATGCAGCGCACGTCCAACCGTTCCAATTTCAGAACACTCTAAGCTAATATCCTCTGCCTCAAATTTAAATGCAGATTAAATTCAGCGTTTGAATCAATTAGGGGTGCGAAGGAAAAGGCGTGTCGTGCTAAATATTTACCCAGCTGTCTGGACTCCGGGGAGAATTATCCTGATGTCCGACTGTCTCGCTCCCCAAAAGTAGTTTGCCTTTGGGCGTTGGCCCCGCCACGCCTTTTCGTGACCCCATAGACCGGTTGCGTGACTCTCGTATCCACCCGCTGCCATATTCCTTATTTTTCCAGCTAGCCACGGCTCCCTAATGCTTATTTATATGGGAAAGCATTTGGGATTGGCACTCCTGGCTGCACACCTAGCCAGGTACTTTGCGCACTTTCCTGTCTGCCACCCAAAGAGATTTCGGGGAAGGGTTGAGGCGAGAACTGCGTCTGCGGCAATATTCTAATGGGTTTTTCGTTTCAGCTATAAATAGGCGTCTAACAACTGACAAGAACTGAAACAATATTTCGGATACTAAGAAGGGGTGTCCCGACAATCCGCCACAAGGTAGATTAATGGTGGAGCACTGTAAAAACAAAGGACCACATTTCGGAAATTGCCACAAAGCACCCAACAGGGAACTTTTAATTTTAGAGTTAAGGCTTGACTTTGCAGACGGTTTCGGAAACCACGATTTCCCTAGGCTCCTCAGCTTGGAATTGAAACTTCTTAATTACTGCATTAAGAGAGAACAAACACAATAAGCAAGATAGCATTGTAGACAAATCCAATTCACTAGATAAGATTTCATCAGATTATATTATATTACATCAGATGCCCATGAGCTTATAAAGTAAGTACTTCATAAAACGTTAATGAAAACGGATTTGATGAAGCCTAAAGAACAAAAATACAAAACACCTTTTCAACCGCTATATGCCTTATTGAACCGGCAATAACTTGGCTAGCGCATTTTATTATTTTTTTATGAGTACGATGGATTTACACCAGCACCCTCTTTTGGTTCTAATGGAAAACCCTTTTTAAAGGGGATTTAAGGGGACTCACAACTCAAGTATGTATATACGTACTACCTTCCTATAGTCTTGTGTGCTTTGTCAACCTTACCACCGCTAAGTTCCCAAGCCTTTCCTGCGATGGCGCCTTTCGGAAAATTTAAAAGTGTAACCCCAACAATCATTTTCGCAGCATTCATGGGGGACTCATTAGGCGGGGGCTTCCCCCTTTTTTTGTTACGGATAACTTTTATTTCTCATTTCAGCGTCTCCCCCTTTCATCACTTTGCTGTTGTTGACAATGAGCGAAGCATTTGCGTATCGAAATTGGCAGGACCCAGGCCATCGGGCTGAGGATAAGGCTTTTTGGTCCTCCGCTCCCGAAAGACATGAATATTCATTCTTCGCAACGCGGGTCCCAATCGAAAAAGGAAGATGCTTCAGGTTGCAGGGGCTTTTGGGATTAACATAAAATTTCATTTGATTGTGTTTTGGTGAAGATTTTTATGGGATATAAGGGATTTTATATGGCAGCTAACTTGTCTGGGATCCGATACACGACGCCTAGTGAAATCTCAACGGGCCATAAGATTGATGGGAATTGTTTTTATTGTGGACAAGGGTGAGCCGATTTCATCGCGTGGATTCATGGATGAACTAAGTTTATTGGGTGTTGATGTGTTAAATTTTAAGTTAAATAACTGCCAGCTGATTTAAAATTCATTTAATTGCGGCAGAGCACCACGATAACTAAGCAGAACCTTTTTTAATTCATGGATACAAATAATTGAAGGTATTTATATTTGAGCAATTGAAATCCAACAATTTGGTTTTATGAAGCTAAGACTTTCTGCGTTTTATTTTTCCGAATTTTATGCATATTGGGAACGGTCATGAAAAGTGGAATAAGTGCAGAGCCCTCAGATCCCGACAGTAAGTGTGTTTTACGATGCAATTCGCCCAAGTTGGTGGTATAATGTAAAAGATTGATGAGCTTTCTCAATGAGCGCCGTCAAGGTCGTTCCACTTTTTTCGATGCCCTGTTCTTGTTGAATCTTTGCTCTGATGAGCGTATTTGCCTGCGAAAATTTCGAGCAAATATGAGTTGGGTAAACAGTAGATAATGTGCTCTGGCTATAAAAAGAGGAATTCTCGCCAGAAGGAGACACAGTTACAGCATTGATTTCATCATGAATCGATTGGTGGCCATCCTCGGTTTTTGCCTGCTCCTCATAGCAGGACACTCGGCAGAGGAGCCACAGGAGACCCAGGTGAGTGGGATTACACATCTAGCGTTGAAGATAAATGATGCATTTTTAATTTGTTCTGGCGCGAATTTAAACGCAGCCAAATAGCTGTTGGTAATATAAAGTTGATTGTGAGAATTAATTAGGTTTAATGCATTTTAGTTAACACTTTATAATCAAGAACATAAATTTAAAGTTTTTCCCTTTTTAAGTAAATACTCCTTCTACAAACTACTCGATTTGTAGGTACTAATGTCGATTATTTGACACTCTTAAAATCATTACCAAACACTCCCTATATGCACTCTTTTTGTCGATGTCAAATCTTAGTCCCAGGAATGGCTTGATACCACCACCCCGCTGGTCGACGAGGGCTTCCCCAGCGGATCACACGAACTCCCCGAGCTGCCCGAGCCAATTGTCGATGGTGAGCTGGTCGAAGCCCAAAAGATCAATTGGCTTCCAGTCTGGGAGGAACAGGAACACCCGAGGTTCGCCCGGGCAGTGGACGAGGTACCCTCCGTCCCGACCCTCACTGGTGGGTCATCGACGCCCAAGGACACTGTGGAGGATGTGCTGGTGCCCAAGGATAACAAGGATTGCCCCAACGACGCCGACCGCGGACTGACCAATCTCATTCGGGTGGCCCGTCCTCTTTTGCCCGCCGCTCGGCTGAGAAACATCCTGGCCAACGCTGCAGAGGACTCCCAGGTTCGGGACCTGATCAAATTGCTTCGCAGCGACGGCCTGAAAGCTCAGGTGCAGCGGCTGAGGGCCACGAAACAGCACCAGGTGCTCCACGACTTCCTCTGCCGGCGGCTCAAGCTGGACCCCGCCTACTACGTGGACTTCGCGCGGCTCTTCCTCGACGTCCACGTCTCGGAGCCGCCAACCAGCAAGCTGCCCAACCGCCGCCCGGGCATCCGAGGCCTGCTCCTGGACCTCCGCGACGCCGTGCCCCGCGCCACCCTGCGGGACATGTACCTGCGGCTCTACTCCTCCGACTCGGAGCTCGCGGCCGCCGTGCGCCTCATCCGCGGCTCCGAGTTCCGGCGGCTGCTGCGCGACCTCCGCTCCCTGAAGGAGTTCCGCACCCTGGCCGACGAGCTGGAGAAGGCTGGAGTGCCGCTGCGTCAGGTGCAGCAGCTGGTGACCAACGCCCTGGGCTGGAGCACCGTCGACTTGGGGGCCGAGACCCTCATTTGGAGTGTTTAGATCGGCTGGGTCTCCTACTTCTAGATCCGATCAATCTGAGTCCTGGGCTCCGAAGAAGTGTCTAGAAATTTTGCTCTTCCATATTTCATGTACGATTTTACAAACAGCGAAGACATTTCTGATTTCATTTCTGATAAAATTTAAGTTATATTTCAATTCGTTTTTAGAGTTCTACAAAATAAATAAACCAATTTTGATTAAACCCAGAATGCAATTTTATACCTAAGTTGTTTAAAACAGATATTTTTTGGGAAACAAATCATTACTCGATAAGGTAAATGGTTTTTGTTTAGCTATTTGTCAACTAATATCATTAATAGCCAACTTGTCGTTAAAGAGATGACTTCTAGGGATCTTTAAGGGCAGGGGACTTTGAATATATTATAACTTATAATTTATAAGTCTTTTGTAATACGTAACTTTGATATGAATAAAGTAGTTTTAAATACAAAGTATATTATTGGCAAACCTGTTTATTTATGTGATCATAACACAAAAGTACAGTAAATAGTATGGGATAATTATAAAAATTCCTTAAGTTGTATAAATATAGATTGATCGTTTCTGAGTTTAATTCGTACTTGTTCAATTTTAAATTCTTTTACCCAATACCGCTCCCCGTTCGGGAGGGGAAGGGTTACACTTCCCCAAGATCAGAGCAACAAAAACAACTGGCGGGACTCATTCTCTGCAGTTACATAAATAAATACACAAAGGCTACCGCACTGATGTGTTTACGTCTTTCGAAGGCGGGCGACAGAAACCACTTCAAATTCGTTCAGGGTCAGAATCATTAGGGTAGATGTGGTAGTCAGTTTCGATGTGTTCTAGTCCGCTGTCGCCGCATGTTGCCACCAATTGCCGGGCGTCGGGTAAACAACAAACAACAAACAACTCGAAAACTGCTGCCACACATGTAGTCGTCTCCGAAGACTTAATCATCCGCGGAGCTGTCAACGCCGCCTTCCAATCGAGGCAACAGTTGCTCCAAACAGATTGCAGACGGATCGGACAGACAGTGGCCAACGGTAGTGGGTATAAATATAAATAAGACTCGGAAAGGGCAAGCCCATCGCCGCTTACGGAAATCTCGTGTTTGATTTACTCCGCCAGAGCTGCGTCAGCAATCGGATACGCAGCCGAACGTGTTGAAATAAATAAACAATTTGCGGGGATAGAAACCAGATCGATAAGCTTGGCCTGGACTCCTATAGAACGCTGCTGGTGGATCAGCCATGTGCTCCAATCGGGCTGAAATCGAGCCACTTTCGTCAGATTGCAAATCGCAACCGATGAGCCGGTGGCGAAAGCGATGGATGGATTGATGGTCAGTCTTGTGCAACGCTTTTGGATAGCTCCACATTGTGTCAATCGGATATTCTAAGCAATATAGGTTTGAGCTTACATGGTTTTATAGTTCTCCTTTATTATAACCAATTCATAAGCACTTATTGATCACCTTACAATCGTTAGTCTTTTTTCGAATTCTCCGTAATTTGGGAGATTTTAGAAAACTCGCCTCTATTAAAAAATCTTGGGAAAGTTTACTTGTAAAACATTTAAATATCATGCGAGATACAATTAATATCATATATATACATAACAAATAAATTATTAAATTAAAAAACAGCATTTTAAATGTTTAACCATCGCGTACATTTGGGTACTTCCGACCTTCGAGAACTGTGTGGCTTTCTTGGAAATATTGACACAACCAAATTTAATTGAATCTTTGTTCTTTTGTTAACTTGAAGGGTTTTTCAACTATTCAGAATATATGGCCGGAAGTAACTAAGCTTGAGTCCCTGCCAACACTTTGAAAAGTAATGAAATTGTGAAACCATGTTCGAAAGGCTCCATTAGCCTTGTGACTTGAGTCGTTTTTTGAGCTTTTGCTCAAGACTTTTTCCTCTGCTGCAAAGTTGAATTGTTGGCTGAGGAGTCGCAAGTTTTTCATGGGTCAATCTCCATGGAAAAGCGTTCCTGAAAAGTCCGACAATTGCTATGCGAAATCACTGCAACAGCAACGTTTCAACCTTTGTTGCAACATTTTCGTTCCGCCATTCAAACTCAATTAGGGAGAGTCGTTCACCTTTTTTGTCAGTCAGTTGTTGTTTGGCTTTTGTTGCTCAGAGCCCTTCCCTGTGGAGCGTACAACAGTCAGAAGCGGGCAGACTCCCACACCAGTCCTCGGTGTTGACGGTTTGTACTCTTAAAAAAACCCCCATTAACTTTAATTTTCTTATATATGGTATATATATAACTAAATTATGCAATCGTAAAGAAAAGCTTACATATTTAAATAAGTTTAAAAATGTCAATTATTGGGACTACTTACCATATGTTTGGATAAACATATATAAGTGACATCAACCAAGTCTGTCAAGTCGTTTCGGCTTGTCCGTCCGTCTGTCCGTATGAACTTCCCTATTTCGTTATGAAGAACTTATCTATTGGTGTCAATGCGGCAGCGAAAGTTTGCTTAACCAAGTGGTTATAGCCCAGGAATGGTCTCGGATTATAAGTTTGTCTATGCAGAGGTGGTATCAGCCCCAACTTTGCTCTCAGTGCAGCAGTATGCTCCACTCCACTTTCAACTTTACGCTCCGTGCCTCGAGTTGTCGTAGTCGTAGTCGCCAGCAATTCCCCCTTTCTGGGCTGCACAATTGCTGGAGCTGCAATTGCTGTTGCAGTTGTTGGCGGAGGGCGGCCATCCGAGCACGCTTGGCCGAGCAGCGCTAATCTCGCAACTGTTTACCCACGCCAACTGTGCGACTGGCTGTCCGTCGGACTGGCCAAGGCCAATAACCCCCTGTACTCCAAATAATCCGCGGCAATCCAACGCACTTACCCCGCACAGCTGACAACGCTCAGATCGGTTTTTGGGGCCAAGAACGGGGGCCAGTTTTGGCCATCAAGCGGCCAAATGATTCGATGGAATCGTATCAAAGCGGAGGGCAGAACAACTCCAGCCACGCCAACGGAAGCCATTAGAGGCTGGCCAAGAACACGGACCGCAGTTTTCTGGGAGGAGGCAGCGGCATTCCAAGCAATTAATAATAATTTCCGCTGCCTCAAACAAAAAGCAACTTGGAGCTTTTTTTCGTTCTCATCGCTGCGCTCATGACTCTATTTTGCAGATGGCTCTGGGAAATGGAAGGGGAGTGGTTGCTGGAACTCAAGTTTATCTTTCCCGAGAACCAAGTCTTAGTCTGTGATGTTTGTCTTCTCTGGGCTTGTCTCTGTTGCTAATTTGGACAATCTGAAGGTTTGAGGCCTCAGATCTTATGCTAAAGTGCTACACTACATGCTTTTCTAGTACATTAAAGTTTGTTCAAACTCTGCTAATCGTTTTTAAACACGCTTACATTTTTTAGATCCGTTTGCTTTGAAGGCCTTGTTATTTAAAGGTCAAGTTTTCCAGTATCTGCCACTACATTTTCTTCTTAATGTCTCTTCAATAACCGAATTCCTGGAGTCAGCTTTCGGGTATTTTAATTATTTAATTACATGGCAGATACCTCGGCTAGCTTTCTTCGGTTTAACAGCAACCCGTATATTAACTACTTAGGACTGGGCGTTACCCATCTCGACAATTCACACTTAATGAGAGGGCACCACAGATGCCCATAAATCTAAGGCAAACCGAAAATGAAACCAAACCACATATCAAGTTAAAATTCCGAAAATGCTTTATATGTGTAATGAAGTGCCTGGTCATTCATTAATCTCAGTGGGCAGCTAGAACCTCTCCTCCAGGGAAAAGGGAAAAGCTTGAACTGAGTCGATCTCCAGCAAACGCACCGCCATGAAAACAAACAAGCTGAACTCTTTGCTGCTACGCATGACTTGGCGTCTGCTGGAGCGCTTAACCCAAATCCAAGTCCAATTTTTAGGGTGGCTTACATGGGAATAGCGAACGATTCGATGTAAAATATTGAACAAATGAATACTTCAGCAATTTAATATACAACATCATTTATTTATGTATTTAGATAATTTGTGAGAATGTTTTCTCAAATTTTGTGGTCTCCATATTTAAGCTAAGGCGCTTTAAAAAATGATGATGAAAATAATAAATTAAGTTAAAAGAGTAATCTCAAGTTAACTAATTTCATAAAGTAATTTCGGTGAACTTTGAGGATTTGTTTAGTTCTCAGGTTACGTAAGATTCCTTCTGAAACATGTGCACCCGATCACCCTCAGTTTGCACGATGCAAAGCACTTCGACGACAACAACATCCAGAATTCGAAGTGAATATGGCGCTGCGAGGCCCCACGACTTGCTTTCATCAGCGCTTTTTGATCTAGGAAAAACAATTGCCGGCCGGCACAATTCGACCGAGAAGGGGTACCTCTTCATCAGGCCCCCTTCCTCAGGCTCCCCTTCCTCTGGGGCCCCCGCTCATCAGATCCCCTTCATAAGGCCCCCTTCATGAGGGTTATGGTTGCTCGATTACTTACTTCTTCGCCTGCACACAAAAATTGTTTTGAAAACTTGCTGAGTTTTCAGTCGGACACAAAGAGCGTGGCAGGAAGGGAGCCCCCTGTGGTTGGGGGTCTCCAATTTGTTTGGTCAGCCCGCTTCACTTCAGTTGGGGTGCCCAGTAGCCCAGTAGCGACTGCCGATTTCATTGTTTGCCAGTGGCTGCTGGGGTACTCAGTGGGTTAAGTGCGCTTTATGGCTTGTTGATTCAAAGGCTGCCCTGATTTCCCCTCACGGGTACATCGATACTTACCCCGGGCTGATTAATTTTGGCTGTATATAGATATTGTTCCAGCTATTCCGGTTCTTCGATTTGATATCTACAAATATTTGGAATTCGTTTGGATATGTTCCCGCTGGCAGAATACATTTATTCCGAAACTCATAATTATTTAAATATTTACTTAATAAGTCATTATATTTTCAATGTGGCATGCAAGTTAATTTCTTCTTAAACACACCATATATCCCTTGCCTTTTGTTCAAGTAAAACGTTACCTAAATAGTTAAGTTGGTGTTTTACCCGAATGGAACGTCTCTAGAATATTGTTGACATGGAGATAAAAGTGTTTACAAAATAAGATTTAGTTTCCCTTACTAAATATATCACCTTAACCCCCGATCCCTTCTCTGTTCTGAGCACTTGAAGCGGTAATAATGTTAGCCACAAGCTCAATTCACAAACTGCTTTATCAATGAAAACCAAAAGGCTTAAGTCGAGTTTAGTAAATTAATTTTGTTGTTTGCCGAAGGTCTTAAGTTGTTTTCAGCCAACGCGCTGCAACGCCGTTTTTCGAACAAGCCCACACAGAAAGACTAGTGAAAAACTAGCCCCGAACGCGGCTCAAACCCCAACAAAAACCACGCGTTTTAATAAAGGTGGTAACAAAATCATTCAAGAGAGTGGGCGCCAAAAAAAGGTTGCCACGCGCCAACCTGTCGAGTTTCCCATTAATTAGCCGAAATACAGGCTCGCCACCGGAATCGTCTAGGAACCAAAGCTGGAAGGGCATTTGCCACTTTTTACCATCCATCAAGTTATGTAATTGGAATTAAAATCGGAAACTTATGTCATCGCCTCATGCGCGGGCGGATGCCTTCGGCTGGGCCATAAAACCAAAGATATGCTTTAACTTTTATGAAGTGTTCGCGTCATAAATGGCACCAAGTTGACGACGAGCACACATCGAACGACAATGCCCGATATCAATAGTTTTACAATTTTTCCCTTGTGCTGAGCAGGCAAAGATTGTACGGATAGTAAGCGAAACAGCTATTCCACTGTAAGATAGAATAGTGATAAACACAGTATCCCTAAGAGGCCATGGGTCAATGTCTTTACCTAGTTTTGTTTCAAAGCATATATGTTTTTTAATTTAAATGTTCTTTTAATGTTTTTAATTCAAGTAAACCATAGAAATTGTTTAATATGTATTAAATCCAATCAAATTACTTTTTTGTAGTCATGCAATGAAATATGTTTATAAAGGGTACATCGATTTTGGCGAAAGGTATAGAACGGCTAGTGGAAAGCGTTTCAGACTCTACGAAGTGTATAGAGCCTTGACCAGGATCACCACCCGTGCCGATCATGCCACGTCTGCTTGGTCCTATGCTTGCCTCTGGTCACTTCCCCACAAGCTGCAACTGATACATCAACAAGTAAACCTGAATGTGTGATGGAACGGTCGCATGCCAGTAAAATCGAATTGAATTTCAGGGCAGTGTCGGATGGTAAGGCAAGTTCGAGTGCTCCAGGGGGCGTGACGAGACTCCTCCCACTTTAAGGCGACATCATCTGCAGCCCATTGTGGCATGCAACTGGCGGGCCAGACAATCGCTGGCAGCTGCTCAAGTATCTCATGGCTCCACCGCCTCGTGCAGTCGCAATTGTGTCAACGCTGCACATTTTCGCTTTTTTCTCACATTACCAGTGCCAGCGAGTCGAACTGAGTAACTGAATAATACGAGCGACTTGTTGCCTGGCTTTCTATCGCCAGGCTAATTTGCAACTTTCCACATGCCACCAAGTACGCTTTATCTCACAGATTCCGGTACTCGCACCAGTGAGCCAGTGGGTGTAGTCGGCTAGAGCGATGTGAAAATGTTGATGTTATGCTTGATTTTTTCAGCGATTTATGTGTCATTGTTTTCGCGTTCGAAATTACCCAGACTCACTCTCATCGAGGCGGATTGTGGTCGCCGAAGCCGAAGCCAATTGTGATGTGGTGTTGATAACTTTCCCTCCTCTCGATTATTTCCAAGTGCGTGGCGAGCGGAAGTTGGTTTCATGGCTGATCTATGCAAGATGATGTAATGATAGTAGGCGATGCTTCTGGTGATTAGCCGAATCAGTGCTGCCTTTGAAAAGGAAAGTTCGCGCCCGAGTAGCCACCGAAAATCGTATCTAATTGAGCATGACCCCTTCGAGTTTTTGCCTGCCTTTTCGGATACATTTGAATTGGGTATTACATGGCAGTAAACGTTCGTTAAACCTTTGTTTTGATACTGAGTCGGTTTTGCCTAGTTTGTTTTAAGTGGAAGACGGCAAAGAAACTCAAACCCACTCAATGACCCTTCGCCCACAAGCAGACCACCGCCAGTTTTTCAGACTTGATTTCAATTTATATTCAGAAGCTAACAGCCGAGAGTTTAAAAGTAAAAACTTTGAATTTGTAATTAAATAATTGTATGAAAACATGGTAATATATTGTTGACTAATGTGATCTAATACTCAGTTTCTCACTTGTATAATGCATTGTAGTTTTTGTGAAAAGGTGAATGGAGCTATTTCGATTGCAGTGGAATGCTGACTTGAGGATTGTTGATTGTAACACTGATTATTAAAAACTGTGGCAACTATACTGACAAATGCAAATGAACTGCTTTCGATGAGTGACTGTCGTTACCTGTCACTATCTATCGAACATATCTTACGACACTGTCTTCGAAGTCTTTATATTCCAGGTGGCTTTACATTATATATGTTTCCCTGTTCAATTACAGGCGGGGGCTCGTTAGGCTTTGTGGGCTATGACAGACCGGTTATTATGTCATGCTGGCCCCAATTCGGATCTATAATGGACCTTGGCACGCAGGCTGCCGAAAAGGCCAGAAGTCAATTAAAAGTCCATTATCCACACCATGGATGCTGCCTATCAGAACTGCCTGTGGATTTGTTTAATAAACAATTTCCGCCCAGATTTATGGCGCATGGGGGTGAGGAACCCCCCGAATAGGAGATAATTAACCCGACTGTTCCAGGAGCGGCCAATTATGCCAGCTCCAGTGTGAAGAGTCACCCGCTGCTCTCCGAACGGGCTGATTGATGCCCCAGGCTCAGGTGTTTTTGCCGGCGTTTTGATAGGAAGTCGCGGCTTCCTTTGCCGGTCGCCGTGCACCGCGTTCTTAGCGGTTCGATGCCTCCGCATTTTTCGCGTGTGCTGCGACAAATTAGCCGGCAACTTGCTCCGGCTTCCTCCCCACAGCCCACCGACTGTGCACCGCTCCTGTTCGATCCACTCGAACTGCAATTGGCAGGCGGCTTCGATTGGCATTTTTCCTTTTAAGTTGAAGCCGACAATGCTGCGTCCCAAGAAGTACGAGTCGAACAGCAAATCGATGTCATTGAAAGGTATCGAAGGCATTCAGTCGCTTAACCCACTGGGTTCCCATGAAAACAAAATTGGTTGCTCGCATAAATTTGATAGCACATTGTTATATTTTAATATAAAATATTACACATTATTTCGGTTGTTCTGTTCAGGGCACTAAGCTGTCATAAAAAAGATGGGGATAATTAATGAGGTATATCTATTCTTCTTCGAGCACTGCAAAAGATAGATGAAGCAAAAAGGTATAGGAAAGGGACTTCCCCTTTCGTCGGGGCAGCTTCCACCGGAAAATATTTGCTTCCGTTCTTCGTTCTGTCCGTTCTACGGGCTGGAAAATAAATTACAATTAAATGCAACAAACATGCAACACAATTATTCCCTGCGGAACGCGGCGGATGTTTACTATCAAGTGGATACGCAGCGACAACATCATTAGCCCCGGTCCCTGGCCACTGGCCATCCATGGAACTCCGCGCCGCGGTTCTCTCGCTCCGCCCTTTTCCAGATGCAGCGACAGTAAAAGTGGCCGGGAATGCTAATCCGGAAGTAGGTCGTTTTCCGAACGCAAATGAAAGCGTGTGCTCGATCCGAACTCGAGTTGAAAAGCGTCGAAAGCCACAACAAAACATATGAATGCTGTCAGTGGGATGCGCTACAGCATGGGAAACCCAAACCGAAACTTCAGTGAAAAGCCAGCTCCGAATTAGAGTCGCAGACTGAGTTATAGTCACCATAATATGCCAATCAAAATGAAAAATAAGACATTATCTTTTTGTGGTAATGGCGGGCAAAGAATAGCTAAGAGATATATATGTCTCACAATCCAAAAACATTTAAGCGATGATAGGAATATTGAAATTAGAATGTGGATGACATGATATTCTCGAAGGACTGCCTAGGATGGGATAGCTGAATTGTCTATTTATGAATAAAGCTATCTTGATTTCACAACTATTTCTTACTTTTATGTATCGTGTGTTTTTTAGTGGTATTTAGACTAGGTATAGAGGTTAAATTGCAATAAAACAATGATGGATGGAAGTTCAATTTCGATGAGTTTTCCAACATTGTGGCCGCATATCGGCAATAACACGGCGAATGTTGTCTTCAGAATGGTCAAGCGCTTGTGGCTTATCCACATAGTCCAATGACTGACTTTACAATAAAAGTATTCCGCACATAACCATTATTTTCGGAGTAAAATTGCACTATTTGCAAACGTTGTTCAGGCGTGAGTCTATTCCTGATGAATTGCCAAACCAAACTGAGAATAAATCACTTGACAGCTGTGTTCAGTCGGTAATGCCAACTTAAATTTCTAAACCTCGAAAAAAACACCCTATATATTAAAATATTTTCTAATAGGGAGAAGTTTTTGTATGAACTCAAATTTAGATTCAGAGAGCCGTTGTGTCTGCATGGAATATAAAAATTCATTAGCTTTTATAGCCTCAAATATTTTGGCAGACATGCATCCAAAAATAGGAGTTTGAACTACATCCAAGTAGCTAATCTCTGATTAATTCTTACTGGCCTAGTAGGCTCCTAATTGAAATTTAAATGCGTGTTATTTTATAAAATTGTTTACCGTTTTCCTTTTAAGGTGAATTCCAATCTACGAACAATACCAGGCCAAAGTTGGCGTGGATTACAAGGCAGTAACGACTTTTGCCCAAATGAGGAGCAGCGGCGTACCGCAGACACCACGCAAAATTCGAGCAACTTGCGCATAAATTGGTATGCTCTCGACAATTAGCAGGGGACACCCACTGAATCGAGGGATCCGATCCGCAGAGTGACCACTCGCCCACGAGACGGCCATGCCATAGTTTTACGAACCCAAGTCCCACGTCCGATTCCGCTTTCAATTTGACGCGTGCGCAGGCGCAAGACTTCATTTTCATATTCCTCATGTGGGCGACGTTTAAGTTTGAATGTTTCATTCTACTCGCAGTATCGATGTTCGAAAGATTTCTGAAATGCTAGTTGCAGTTTCACTTTCCGGAGACAATGGTTCGCTTTTCAGGCGTACGGTTGTACTTTCACTTTTATGATGGGAACCCCTTTTGGTTCAGATCAGGCTATATGATTGAGGAAAGAAACTTATGTGCAGTAAGAGAAAAGACTCAAGCTAATTTTAGATACTATTGAAACCATATCAAAATGATTTTCCGCGGAACTGCTTTTCAAATCTCCCAAGGCCAATATAAGTTGGAATAAAAATTTTGCTCTATTTAGTATTTGATTATGAAAGGGCTCTCAATATGGATTGCATTTCGTAAGTCGTAGTTTAATACATTTGAATAACTAAGAGCAATATTTTTATTTAGTGGCTTGCTGTTTTGCTACCGAGATAAAGGATACAGCTCCAAGGTTGGCCGATTCTAAGGCTGATGTGGTGACGGTATCTTTAAATGAAAACGGATTAAAGAACCCGGTAGGGGAACAAGGGCTGCTGAAGCGAATGCAGTTTGATTTGGCCGCACAGTTGAATATAAACGCACGTTTAAAATCCGAAATACATGAAAATGCGGATCTATTGCAGTACATCATCCAAGGCGGGAAAAAAACCATGGAAAACTGGGTTGCAACGTGGAGCTCAGTGATGAAAACCAAGCAAATACTGTCCCGAAAGAAAATCAATCTCGATTATAGTTGGCTGCTGATGGAACGCTGCCACAAAGTGCAGTCTCGAGATGAGAAGATACGACGAATTGCCGATAGGCTGGCCGTCCAAAAGGCCGAAGATGTCCACCCATTGGCCAGGAAGCACTTCCTATCGAAGTACCTTCGCCTCCTGAAGAAGTTGGAAGAGGAGGTGGTCCTAGAAACCCGTGTCAGTAAGGGGCTCTCCCAAGTGCGGATGATTTAGTTAAGCCCGAGTCAGATAAAAGTTTTTTGAAGTCCATTACTTTTTCTTCAAATGAATTGAGGAAACAAAAAATTATTTCTTTTTTACTTCTTCTTTGGACAGAAACAAGTCTTGTGCACTAAAAGTCAAGCAGAACGAATCACGTCTTATTACAACTTACCTTATGTAACCGAGAGTATGTCCGTATAAAAATGAAAAAAGGTCTAGTGTTTTAAATAGTTGTTGCAAAGCTTTTTTTCGAAATGAGGGTCCTCTTGTTATGCACTGTACTTCTGTGTGAGTTGATTTATCCCAAGAAACAATTCTATATGCCATTTTTTGGTAGTTCTGTTTATAAAAGGTGCAGAATGCGCAACCCCAGAGCAAAGTAGCCCACCTGTGAGTGACTTTCCCAAAAACAATACATCATCGATCAGTTCCCCACTGGACAATGTACAAACAAATGCAACAATTTCAAGCGTTGTCCCCGAAAGCAATTCGCAGATAGATGAGTCAAAGAAAGAGCTAAGTAATTCTTCGAAGACTAAAAATGTTTTACCCAAAATTGATTCCCCGCTGTATACAAATATAACTTTAAACGCGTCTCTACCGCTGAATAGTTCCAGCATTGGCTCACGGGTAAACGATGTTCCAAATAATAATCCTCCCTTAGACGGAACATCGAAAAAAGACTTCGAACTAATTGTACCAAGCAATATGGAAGAGGGATCGCTTAATGGTTCCCCTGCATCTGGGGTGGAGGCTCTTCAACAGAGGCTGTTGTCGGAGCAGGCCCAGACCTTGTTGCTTCGGAACCAGTCCGCGTATTTGCTTGCGGAAATCCATTCAAGAAGATCTGCGGTTCAAAATGCCCAGGAGCTCAGCCTTGGTATGACCGCAGAACTGAACGACGTGAACCGCAGGCTGCTGGAGACTGATGTGCAGCTGGAGAATGTGCGAAAGCAGTTGAAGAGTTGCCAAGGAAAGCTCTCAGAGAACGAGCTGTTCCGGCTCGCCGGTATCGAGGCCCACAGGATTCTGAAGGAGGAGCGGGAGCCCATTGTCAGGTACAGCCATCGGAACAGGTACCTCAAACTCCTCGGAGAGATGCGCCGGAGAATCAAGGAGGAAATCCTGAAAGTGTCTTCACTCGTGGCTGATACGACCACGACCTCGAGGCCCACCGATGGGATCCTTCCCACTCTCCCTTGGAGATGATCATATATTACATATGCATAAACAAAAATGAACCCAATAAATACCGATGGTATTGAGTCACAGTAAAAGCCTCCAAGTTGTACGCTTACCCGATGACATTAGCCGGTGAAAAATCGATTCTTAACGCTAAGCTTAGCAGGCTTACTAGCTGTTTTAATTCCTTACAGTCTAAAAAACACTTTTGAATAATGAAGATCATCGTGCTGCTCAGCGTTTTTTGTAAGTCATAACAGTTGTCTTAGACTATTTAATTTCCCTTTTCCCTGTAAATTACGCAGCCATCATTTGCCTCTGGCATTCCACCGAATCTGCTCCTTATATAAGCATCAGCTCTAGTTCAAGATCGAGGTCTCAGAAAATGGTAAACGGCCATTTGAAAACTGTCTACGACTACAACGTTCAAAAAAATATAAGTAACATATCTGGAAAAATGCTTCGCACTAGATTGGCAGAAGTGAAGTCTGATTTAATGAGCCCGGAAGATCTACAAAAATGGCAAAATAAAATGACCAATGAAGAAAAATAGATCTGCTTGCATTATAAAACTTAATAAATACAATATAGTAAATACAATATGTTGCATGGAATATTTCAAATAAAGAAACGAAGCTTTAACTATCCTTAAGTGATAAACTTTTTAAGATACGGGGTATATTTTGAACAGCGTGGCTTATTGCCCTGCTCCCCAACACTGACTGGACTATTAAAGCCAAAAAAATATAAATTATTAAGCAGTATAATAGAAAAATGGGAATTTTTTTTTTTTTTTTATTCATGTGACATATTCCTATCGCTATGAAACCAATTTTGGGTTTTAAGTATTTGAGGGACATTTATACAAAAAGTTACTGTGCCGTTTTCTATTGCGTAGTTTATTAAAAAAACAATCCAAAACAATTTATATTCAAAATGCGTAACCGATTTTTCGTAAACACTGCAGGAGCTAGTTATTATTAGTTCGTATGAAAGGATTGCTTTTATATTATTATACTTATACACGATATTCGGGAAGGCAAATAATATATTTGCTCTTAGCATCTACAAACTAGTCGATAGAGCCATTTCATTTTAAACATTTCTGATATAAAGAAAGAAATTGGCTTTTAGTTTTACCCATAAATTTCACAAATATAAAGACCTCTGTTACAGAGCTTTTGATAGGGGCGGGCGCAGGGGGGTGCCCGGGGGGTCCGGACAGACTTTTTCAAATTCCCTTACAGCACACGATCTTTCAACCATATAAACTAAAAAAATATTTGCCGGACCCTCCCAAACTAAAAAAATTTTACGATCGGACCAACAACATCGAAGCTATGACGATTTATCTATTAATTTTCCATATTTTTGAATATTGTTCATATGGCAGCTATATGATATAGTTGTCCGATTTTGATAAAATTTAATCCGAAATTCAATAGTAGTTAGAAGCGCTATCTGGAAGAAATCAACTCGATCCGGCCCTTTCCGACTTATAAACTGCGTGCAATAACCACACAACTTTTGGGGAAAGTTTGCTCTGCAAAGATGTCCTTTACAGAAATAAACAAAACAAGTGAAAATGTATTAAGACGCGAATATTATTGAGTCTACCTGGATGTCATAAAGAATCGTCTATACTTGTTTTCCAATGTAATAAACGGTGCTATGGCGCCTTCAACATAAATTTTATAGGTTTGTCTAGAGATCTTCTGACCCACATTTACCTGTTTTAGCTACCTGAATATTTATGATATGCTTTCACTGCTCTAATTTACTAGAAGCTAAAGAGAGAAATATTACCTAAGCTGGAATTTATGATAGGGTGGTACTTTAGTTTAAAATTTCTTTGTGCGACAGTTTTGTGCATACTTTCCTTTTGAGGATCGTACCCTTTTCTTAATTTTCTCCCTGCAGGAGTTCCTGACATATTATTAAACTCAACAAATATATAAGGAAAACAAAAATTTTGGGGAGCAACCCTGCGGATGGTTTGGGTGTAATTTTTTTGTGTAGCTTCCTCTAGATTCTTCCTCATTGCAATAGATGTTGTTCTGTAGTATTCTACCAATTTCCCATTATCCAAATATGTACATTTTAATATAGATTTTCGCAACTCTAAGGACAAGTCATGACTGCGAAAGACTTTGTTTCTAGTAATTCGAGTATATGTTTATGATTAAAATCAATTATGATGTTATGCATAAGGCAACAGATTAACGTAATCAAATTATATATAATACATATAATAAATAACATTATTTTTCTAAAGGGAAAAATTAGGATTTTATTTACGAAGTTTTTTTTTTATCAAGGGAACTTAACAAAAGCGTTAGTAAAAAAGGAAAAGTTCCTAAAAAATGTAAGACCAAAACACAGTGTTTTTGGTGTTGGCAATAAACATATAATATCGCAATTAAAAAATCCTTTTAAGAGTTTATCAACCAACAAAACCTTGAACCCCTTTCTCGAATGTTCCGGTTCGGCAGAAAGGCGGATTTTTACGACCACAACTCAGTAATTGTGTCACGTAATCAAATATGGAAATAAACGACAAAAATGTATATAAACACATACTTAGATGGAAGAGAGATATTTATATTTAAGGCACATGACGAACCATTATGAACATAAAAACAAATAATCATACATAACAACACATTTTTCATTTTTTTTATATATCTCGGCTACAAGACTGTAACCACACAATAAAATTATTCGTCCAAACAAGAAGAGTCGCTTTGTCATTTTGGCGATGGATTCGACACAGATGGGATATGCTAAACAGTTCTTATACCCATTACTCATGTAGTAAACGGTAAGCTGTGCCTGTTAAGTAGGTAACAGGAAGCACTTGCGCCCTTATAAAGCTTACATTATATATTTATTAGGATCATTAAAAGAGTCGATCTAGTCTGTCTGTCCGTTCGTATAAACGACCAGATCTCAGGACCTAAAATGGCTACAAAATAGAGTTTCAAATGTAGGTTATTAAACGTTTCGGCTTAACAGGTATCTGAAAGTCGAGGAAGTTAATTTTAAAAGACGATAACTTATGATATATCTATATATATATATATATATATTATATAGATATATCATTTTAAATTAGCAAACGAAAAAGTGTTGAGTTTTTCGTGTGAGGTTTTGTTTGAGGTCTGTTTAATTAATTTATGTTTAATGTCAATATTCCTTTAAGAAACTAGCGTTGTTAAAGTATATTATTATTATATTGGGATACATCTGAAAAATTCTCCACTTGAGCGGTGGTTCTTGTTTTAATGTTTAATTTTGAGTTATCTAGTACAGAACATGTAGAGTTTGCGGTCATTAATAACTTTTATTTCAATTTTGATGATTCGGCCAAAAGCTACGGGTAATTTTATGGTGCCTTTTAATTTGATATTAAATCCTATCCCCTTTTGAAGTTACCACTCTTTGATTTCTACCTGAGTCGCGAGTGAAGTGAACACCTGGCCAAGGCTGCAACGGCAACACTTCACTGCTGAGTGTGCACCACTCAGACAACTCTCACACTGCGTTGGGTACTCTCCAAATGACTTTTGTATCGATTGGCAAATGACAATGGAAATTAAATCACATTCGTTTCAACGCAGGACAGGAAACGGAAACAAAAAACTGAAACATCGAATCGCATTCACTGGAGATATCCTGCAGGGACTTTGTGCCGCTTGTAGGGAATGCCGACCTATGAATGAACTGAAAACGTACCTGTTCGAAAACACATTTCCACTTATTGTTTATTCGAAAACGATATACCTCAAGCTGAGACTTCCTTCAGTCGCTAGCCGCTGAGTTTGGCTGGAAAGACAAGTCTGATTTGTTCGGCTAGCTGCTGTTACCATCTTCTTTTAGTTGTATAATTGGTTAGTGAACAATATAACACCGTTATCCTAAAAAAAATTCTAAAACAATGTTGTGCTAATAAGCATTAGCTTTTTGTTAGTTCTTGAGTTATCAATGGAATATAATCTTAAAAAAACAAGAAAGAAAACGAGGTTTGGAAAACCGATGCTTACTTACGATATGAAATTCTAAAGAACTTTTTTAAGGGTAAGTGGATTTATAAATGTAGTACTTTTAGGAGCACTGTATAATAATTCTCAAGCTCAAAATAAGTGTTTATATTAGGCAACAATGATGTTATGTCAATTTTTGTATAACAAGTTACTTATCACTGCAAAGATAAACGGATCTAACGCTCTTTTAAATTACATAAACCGAAAAGATGCAGTGCCTTCTTAAGAACGAAATAATTAAAGATAGAAAAGAAAGAGATTAGTTGTAATGATAGAGGGCCCATATACTGCCAGAGAATAATGTTTTTTAATGTTCTTCTAATGTTTAACGAGTAAACGAGACAGTTTTAAACCTATAATATAGGTATATTCAATAAAAATAAGAAATATTAGGGCTTATTGCACTTCGGCTTGTCCGATGGGCACTTTCCTTTGTATATTTTGGTAAAGGCTGTAGGGATAAAAATATGTAAAATATTTCACAAACAGCTTAATTCCCTCTTACGTGGAGATCCTTTTTGTTCTCGCCGACAAGAAACACGTTCGACTTGGCAACGGTTTAGAGCAGTGAACACACAAGTGCCATCAGAAACCTCTCCACAATGAACTTCGTTACTCCAATCACACGTCGGACACTCTTCTTCGGCAACGGTGATTCCCAATATTACCAAAACTTAAAGTAAATGATAAGTAACTGACTTAAGAATTATATAATATTGGTGGAGGCTAAGGACACACCAATTATGAGATGGATCTTCATGTCGATGTTTTAGTTGTCGAACTACGCAAAGAACACACAACAATTTTAAGCGGATAACAAAAATTAACTACTGAAACATTTTACATTTGCAACAGTTAACATTTAAAATAAACCAAATTGAATATTTGCATAACGATTTTGGCTTCTTAGAGGCTTTATTGCCCCCGTTTGTTAGAAACCGGAAAAAATGGTCAGGAAGCGGAATTTTTATTACATTTTTTTTTTTTTTTTTTGCATATTTATTTACAATCTATCTAATTAAAGATAATAAGTAAATTATATGACATAGGTAATGACAGACAATTTTTGTTTTCATGGGATTTTTATTACATGGAGTACAAATTAATAGTATAAAATGTTTAATATCATTATTCCAATCCTTATATTAACAGTTGTAGATCTTAAACAAAGGTACAAAACTTCAAATAAGAACTATTTGGTACTAAATAGATCAGATACCTGTTAAGCAAATAAACCGTTTCATTCGGCGTGACGGCTTTTTTAAAACGTTTTATTCTCATCTGCAGGTTCAATGCCACAGACCTCGAGATGTAGTATACACACAGCTAGAATACCAAAAATGCGCATACCAGCCATAAAAGTAGGCGTGGCGAAATTAAAAAAAAACACCATTTGCTCTTTGTGTTATCTATTAGTAGATATTCATACCTAATTTCTGAGCCCTTGCCTTTGTACCTTACCGAAAATTATACAATTCTCTTAGCCCATGATACTTTAGCGACCCTTCACACTGACTTATTACTTTAGGATTCGTAGACATCCAAAGAAAAAGCTTTTTAAAAAATCCCTATGTAAAGGCCCAACTCTTTAGCTGATTTACATACATGCAACGAGACAGTAAAATAAAATTATTTGTAGTTAATTGATTTTATGGCTACGTGCCCACGTTGATGCTTTGAAAGTGCGTTATAAACGGCCAACCCAACAAATCGAGCTCATTAAAGCAAGGTAACTGTGCAATAGCCATGCAGCTGTCGCAATTTCTTACCGGAAAGGGGAAGCTTCTGAAATTCTTTGGATATTAGGACTTATAATAATTTAAACAACCTTTCAGTTTTTGCCTACGCTATTCTAGGGCTTGGCAGGAACAGGATTTACGGCTCAGCTGAGGAAAATAACAAGTATCCATGGATGAAAACTTCAACCCACAAAGCTCCATATAAAATATCTGGAGATATTTGATATAACAAATAAAAGTAATTTAAGTGGTCTGCCGCTCCAATGTTTGGCTCATATTAAAAATTTTGGTTTGTTTATCAACTCTAAGTGACTATTATTATGTGGTTATTACATGCATTTATGTCTTTTTGCGTGTATTTTTAATCAATGTTGGCAAATTTAATAAAGACAAACAAAAAACAATTATGTAGTAAAGGAAATGTGTCTCCCTAAATCTTTTTGTTTTTTTTTTGAAGTTAATTCGGAATTAAAAAAAAACCCAACACTACCTGTTGCAATGAGATCATCACATCACTGAACTCTCTCTCTTTTAATCAAATTCCAAGTTCTTCTCATACTCTGTATCCCTGTCGGTTCTAAATGTTATTTTTATACCCTTGCAGAGCAAAAGGGTATTATAATTTCAGTCAGAAGTTTGCAACGCAGTGAAGGAGACACCTCAGACCCCATAAAGTATATATATTCCTGATCAGCATCACGATCAGAATCCAAATCCGTCTGTACGTCTGTCCGTCTGTCTGTCTGTCCTCCTGTCGGTTTCTATGTAAACTAGTCTCTCAGTTTTAAAGCTATCTCGCTGAAACTTTCCCAAAAGTTGTGTAGTTGTTGCACGCAGTATATAGGTCGGAACGAGCCGGATCGGCCGACTATATCGGATAGCTCCCATACAAGAGAATGAAATAAAAAATTACTTACTCCGTTGTTTTTGATCAGATCGACTTGATTTCTTCCAGATGGCGTTTTCTAACTGCTATTGAATTTCGGATTAAATTTGATCAAAATCGGATAACTCTATCATATAGCTGCCATAGGAGAGATCAAAAAATATATATATAAATAATGGAAAAAAATTATAATGTCGTTGTTTTTAATGCCACGAGCATGATTTTTGGAACATCAAGTTTTTGAAATACTCTTAAATCGAGAAAAAAATTTCATAAAAATCGGAGTACTATATCATATAGCTGCCATAGGAAAGATCGAAAAATCTATATAGAAATAACGGAAATAAAATTATAACCTCGTTGTTTTTCATCAGACAATCATGATTTTTGGAATATAGAGTTTTCTAATGAGTCTTGAGTTACATATTAAATTTTATCAAAATCGGACGACTATATCATATAGCTGTCATATGAACAATATGGTAAATAATAGAAAAATCGTCATAGATTCGATGTTGTTAGCCTTTATGTATTTTGCTTGACATATTTAATGACTGCAAGGGTATATAAGCTTCGGCTTTCTTTCTTGTTTTTATAACGGAAAGGTCCTCTAAAGTGTACCAGTAGAGCCAATAAACTGTAACTTTAAAACACGATTAGTCCTTTTTCAAACCAACTCTTAATATGTGAAGAAATGGAATGAGGTTAACGTCATTCGTGTCTATTTTGCTTCTATGAATGCATCTGTCATAGAAAAGATCCGTAGAAAAATTAAATATAAATTAAAATAAAATTGTTTAAAAAACTGGATAAACATTTTAACCGAAAGAATACGTACCGATCGAAAATTTCGCGGGTGGTTATATCGACAAACTCTCTCTGTTTATCCGCATTTCCTGTTTTGCAAAGAGCTTTGCTTGCAGTTTTAAGGTTTGTTTATTCAGCTGTCAGAATCTTCTACAAGGCACATTCTTCCTGGCACAAAAACTAAACCCTAATTGATTATTAGAAAACAAAGAACAGTGCGAACTTAAAACCATAAAAATTAGCATACCAGAGAGCATGGCGAGCAATGAAGCTAATTGATTTTTCCCGCGGTGCGACTACTGCAGCAACAAAAATCGGTGGCGACCTATAAAAGCTGACCCGACTGGCGGAACCTTCAGTTCAGTCCGAGGACCATGAAATTCCTGACGGTATTCGCATTCGCCAGTGGTAAGTAGACCCCTCGAAGTGGCCAACGTCTGATAAGCTAAAAATAGTCGCCGTGTTTCTGTTAGTGGCCACGTTCGTGGTGCTCCACAGCGCCTACGGCTCTCCATTGCCGGAGCCGGCTCCCGGTCCGAGTCCTGCAGCCGATCCCAAGCCCGTAGCGGACCCGTCGGCCGATCCGGAACCTGTCGCCAGTCGGTCAGCCGATCCAGGTCCAAGTCCCAATCCCAGTCTGGACGCCAATCCCATCCCGCTGTCGGCAGCTTCACCGAGCGGACAGACGGGACCACAGGCCGCCGGGGGCGATGACAACTTCGTTGCCCTTTCCGCCAACGCGGAGCCAATGGGTCCAGCCCCAGAAGCTGCATCCCTGACAGCGGACGATCCCCGAGCTGGTCAGTAGGAGATCGTCTTTCAGTGCAGCACCAGCGGCAGCTTAATTTAACACTAGCCTGCACACCCACACACAAGGAGACACACACGCATATATCCTTATATCTGGTATATTATGTATTCCAACATCTAGCAAGGGCATTATTAAAATGGCAAAAGAAAACCACAGAAGGGTTTGAGATATCTTTAAAAACATGGGTTCTTAAGACATTTAAAGGCTATATCAGTTATTTATAAAGGAATGTGACAGGATCTTCTGCTAAGTGAAAAATGCGTTATCAAAGTTGGCAAGTATAGTAAACGTTCAGTTGAACTCAACCAGCTGTCAAACTGCTACGAGGTACTTTCTTCCCAAGTCCACTTCCCATTATAACTTCCGCCAAGAGTCCACTGGGCCATGGCGGTCCCATGACATCGACACCGGCCTGGGGAAAGACCACTGACCAAAAGACCTGCACACCAGCAGACCAGATCCGGCCGACCAGATTTGCGTTAAAAAAGTGCCACCGAGACTGCGAGAGAAAAAATCACTCACAAAGAGGAAGCGACAGCTCCAACGAGTTTTATGAATGAAGTCGGTGTAAGGTTAAGACAAACAAACGCCGCCGACCACAGAGCCCATGGCTTGGGTGCCAACCGGCATTGGAGGAAACAAAACCACACGAAAGCTCCATTGATCGGGGCATCGACGGTTAATCCATTTGTAGGGCATCATCACCAAGTTCATTCGTCGCATATATGTAAATAGGTTTATTTACATTTTCTTTGCCTCTTCCGACGATCGTAAATTTTACCTTTGAGTTGCGTCCGTTCTCAGTCGTTAAGGCAATGAACAATTTTGAGATATCAATTTACATGTTAACACAGCCGGAGTTTCTCAATGGGTGGATGACTGACAAATTGCCAAAGCTGGCTATGAATGAACGAACAGGCTAAGAAATTCATTGACAGCTTTTTCACCTTTATTACAACTTTTAACGTGTGTTTTAAAGGCCCAAGATGGCTTCTTTTAGATGTCTACGTGGGAATGGTTTGGTCTTCTCCTAGATTTTGCAAACATTTAAAATAAATCAAATGGGTGCTGCGTAGCGTAATCCATACTCAAAGACTTTACTTAAGCTGTTTGTTAAACTGTTGGTCCCAGTATGGGAAGTGCAATGCGTTTATGGAAATCGTACCATTTATGCTTTCCTTTAGCGACAAACATCAAAGATATCCCAACAACAACTAGGGTTGTACATACAAAATGTTAAGAGCTATTAATAATGACAAAGTTACAATTTAATACATTCAATTACTTATGAATATTGAGATCTTCATTGCCACCCCCCAGCAGCAATGGATATAGTTATACTAGCTATGTATTGAATACTGTTAAAAGCACTTTTGAAATTGGATGCAGCTAATATAATTTGCTAATTCGATCCCCTACTTAACATATTTAACTAAAAACCTCAAAGAAACCTATTTTTATCGTTACTCTGGGCACGCCTGTTTTTATTGTTAATTGCATAGAACATCAGAATGACGTTATTTTTAAAGTCGGTGAACATCAGAACTCAAAATCTACTAAACCGATCTTTTCCAAATTTTTAACACAAATTCTCCACATTGTAAATACGCAGGTAATCAGGAAGAGTTTTGTTTTTTATTTTTAATTTTTTTCAATTATTCAAAAATAAATTAACAACAATTTTTTGATCTTAAATCGCACCCAAATATATCGCAGACAAATAAAATTTAAAAAAACTCTTCCTGATTACGTCGAGAATTTCATGATCCTTACAGCGCATATCACATTTTTTTGAGATGAGCCGATGAGATTAACAGACACAGGCTTATTTCTAAATATTTTTTAATAATTTTTTTTTCTAATACTCTTCAAAAGTTGAACAATAACATGTAACTAAGCTCAATCAGCGAAAGAAATTAAAAAGAAAAACCATTCCCAATGACAGCAAAAGTAAGTGCACGCGCAGTTATTATTATGTAAATATTTTGGATCGACGATTCAGAACTGAAATTGTTTTCAAAAACGTTAACAACATTTTCCACACCCATTAAAATTTTTAATCTGAATTATGAAGTTACCTCAAGTTATATTTTAATATTTCAATAAAGCGATCAGATTTCGCCAATAAATTCAGCCGCAAAATCAATTGTGGCATGGGTTATGAAAAATTATAAAAAAAACAAATCAAAAAATATTTTCCTTTGCAACCAAATATGTGTCAAACAGAACACTAAAAGCGACGCAATTTTAACCCTTTATATGGCAATAACTCCGATTTTCTTGATTTTTTTTGTTTGGTAGATAAGTGAAAATAAAAAATACACTTCTTTTTATTTTTTTAATTTTTTTGGTTTTACATTATTTTTTTTTATGTGTAAAGCTATTTTAATGCATATCTGCAACAAGGCAAAATTGTTGTATTATAATGCAACAAACACAAAAACTCGAAAATATATAACTAAATATAATTTTTACCTGTTTATAAATATAAATTAAATTAACTATACATTTTTTTTTTGATATTTATATTTGGATGAGAAACTGCACAACCAGTTCAGATTTCCATATTTACCAAATTGGCGGGAAAAGTAATCATCTGTTGAGTATTGGACAGAATTCTGAGTGACTAACACTTGTTATATAAAAAACGAAAGTTTCTGAACTGCATCAAAAAGATTTCAGACAGTTTTGCAACGCCCGTTGAAAAATAAATGAATTTGAACGGTATGTTGCAGATATGCATCACGGCCATATAAAGGGTTAACCAACCGCCTTACATAATTATTAAGCAAAAGTAGAAAAGGAAAAACAATGGAAATAAGAAAGAATTAATTGGTATGAGAGGCAGCTGGTTACACATTAATTTATAATTATTTGGGCTTCCATCAAAGGGTTAATCAGAACAAGTGCCACTTGGTTTGAAGCCCAAACACAAAAATTCTGAAAATGAAATGTAAATGGAAATTGTATACTCTTTCATGAGCATACTTACATATGTACATAAATATGAACTGATGATGATATACTTATTTATTGTCAAACAAATATTTTTTAAAAACAACAGTATGCACATATTTGCAAAAACATAAAAACTTACGTCTAATTAAACAAAACGAATATGAAAAAATTATTATAAGTTTAAAAGGTAATAGCCGTTTCCTAAGAAAGAGTATGGAACATCTTATCGACTCATGTGGCGCGCATCTGAGAAACAGAAACAGAAGCCCAATTTTATTTTGTGGTCTGCTGACTTTTTGATAATTATTTTCGGGCAGAAACAAATTTGAAATGAATTTCCCTACTGTGCGGGTGCCGAAAGAGGCAAACGGCAATTTCTCCGGCGGAGGAATGGGTACAAAACCCGGACTCGAGACGAGAATTGCATAAACAGGCTCGGCAATTACATATCGACATTTACATACGCCTGTCGCCAGTCGCCCGCCTCATTAGAGCTAATCAAAATGAATGCTCTAATCAAAGTGGTTTGATTGCAAGCCATTTTCACTCACACTTTCAGGTTTTCACTTTCAATCTAATTGATTGAATCGAAAGAGGGGCGTGTGAAGAGACCCGATGCCGCAGAAAACTGCAAAACAACGAGCCAAGAAAATGAATGCGGTGAAATTAGAAAAACGTGAATCAGAAACCGCACACAGACAGGAAAAGCAGCCTGCCGGAGACAGGCGTGGGAGCCGAGTTAGAGAATTGGAAAATTGACAATCGATTGAATTTGCTCGGTTTCCCGCTCAAAAAACAATGGGATGCTCCGAACTGAGTGGAAGCTAGGAGTACACGTCTTATCGGAATTTCACGCTCGCGTGACTTGTGTGTTTTGCGATTGTTGAGACAATTAAAGTTTGCTCAGGTCAACTTGAGCAGAAGACCACGCACAATGCGAATATTTCGCCTCGTCGTCGACGACCTTAAATTAAACAATTAGCTGATTAACTCCCACATTTGTAGTCCCCCAACTACCGCCACTTACGGGTGCAAATGTACTAAGCTGTATTTAAACAATAGAAACTTGCCCAGGCACTTACACGTCCAGATGTTATGTTCCATGGTCTCCTTTTCCAAAATACCAATATATAGGAAATTTAGTTGGTTTTTCCGAGCCAATTTTTCAATTTTTGCATAATTACATGTGGCAGAGCTGTCGTTGTGATTTCAGTTCCTTTTGGAGTATGCTTGTAAATAACGAAAATGCTTCCATGTTCGAAAACAACAAACTTACTACAATGTTCATAATTATTTTTCTTTTCTTTCTTCGGTAATACCTATATGAGATCTACCCATCTACCCAAATCTTTGGTTTAAAATTGGTGGTGTCTTTTTTTATACTGCGTTTCAGTTTTACTAGAACTAGTTATCACTTTTAGTTTCGTTTAAGGTCGAAATCCGAAAACAGGCTATATGTGCTTCTCAAAATGTATCTTTAACCGCCTTTTTAATTCAGTTCCTGTGGTTTATTTGACAAAGGAAGTTGGTCTTATCTGAACGATAAGTAAATTAACGGCTCTGTGTTGGGTGGCTAGAATTGTTTATGTCTTCAAGACTTTATTTATTATTAGCTCATGATAATTGTGTGCCATTTCGAAAAGGAAGAGAATATGTGAAACGATGTGCTCAGGAAAAACCGATATAAATCAAATTTTATCGCTCATTTCATCGGAAGGGCTGCAGCTAAGTAAACACATTGTGCTTGTGAGGTCGGTAAACATTATAACTTGGCACTGATAACAAACACAATTAATTAAAGACACACATTTCTGTTTAGCAGTGAAATCAGAGCTCTTTTGCTTTTGGGTTTAGAACAACTTTTTTATTTATGATTCGATTTTTTAAATTAATCTGTTTTCTAATATTGACATCGAAAAAGCTTTATAAAAGCTTTATTACATTTAATTTTTTAACGATTAAGTGTTTGAATTTTTGTCATAGTAAAAGCTCTGTAGCCAATTTTGTTGTGTGTAACAGTCAAATATAGTTTTTTTAAGTTTCTTCAAATCAATCAATACTTTAGATTTAATACAAATTACACCTACTTATACCAACAACGAAGGGGGTTGAAAAAGTGATTAAAATGAATTCAAGCTGATCGGCACCATTTCTTGTGTAGAGCTTTTGCAATCAGCTCAAATGAGTTATAAATTGAAAGCCACTGTGCCGTTTAGGTATTGTTAAATCAACATTAGTTACATATATGCGAAGCAATTTGACTAATATCTGTCGTACGTACCGATTTTTTAAAAGAAGGCTGTGATAATATTATGTAACTCATCAAAAAACAAGAAAGGAAGCTAGCTTCGGCAAGCCGAAGCTTATATACCCTTGCAGTCATCAAATATGTCAAACAAAATTCATAAAGGCTAGCAACATCAAATCTATGGCGATTTTTATATTATTTTTATATTTTTCATATGACAGCTATATGATATAGTCGTCCGATTTTGATGAAATTTAATTTGTAACTCAAGAGTCATTAGAAACCTCTATATTCCAAAAATCATGATTGTCTGATGAAATACAACGATGTTATAATTTTTTTCCGTTATTTCTATATAGATTTTTCGATCTTTCCTATGGCAGCTATATGATATAGTAGGGGAGAGTGGGGCATTGTCGTCACTTTTTTTTCAATTGCGAAATTTGTTGATAAAATAACTAATTTTTATCATGTAATATACATGGTTGGATTCGGAAAAGATCTGGCTATAAAATGCAGTAAGTATTTCGGACATCCTCTCATTTGTTTATTAATACGAAACTGTTATCTGAAAGAAGGCAAAATTGGAAAATTGAAAAATCGTGGGGCAAAGTCGTCACCCCCCTGGGGCAAAGTCGTCACATAGAATAATGAATGCAAATATAGGTACCCATGTGCACAAAACTATTTCAACTTGTCAAACACACATTTATTGATATTCATACATATAACAAGAAAGGAAGCTAGCTTCGGCAAGCCGAAGCTTATATACCCTTGCAGTCATCAAACATATCGAACAAAATACATAAAGGCTAACAACATCGAAGCTATGACGACTTTTCTATTAATATTCCATATTTTCGACTATTGTTCATATGGCAGCTATATGATATAGTCGTCCGATTTTGATGAAATTTTTTTCTTGGTTCAAGGGTAGTTCATAAAGTCGATGTTGTAAAAATCATGCTCGTGGAATAAAAAACAACAACGTTATGATTATTTTGCCATTATTTCTATATATATTTTTTGATCTTTCCTATGGCAGCTATATGATAGGGTTATTCGATTTTGATAAAATTTAATCCGAAATTTAATAACCGTTAGAAAACGCCATCTTGAAGAATT